AGTGGATCGTGATGGAAAAAGTTTGAAAAACACTGGCTTAGACAAAAATCTCTTTTATCTCCTGACAGACTCAATTGGAATTCGAATACATACCTGCATTCACTGTCGTTATGGTTGTTGACAATCTTGTCGTTTCATTCACGTATTTGAAAGGAGTAGATGTTGGATTACAAGCTGGGACCGTGGATGAAGACGGTGTACTTGCTGAAGCTGTATGTTTGCATGAGAGAAAAAAATTCAATTCGCTAAAGAATATTCCCAGGTCAATAGTTAGTAATGGAATATAGCGCTGGACTTAGCTATGTAGGCGTCGTATGTTAACGGGTTGAATTCCATCCACCTCATCAGAATATGATAAATAGGGTAGACAATGCAGATCCGAAAAGCTTCCGGCTGCCTAACCAGATAGAATTGATTAAAATATTAACATAACATTATATTAAATATATCGATAAGAAGATAAAATTAGACACCTGCTATTAGTTCAATGAAACTAGAGCAAAAACTATATATATATATATATATATATAGATGATTAGAACCGGAAGAACTCATATTTCCCAATACAAAACAAAATGTATCTGATGATGGCCTCCAGCGTTTTTATACAAACTCTGATAAATATATATTACTGGTAACGTTGAAGAATATTTTAGAATTTACCTATAATGCATACTAATATATTTTTCTTTCCAAGGTTAGAAGATGCATTGACTTTACATGAATAATCACCGGAATCTGCCAGTGCTACATGTCTAGGAAAATATATTCTCCCGTTGACTTGATAAACAGAATCGAACGCACTTTCGCTAACTTCGACATTGCCTTTCCACCAGCTTATTGAGGTTGATGAGGAATATGAACATATGACGGAATTGTATTCTGTATCGTAGTTGTCAATATTCAACTCGAAATAGTCGCTATCCGGATGGAATACAATATCTGATTATAAACATGTTGAGTTCCAATTTAGCACAGATAATTTCAAAATTTTGTTATCATGTTTCAACAGACTTCATTCTACGTGGAAGATATTTTTGCAATGTTGGTTTGGGGCTCAGAATTGTGTGTAAGCCAATACAAAGAATAAAACGAATCATATGTAAGGAACTCACATTAAGTACGTTACCGATCTTAATAAAGCACATAAGATGAATTGTCCCTCATATTTTTTTATATTTCAGTTCGTCACTTTTACATTCTGAGCGAAACGGTTTAATTTTGATAAAATAGAGGAAAAAAATCCATGAGGACGTTCATGTAAATGCTGTACAGTACTTACCTCCACTTATATCAGCGCAATTTGTATCCGAATGAGTGAAAACGAAATATAAGATAACAGCACATGAAAATATGTTCTTTTGCTTCCACATTTAGGATGCGACTTAGAATATACTTAAGTTCTTATCTTTAGATTATATCCAGCTAATTTGCTAGCTTTAAAAAAATTTAAGAACTACTGAGTCGAAGTAAGAAAATATGTTGGCATGAGTTTAAAAATAAAATTTTACCTTCACAAACTTGGATTTTGTTTATTTAAACTTGGCGGAAAGTCCTTTCAATGCCACACAGTTTGATTCGACAGGTAATAATATATTTGAGGATATAGTTACAGAACATACATATTATAGGGCGTTTAATCGAAAATATAGTTGAACATTTCATAAAATTTTATTTTATTTTAACAACATCACAATCTTTTTTTTATTCTGCTTAACATACATATTCTGTAACGTTACCCGCTAGTTCATTTACAATAATTTAATAATACGCTCAGATTGGCCTTATGGCAACACTGAATACAAAATGCTATTTTACGTAATTTAATTTCTCTATGACCTCATATATTAACAGGAAGAAGCTCTACAATACGGATTGTTACCTGTTACACCGCTGGCCATTTACAGATATTTTAACTATAATATCCAATGTTAAAACGATATGTTGACCGAAGTTCTCAAACAAAACTCACTGTTCTCACTCATAGATGTCGCACCAAACGTTGAAAAATAGTGATACACTGCACGAGCTAGATATCATAAATTCAGACCATGTTTTTTGTATTGCGACAAGCCAACGAGAATATTGAACTACGGTTTTGTCAACCCGTTAAAAACAGAAGACGTTGATCCCCATCATAAAATATTTTTAAATAATTTTCAAATCTGATTGCCTTATTGGGCATTATGTAATGAACTTGTGTCAATACAAAACTGAAATTCAAATATTGTTACTAGATTTCTTAATATGAAAGAAATTAGATAAAGCCGTTAATAATTTCCCATGTGTTACCGATTCAAGTATTATCGTGAGTGCCATTATACTATGTAATTTGAGACGTAATACAGCAAAGAGTTTACTGAATTGATGCTACAAACAAGTTCCGATTACCGTATTTCTCCGTGTATAATACGCACTTCCGGTTCCGGATTTCATCTCCAAAATTAGGGGGTGCGTATTATACATTGTTATAGAAAAAATTCAAAAAATCCTGATCGATATTTCACATGCAACTGCCGAATACTTATCACATGTTTCCTCGCCGTCTTATTTCTATTATTTTATGTGACAAAGTCCGTTATAACCAGATCATGCTTGCTGCAGTAGAATCACACCCACAGAATGGACTGCATCTATTTCAATAACCAGTGTATATAAGTCATAAGAACGGCAGTCTGTATCATAGTTTAATTGTTGTGTCGTCCAGTCTGGCGTCTCTCATTTACAGCAAAATTGAATGTTCCTAAATCATTTTGTCTCATTCTGATTTGCGCCAATCGGCAAACCTAACGCCCCATTTTTTTTTCCAGCCATTTTCAAAATGCTCTAAGATAGGTAACAGCACGATAGTTCAAAGCGGGGTAACATCACTCCGAGATTGACAGACAACAGGCCTGTCGACGTCATAAACATTTGAAACATATTATTAAATCAAAGTGAAACTTAATAGGCTGGCTCCCCGAAAATACCAAACGCGGTCGACGCAAGTGACTGAATTCGACCGTGCGTATTATGAATGGTATTTTGGTATTTTCATACAATCCACATCCTAAAAGAGCGTATTATACATGGGTACGTATTATACGCGGAGAAATACGGTATTCCCCTTTCATACTGTTTCATTTTGAAGACAAACATAACGTTTTCAGGTGCTTAATTAGTGCAATAATTTCGTAATATTTTCGGCAAATTCGGCAATAGATCAGTTTTATTTGCTTCTGAGTGCCCTGGGCCTTAATATGAAAAAAAATTATAATAAAAACAAAGAGTCGTTTGTTCATTAATTAAAATAATTTTAAACCATTGTGTGTCATTGTCAGGCAAAAGAAAATTTCTGGTATGAGCCAGTCTGTGTAACACTTTTTATTACAACATAATACCAACGATTTTAAAATTGATGACTTCGTAAAACAGTTCAGGTGATATGAATTAGGACAAGAGATGTGAGATGATGAATCTAAAATTCTTGAAAAAATTTTATTGACTATTTTCCTTGTCTTGTAGGTGCAATGGAAGTTAACGGACGGAGGCACACAGCTAACCTAACTAATCTAACTTCGATTAGAAGGATTTTGTAGTTTGGAGACCAATTAGGAGGCAATCCTATTTGTTACTCCTACTAGGATTCTTGTTTAGTACTATTACGAAAGCATCAGGTTGAATATGATAGCAATACTTCATGCAAATCAAAGATTTGTGCAAGGTAATTGTGTACTCGCGGTACAAATAGCGTCAAACGCCGAAAAGAGGTCCAACTTCTAAAGCGTCTCTAGTGACGAATTATTACCGTTTACTGTGACCGTGATCTCTTCGGGTCTCAAATGAAAATGTTCTGTGGACTTCAAATCATCCTTATGCTTTTTCTCTTACGATAGAAGTATCTGTCAATTTCTTGCACCCGCAAAAGTCGTGTTGCATTTCTATTTTAGTTTTCATTCGAGTCACACTAGCATGGGACAACAGGACACGCAAGCAACAGATTGATAATTGTTTTTTGCACAAACTGCACATGCTTCTTCATCTGTGCATCGTTGAGTAAAATTTTCTTTTTCGAAAATATTATCGGTCGTGTGGTATTTCCTCAGCCTACTGCTTTACCTTTGTTTTCTTTTTAAATGTATTACACGCTTTTTTCAAACAGATTCAAATGTCCCGATGCTACTGGATAGGGTGTTTCATACATTGGACGAAGCCTTGGGACCTTTCCCGAATATGTCTGTCTGCATGGGAGCTCAAAGTTGAATATGTATTTATCATGTAATGTAGGTTTAATTAAACCTATTCGGTATTTTTGCGGGCGCATTCAATATTCTTCTTGACTTGAAAAAAGTCTTAGACCAAAAAAGGGTTCATGAGCGCCAACTTGCGAGAGGAAAGACATGTTTTATACCAAACACATCGTCGATGAAGAAAACAAACAAAGGTTTATTTGATTAACGCTATTGTAGATCACGCAAATAAACTACTTCTTCAAACAAATTACATTGAAATATATTATTATTTTATATAAGCATATTCGACTCTGCGATAAGCGGATAGGTGTAAGTTGTAAGCTGTAAGGTCACCGACAATTAATAATTATTCAGCTCATAGAAAACTGAAGCAAAATAACTGATTGCGACATTATTCAACGTATTACGTGCTTTAGAATGCAAATTGAGTATTTCACAGTGTTTCTTTGTCATTTATCTCACCTGACATCAACTTTCCGATTAGATTGACAAGCCTTTTGTCGTCGTTTATTATCTAGTAGAGTAAAAACTATTTTCGTTGAAAGTATTTTTATTGTCAACATTCTCAATAGATAATAAAAAAAAGTATAATTTATTATTGCTTTACAAAGGATTATATATATGTTTATTGTATTCATTAATTGAGAATATACTTCAGAAATTACGTTATTACTTGTTATTACTTACGTTATTAAGTGTTTGGCAGTGCTAATTGTTATATTGACTCATGATGTAGATGTAGATGATAAATTGTTATCGATCATTTTCAGAAAACAATTATAAATATGAAAATATCGGGAACTCAGTTAGGATTTTTATTCGTCGCCATCTTGCTCAAAAGCAATGCGGTTTCTGCATTAGGTAAGTACTAGAAATCTTAACTTAGACAGGAATAAAGTTTCCTATCAATTGACGAAGTCCTAGTAAAGCGAATGCACAATATGTGCTGAATTTTTGAAGCACTCCGATAAGACTTCGTAATCATTTTGATCAAATGAGCTTGACGTTATCTCGTCTCCGTACAGTTTCCAACATTGACCAAGACATAAATAAGTATTTACAGAAGTATCTATTGCGTGATGAATGCCAATTTTTCAGTTAGATGTACAATTAAGCAACCGTAATACTTTGATATACATCTAGCGATAATTTTCAAAACATTCTTTAGAAAACTTTTGAATCACAGATTACTTTGTTATACCTACAAGAGACGAGATTTTTTATTATTTCAAATTGAAACTGTTAATAAAAGCATTTTTTATTTATAATGTTCTATGTTCAATTTGTGCCGAATTATGTTCTTTTAATGAGTTAAATTTCGTCAACATGGACAAACTCCAATAAAAAAATATGTGCTGTTAAATATCTTGACAACTTTTGAATAATATGACTGAAAATGTTTACTATTTTTCATATATAAAAATTTCATTTATATATTTGTCTGAATGCTCCATCCAAACACAGGCAATAATTGGTAGAGATTGCCCATAATAAAACCCATCCCAGTTAATCAGCATCCCCATATAAAAAATTCCATTACTTTATACCTTGTTTGGTTTATTCATTCATGTAGAAATACTTGCATCCCGTGATTTGAACTAAATATATATTTAATTTCCGCCTCCACAACTAATTTTCACGAATGCAATATTTGCTTACATCACACACGTGGCGTGCCAAACACCGATTATGAGAATAGTTATAATCTCATAACTTGTTTGCTAATAAAAATCGATGAGCTGTCACTATTGAATAAATTAAATCTGTAAATAGGCACGAAACTATTGGTTGAAAAACAATAGAATGCGGGTACTCCTAAAGTATGCGCAACAAGATGTCGCACAGCCTGAACCCTAACCTGGTACACAACCGGAATTCAGGTTGTGCGCCATCTTAGGGCGCATACTTCAGGAGGTCCAGAATGCGAATATATCCACATTGAAAATGGAATTGCGCAATCATGTACATTTTGTAAATATCCTCTATAACCGACTCAGTGGCAGAAACAGCTAACTTGATTGATGAATACTTTAAATCAATTTAATCATGGACTAAACTTATATCTCTGAACTGGTTCTCAATATTAATATATATAAAATTACGCGATTTACAACAAGCAATTGTAGTTATTCGCAATATTAAATATGGTTTATCTAATAATTTGATAGATTTTTATTTTTGCTAGAAAAAACTTTACATAAATCACCTCATATACAACAAACAGCAACTTCAGTAGAAAACGTGACCTGGAAGTGTTTATTACACGTAAAATAGACCACAATATGCTCTTAAAATCCAATACATAATAATTCTTCTGTTGTGCAAAAATACATTACACAATACAAAGAAGCAAGGCGCAAATTCAGGAAAGTTACTAAAATTTCAAATGGTTTAAACATGACATATACTCTGCTGGGCAATCTCATCTAGGGACATATGGTACAAAGAAAATATCAATGAGATACTTTGTATTTGGTCTTCAAATTTGTGAGGATAATTAAAATGCGCAGCTATAAGAGAAATAAGTGAAGGTTTATCAATTTCATTTTGTAGTCTCGATCGAGGCGCCAGTAGAAGAGTATTGGGGAGTGCGTGATGATGCCGAACTCCAAATCCAGGCCAATGTAACCACAGACGTCGATTGGGGTAATGTAACAGTAATAGTGAAAACTCCTGACAACAGAGCATTTCCAGCAAACACTGAAGATGGTACGGATTCTACATCAAGGCTTTACACTTACGCCATCAAATCATTATTTAAAGCAGACGCTGGCGTGTATACATTCACAGTGGAAGATTCATCTACCGGAGTGACAGATAATGCAACAGTTACTGTATACAGTGAGTAAATGCTTTCTTCCTAAACTTCCTAAAATAATGCAGGATAAGCTAAATTGGCCTACTAAAAATCCCAACAGTGACACCGAATGAATCATATATTATTTTATCAAGCATAATTATATATTAACAATAAACACGTAACATGAAACACTGAAACCATCTTATACTAATCACTTATTCCTTTTGTTACTTGCTTCATGATATTTCGACTTGTTCTATATACAGTATACACCGTTGACGTGTTACCAATATCAGCTAGTCATCACGTTGTCGATGGTCAAAGCAGACTTAAACCTCTGCTGATACCGATATATGTCTCAACCGATGGAGACTGGGGCAATGTCGATGTAACTTCAATGACCCCAAGTGGGATTATCATCTTCGACGAGCTTCATCGAAACAAGTTTTCCATTTATGAGATTATATCAAGTGAACGTTGATGATGCGGAACCTGGGATTTACAATGTATCAGTAAATGAAATTTTAGGAGGACGGGAGTATGCACTTTTTTCAACATCAGAAGTACAAGTGTATGGTAAGTAATGTTTTATTTAAGTATTCTATATTTTGGAATAAGTAGCCTATATACATATCGCGTTTTAATGACAATTTTAGTCTGGTTTTCTAATTAAACAATAAACTCCTTCTTGGCTGTTCAGTAGAAAATGATAATTCAAAAAGGAAAATTTTAGGAAGTATAAGAGTTTGAAACCGAAAAGAAAAAAATATGCGAAATGCATTAGTATAAGAGAATTCGTTGCAAAGCTTCTTAAATGTAATTGATCCAAAATATATCACTTTAAAACTAAATCACTTTAAATATAAATACACCAACAAAACCTCACCAAGAAAAATTTCAAATGTCGTTGGTTATTTTAATTTAGAGGCAACATCGCCAGACGAATATTTGTACAGAATAGCTGAAAACAGAGTCAATATATTGAGCACCGTTTCCGATTTTCATCAATATTGGTACGATGGGCCAGATGACACCTATATATTGGACGGTGGTAATGATATGTATGACAGGGGAAATTATGTAAGATATTTTCATAAGTTTTATAGTCTGATTATTTGTTTGTTTTACAAGTAGTATCTGCGCATATCAGAGGCTGATTTTATATCTACATTCTTGCTCTGACGAAAGTGTGTACCACCTATAAAGTTATTAGCATTCGTACTGTATATAATTCTACAGTTTGTGTCGATTTCCTGTTGAACACTTTGTAAATTTGTTCCAATGTATGTAATAATGTGGTATTTTCCAATGTTTGTTGAAAGCTTGGCGAAAGTAACTGACCTGAAAAATCGTAAAATGCATTAATTAATTATTAATTCCAACGTTTTCATCAGTATATTTACTTTCATTAAGTTGTTGTGCAGTAATTTATTGCTTTACGAAGTGTGTGAATCCATATAACACCCGCGCCATCCATAATGAGATGTTAACGTTTTTTGATCAGCAGTTACTGCGATTCGATAATTTCTATGATCTATGAGCAATGAGCCAAAAATTGTCTGACATTGAAAAATATTGACACAGATGCGATAATAACATTTTTTAAACTGCATTATCTTATTGGCTGAGTCCACTATATATATTTGTTTTCCAAACGAAATATAATATTCAGTGCTATATACTGATCACTGCCGTTAATATATTATTTGAACATGTACTTGAGAATGGCTAGTTAGTGGTAAAGCAAACACTTTCTAATCGATATTGGAATGTTTTTTTGCAATCATTATCCCAGTATGATTTGACGGGATTCATCCCATGTCCAGCAATTACTTTAACAAACACGCCGGACAGTCAATAACGTATAGTTATAATTTATAACAAAACAATCGAGATCACGCGTGATATTAATCAACGACGCAAATTAAAATTTACAAAGGAATCACAAAGTAGCTTTCTGTTGCGAAATTATTTATCGTTTTCAGCAAAAATTGTTTACCACCATAAACCTTTGTTCAGATCACCATATCATCGGGCAACTCTGTCACTTCAAACGTGCCGTATGGAAAACCATTTACGTAAGCTTGTGAAATAACTCATAAAATGGGTATGGTAACCAATCCATTCCCGCGTCGCAGATTTTGTTTTTTATCTATGCTATGCATTACCATAATCTGTTGCCCGTATTTAGCAAACATAACGAAATTAATGTTATAGCGTCCGTATTTATATAAATATAGGTTGTCACGCCATTTCATTACACTTTATTCCTCACAATTTCTACCTAGATAAATGACTCAGTTTACACCAAGTGAAACCATTTAATGAATACATGTCAATAATCGAGGTGATGTATTTCATCGCAGTTGATTTTATGGCAACATCTCTATTGTAAGTTTATCGGGCGCTCCATAAGTGTGTGTACCAATATGGAGGTAACTAATTTTGTTTGCCTACTTTACATCAAGTTGTGTAAAGGGACTGAAGCCTATGTGGACAGTGAGTATATTGACTTGGCTAACACAGACAGTCCCCGAACTCGTAATAGAACTAAAATAAGGAAAATAGGAATAAAAGTATGGCTTAACCTGGTACACACACTACGGAAGTACCGTTTATTGTACTGTTTGGCATCGAAACTAATTCTTCATTAGATTATAACATTTGATTTAGTTGTTTTGTTGAGAATTGCAGAACTTTGACTTATTAATACATTTTAATCAATAGAACTCCATCGTACCTATTTTCATCAAAAACAACGTATCCGTTCACATCACTAATGTGGATTTCAAATGTCAATGGAGTCGAGGATATTTTTTCAATGAAGGTAAATAAAAATTCTACTTCGAACTTTGTTGACTTTTGAGTCAGTTATTTAAATGTATAAACTGTCCAACATGCCCATTGGGCCTAAAATACCTGGGTACGACATTCGCGCTAGACGATAGTCTCAAACTTGAACTTTCAATCTCCACCCTATCAAAAAGTATTCAATAGGGAATATTAAATATCCATCTGTGACCATACAATGTGTATTGTGGGACATAACTCTTGACATTTGCATACAGGTATCAGGTAAAACAGGTGCGTTTGGCACCGGGATGACTTCACAATTCAGTTCGTCGTTTACACATTCGGGGTACAATGTTTGGTATAAAACGTTTCAAGTTTACGATGCTTCTCCTGATCCAAGTATCTGCGAAGTTTATTTCTACGTCACAAACGAAGAGGTAGGAATTTCACCACGTTTTTTGCTTATCCTCACCGCGTTTTTGTGTTAGTGCTGTAAGCTACCCTTATATGAAGAATACCCTCCTATCAAAGATAGTAAGAGATCTGTTGAAAAATGGTGTATAGAAAGCTATTGCGTTAAATTTTTTTTTTATCTTTACAGCTTTGGGCTTCCGTTCCTCCAACGTCTGTCAACCTTACAGTGGCCAGTGCCTCGACTATAAACTTGGATAACACCTTTAGTGTATCAGGAGGACCACAAAACATTATGATTGGATATCTACTACTTTCCAAGTAAATGCCACGATTCTTTTATTTTAATATGTTTCATGGTGAGATATATCAATTTTAGCTGATTTATAATTCATAGATAATTTACTAATTCTAACATTCAGTCCAAATATCACAGTTCTTATGGTAACGAGACACTGCAGTCAGAAGTCAATCCTGTAATGCATAAAATAACAAGCGTGATAGAGGAGAAAGATGGTATGTATGTGTATAAGGTATAAAAATTCGTAGTACTCATTTGAATAAGCTATTTTGATTGCAAATTGGATACATGTAGCAAGAGTAAAAATAACTATCGCAGGTGATTCAAGAGTCTTGCTGCACACTAACACACGGATAGTTGAACTATGTATGTCTGAAGAAATATATTTGTGTTAGTGTGCAGCAAGACTCTTGAATCACTAGGGATACGGTAGTTATCTTTACTCTTGCTACAGCATCCTTGCATTATATGAATACGGATCGATCGGCATAGAAGAAGGATTAGTCCTTTCAATTTTGAAGTGTGTAATCTGAAAATATTATGCCTTATTTTGGAAAACAATTTGTCATATATATATTTATGCATTTAAAAAAAGCAAGTGTGAATTCTGCTAAAAATATTACCAACGCCGTCTAGAACTGATTACTGGAACTAATTTTTTGTAATGTTTCAACAGCATTTACAATAATGGCAGAAGAAGACGAAATAGAATTGGAAATGGGCGAAGAGAGTGCAACCCTATCTGTGACGATAACCAGCCTCGGAAATTGGAATGGTTACGATGTAACGCTTGAAACACCCTTGGGTGAAGTTTACAACGTGACCAACTATACAGACAACGATAATGCGCGCGTTTACAGCTATTCTTTGACATCGCTGACCGAATCCGACTCGGGAATGTACATATTTCATGCAACTGATAAATACAAATATGCTCTGACGGCTGAAACCAAACTCATCAGTGAGTAAATATATTCATGAACTTTGCGCAAAAGGTTTAATATATGGCCAATACTCATCAATTATTTATTCATCCTTGTTCAGTTAGCTCTGAACCACAAATCAACCAGAAGGCATTCGAATATAAGATAATGCACAATATTGATTCATCACATTTAAAAAAAAATATATAAAATGAAATTAATTATTTCGAAAGTTATTTGTTTACCAGATCCGGTTGTAATATGCACGTAATATTTTCGGAGAAACATTTTATATGTTTCAATTGGAAATCCTTTTTACTTATATTGTTCCAATAATCACTGAAACAGCAAGTAAATACATTTTGTTGCTATTAGTAAACAACAATCAAAATTGATATTCTCGTTGCAGTATTTTCAGCAGAAGTTATTATTGCCACCCCCGAGTACTGGGGAGTGACTAATGACGCTGAAGTGGTATTGAGCGTGATGGCGATTGCTAACAATTGGACGGATACAACGGTTATGGTTCTGAGACCAGATGGATCTGTCCACGAAGCGATTGCGGAAAGCAACACTGGAGTTATCAGAACTTTCACCCATCGTGTTACAAACCTGTTTGTGGAAGATGCTGGAGTTTATCAATTTACAACTCAAAGAAATGGACTCGTTTCATCGAGGCCTGGAAATGTCACTCTTTATTGTAAGTTATAGACGGCGCTGCAACACAATTATATTGAGTTATTATATGAATGATTTTCACTGGTGTGGATTTTCAGATGCAAATGTCACAATTTACGTGAAAACGGTTACAATTTACATCCTATACCTTATTGAATGTAGCGTTAGTATAATCGTGAAAGGATTTGTTAGCTTACGTTTGTCAATATTAAATTTTTACTGCATATTAAAGTATATTTGAATAGAATAACGTTCTTATTGTTTTAAAACAGTGTTCTCCATTGAAATTTTACCGGATTCCTCAAGCTCGCACGCAATTACAAAAGAAACTAAAGCAACCCTAATGGTATACGTTGCTTGCGATGGAGATTGGGCAAACGTTCAAGGAAAAGTCACAACACCGTCAAAGGACGTCATTGACATGTATAGTGAACCTGGAGCGGTGCCCAGCGTTAAAGCATATTTAGCCAACGTCACTGACGTCACAGCGGGACAGTATGACATTGTGATTACAGAGAGCCTCGGTGTAAGAACAGAGTCGAAATATTCCAGGGAAACCATTACAGTTCACAGTAAGTTTCCGTCTAAAATTAATAATTTTAGAGTTGAATGAGTTTGATGAAGAATTAAAATGCAAGCCATGATAACTATATTTCTATCCCAATCATTTGCTATGAATTAATTGAACACCATATTTGTAATTGTATTTATTTTGTAAAAGACGGCATCGTCTGGAATGTTGGGATTTTATTCTAGAGATGTAAGTGGTTAACCCTCATGTGTTTGCAGTACAAACTCATTAAATATACCAGATTGAAAAAGAATGTCATTCTGTATGCAAGGTGATCACGCATTTTGTATTAGTACTTTAGATTTAATGACTCTATTTTACAAAAGAACTGAACCAGAATGACCACTCCTGTTGTGCAACTGTCTGTCTAGTGTGATTTGTTATTTAAATTTAGGTTTGGCCCAGTATTTACGCTATGATTTACAACTCCTGCAACAAGACACAGCTACGTTCAAACCACCGAACTCGCACGCAAATATTGCGTTTAACGATCCGAATAAACAGTGGTAAATCGTTAGCTATACTCAAATAGGAGATTTAAACACTTACAAAATACTCCGACAAACATATCATGACTGCTTCTAAAATTCTTACATGTTCCTAAGCTTCCATAAATTCCCAGAACAAAGAAACCGATGTGGGTTTAGTACAAGACTGTCCTTGAAATATCAACCCATAAATGTAAAATAAATATAGCATATTTGAAGTTCGCTCTCCTTGTATATATTATATCATCATAAAAAGTTGTGGAATGCAATCCTGCGGTGGTGCCCGCAGTTCGTTTGACAGTATTGTTACTTTGTAATTTTGTAATTTTTAATTCAATTAATGCTTGGGAAATTCATCCAACAATCGTTTTGCATTTCTATATCACTTCCGGACTGATGGTGATTTAATTGTTTGTACACTTAACCATCGGGTGTGAGCTATGATAAACGATGTTATACTGCCCAATGACTTTATAATGATTTGTATAAACTTTTCAAGGATTAATCAATTTCGGAAAACCAACTGCAAATTACCATTCTGAGATATAGACTAGACCTCGAACGAATTTCAAAGCTTAAGATTATTTAGTCAAGAAATGAACGCAATACTCAACCATTAAAACGTCATTATTTCTGTTCATTATCGAATAAAGTAAAGTCAAAAGTGGATTATTTTATCGGATTTTATTATATTTTCACAGATTCCACTCATGTTGACGAATACTTATACAGAATTGGTTTGGTCACTGATGAGATAAGAGGTTACATTCCAGAATGGAAAGACTATTGGTATGATGGGGTCGATAATACGTACATTTCTGACGGAGGTTTCGATATGTATGACCGAGGAAATTACGTAAGTAAAAAATCAAGCGAATGTATACAAAGTAACCTATTCGTACGTAGTGTTTATGATCTCTATTATAGCAAGTTACCATGCAAGTTGTTATATTGAAAAAATCGCAATTATTTAGTTTGTAGCCAAATACTCGAAACATTCTCTCACGTACTGGAATAGCCAATGACTTTCATGTTTAACCAAATTAATCCGTTTTTCATTCATCAATGCGAAGTACATGTGTGTCACCCATAATTTATATATTTGTGTGAGCACATAGGTATAGGTATTTTAATAAGTGATCAGAATAGTTAATATCACTAGGTTTATTTCATTATTTTTTTTTATCAGATTTCGTATTCGTGGATGGAAAATAATCTGGCCGGAATGGAAACCCGCATACCATATGGAAAACCTTTTAAGTACGGATGAGTAAATACTAAATGTATATTTATGAGTTTAAATATTGCGGAATTAAAGTATGTTTATTCCCTGCCTGAAACACGCCTTCTGTGTAGCTGGAATAATTTTAGGATTTCAAGGAGCCTGTGTCTATAAATTTGAGAGCAAACAATTTTTATTTTGTCATAAAATTTACCGTATGGTCGAAATTGTTATAAGTAAGTCCTGGACTAATTTGAATATAACAGTGTCCTATATTTTTTATATCGACAGATATGAATCGTTCGAATTTCCTTGGCTAATTTGAATATAACAGTGTCTTATATTTTTATATCGACAGATATGAATCGTTCGAATTTTCGTCAAAAGCATTTTATCCCTTTGTTACTTTGATGTGGATTGACAATAGTAATCAAATTGGGTCCGATTATTCAATAACGGTAAGAGGATGAAGCAACTATAATAATTGTAATCCCATTATAAAATCGGAGTATTAAATTTTTTGAAAAATTCAAATAATAATTTATAATTATTTTCAACGTAGGTCGAAGGGAGAGCGGGCGCAGCTTTCGATTCGGTGGTAAACCAATACACACGTATTTTGTTTGAAGGAACGTATGACGTCACATATAATGTTTTCCATCTTAATGGAACTTCAGATCCGTCTATTTGTGAAGTCTATTTCTTGATTACAAACACATTCGTGAGTATTACCTATAATGTTGTCAAATGCTTGACGATATATATGAGCACACAGTATATTTAAATTCTTTCCGGCACTCTTTGAAAACAAAAACAATACGCATTTCAATTCCTAACCTGAATAGTTAAATGATCTAATGAGTCCTCTAATTTTCCACAATTTTAGATGTTTGCTCTCAGTTTAATTAATCACTAACATGTTAACTTGTAATGCCTCTATTTTGTTGACGCCAACAAAAAAAATCGCACGAAAGAAATATTTGCATTTGTGAAGTACTGACATGCACTGCACCTTCGAACTGTCAACTCTTTCACCAATATTGTTAATCAGCAAATTACATATGCCATACTTGTGTTTTGATCTTTAAAACATTTTAAAGATTTTTTAAAAAACGTAACTTCGTATATCACTTTTGCCTTACTAAATTATAATGTTATCGCTACACGCTGATAGCAATTTCGAATTTGTATGAAGTAACTTGTGGATAATTAAATCTAGCCCACAGAATAGTTGTTTTAATATTCTTTGCTGAATTTGAGTTGATGTTGGAAAGAATGTTTATCTTTAATATTCGTTGATTAACAAATGTATTTTCAAAGCAAATACCTATTTGTTTACAGCATTGGAATTCTGTAGCACCATCCTCTTTTCATATTCATGCAGCCGGTGCTTCTACTGGTATGCTGGAAAATACAGTTCACATGGGAGGTAGTCCAAGTAACGTCATGCTTGGTTATACTTTGCTGTCGAAGTGAGTTGATATACTTTTGTCAGTATAGTTACAGCTGTTAACAATGGCAAACATTTAACCAAGGTAAAAACATTACCACAATTAGCTATACAAGCCCAATATACTACAACTTTGGGGTGTATATTTCACACACCTGGTGTATAAAGAGACGAAGTTTATGGTATGATTTATGGCAGAATTATAACACATGAAAACATATTATCAAGCACGCACAAACAAAGTATTAACCACTAAATCAACTGGCATTCTCCCTTTATCATAATATTATGGTGGTAATCAATTGAACTTTGCTTCCGATAAGTGGCAAAATAAACACATTTGCGGTATTAATCTTTATTCGCACGAAAAAAGGTTACTACTGGCTTGAAATAGTTAACTTTAGAAAAGCACTAATATGAACTAGAAAAATGATATGAAGTACTAATATTACTATTATTACTAATATGACAAACCAAGGAAGGGGTCTAATTTTCTACACCTGTCCAGATTGGGTGAATAAATAATCAGTTGAATGTTCCATATAGCCGTGCAAGAACCATTCGTACTCTTCTACTTACCGCAAATTGTTAGCCTGTGATTTAGCAATACAAATCAAACATGAATTCCCTGATCAGGGTAAGTATAATCCCTGTTGTAAGCGTGGCTGTTTGAAATTTATTTTTAAATTCACTAGAGCAAATGGTGCTGAAGTTACCTATCTTGATGTTGAAAGAGTCTTGGAAAAGTACGTCGATATAATTGCTGAAAGGGACCGTAAGTCACATTTTTATAAGTGTAAATTGATTATATTAAGTATTTCACAATTCGAATTCATTCAAATAGCGATGGGTTTATTCCATTCACCGATCATGTAAAATCGCTTTGATCGCACATGTTTCTTGCTAGACAGCAACACGAAGCTTTAGTTACAATCTGTACAACATGAAAAGTTTCTTTATTTCACGAGTTTTGTAATAATTGGCAAGCATGCTTATGTTGCAATACAAACATGGGGTACCAACAGGGAATGATTTCTTCAGTGTACTTAATGTGATATGTATACAGATTATTGATATGTGCGTCATAGGGATGGGTGGATGACCTTCTTGATAAGTTGATATATTTAAAATGCATTGTCATCGCATTATTACTTCAAATGATTTATAAAGCAAACTTTAAATCGAAGTGGAATTTTTATGGCCAAATAAAAGCCCTTTGACTGGAGGGTTTCACTTTGTCATGTTTCAGTTATTTTTCAAATACTTTGGCCGTTGGGGTAGAACATTAAATTTCATTATCCAACAAATAAATCTCGGTTAAACGCGTTGCTATAACATAACTGTTTCATGTAGATTAAAATGACCATACTGCGAAGTTGTATATAAAATAAGCATAAAATATTATTATCTCTGTTTACAATATTGGATCACTGTTCATTTGTCCGCTAGAACATTTATAATACTAGAATCACGTATTGAAACCGCATTATTAGCCCATGACGAAGGAACGAAGCGTGCCGTGTTTACGTAAAGATTTGGTGGCGTCACAAGATGTCACTATGGATGAGTTAAAATTCAGTCGTTTGATGAAGTTTCAGTAGCAAAAATTTATCTTCTTAAAAATTATCTTTCATCATTGGTGAGTTCGAGTGCTAGATTTTATCTGGATCAGGGTTAACAGAATCTCCTTGGACATTTTATAGCATGGCGATTACATAAATATAACAAGGTTTATTATTCTCAGACAATGATTGGGCGAATTAGTTTTTTTTGTCACATGCAACTACTGTGTTCAAATATACCGTTCTTTTTTGGCACAGAACACACTAGTTTTACACGTTGTAGTGTAGAGTGAGTGGATCGGTTTTAAACGGAATAAGAAGGACTCGAACTTACTTACTGTTTAACTAAACAATATTCAAGTTGAAATAATTTAGTACTGAATTTGCAGAATTCGGTATTCGAACGACATCTGACGACGGGTATTACGTTTCAACATCTGGCGAAAATGCCACCGTACAAGCAACAGTCACCACAAGTGGGAAATGGAACGGAATAAACGTTGAAGTCACTCTACCATCGGGCCAAATAAAACCGGTCACAGATTATACACTAGATCCAATTCACACAAAGAGAATTTACGAGTATCACATAATTGGAGCTAGATCTTCAGATATTGGAGATTATTCGTTTGCTGTCACAGACAAGTATGATGAATTAGAGACAACAGCTGGTTATTTGCACGGTTAGTCTCATATTTTAGTTCTAGAAAATTAGACTATATTAATCGAAAAAATTAATTGTGTGATATCCAATATAATTCAACAGAATATTATTTGTTTATAATTCAAGCAAGATTGGGTTAGGTTCGAGACGCTAATGTCTAACTGTTCTAACACGATTAACTTCCGCAGCAACCGAAAGGAATTTGACCTTCGATGCATTTTTATATTTTTCGAAATATTAAATAATTGTAAAGATGCAGTTTAAATTTATGATATTATACATCTGTACTGCTATTCTGTGACAATGTTATAATAAGTATTAATATTTTAAGCCGAATCATATAAAAACAAGTTGAATCTCCCTCCAACAATATACTTTTGTCAGATGCATAGAAAGCATCGGGCTCTGTGTTTTGGATCATCATATGTCTATCTGTTCATTATCCTACTTTATCCAGTATTTACCACGGAGATTCTACCTACTTCGGAGTCTGAATATGTGGGTGATTCTGGCGACACAGTGACAATGGAGATATTTGTCCGCACCGAAAACACAAATCTTGGCATGTTGAACGTCGAAATCGAAACACCAAATCTTGGCGCCGTTCCAGTGACGGACCGGACAACAGATTCGACCAACATTATTACGTACCGATACGAAGTGGTAAACCCAACCCATGAACAAGATAATGGTCTTTATAGATTTCATGTTGTGGAGAACTTCGAGACATATACTGATGAAAGCACATGGGATGTAACGTTAGATGGTATGTGCCATTAGTCTAAAAGTTTATGACATGAATGTAACACAGTACTAAGCACATAAGACGAATTTATTACAGTATGTATATATATTAATACATAATAAATTATAACAACAAGATGCGTATTACAAATAAATGTAAATCGTGAGATTATTTTTCTTTATGTCTCAGTTTTCTCTGTATCATCGTCAATTGAAACACCAAGCTACACCACAAATATGGGAGCTGAGACCTTGCAAATATCTGGATTGATTTCAACTTTGGGAAACTGGGAATTTGTAGACGTGACTATACGCACACCAGCACGTGGAACGCCAGAAGTGGCTGCTTATGAATTGACTGAAAATCCCGCTACTAGAATTTACATTTACACTATGAGAGAAGTTACGTCTAGAGATTCGGGAGCGTATCAGTTTGTTGCCACCGAAACTATCAACAATGAACAGCGAGTAACTGAATCGGAATCCATAGAAGTCATAGTAAAAGGTATATGATGATTCACTATCAAGTTTGAATGCAACAAACCTAAAGGAGTCAATAATATTCTTTGTATCTTAACATCAAATTTGTAATGTAAATAGTCAAAATAGTTTTAGCTACTTTCTTTCATTATACTACGACTTTATTTCAGAGGAAAAATTATCTGGTGGAGAGATAGCGGGAATTGTTATTGGATCTATTGCAGGAGCAGCAATTTCAATAGGATTACTTGTTTACTGGTAAGATTTACATTCACATAAATTATTAGCGGTTCCTAATAAAATTTGTAGTCCTACTAATAGTTTTAACAACTGTTTTCTTGTTTACTAAAGAACTTTGCTATCACGAGCAGTAAAGCAGAAGCAGAAAAAAAAATTTCCTAAATCGAAATCTGGACATCGGCTATGCTAAATCGGAATTCAGCCATATTTTATTTTATCAAAGAAATAATTTGTAATAATTAAAGCCCGTTTGTGGATTATTCTAAACCACTATTTTTGTTTGCATGATATGCAGCTGCAGGAGGGGGAATTCCAAAAGTGAAAAGTCATCAGTTCCACTCAACGACGACGTAACAGCTCCGGTAAAAGAGAAGTCACCTGAAAACACAGAGAAGAGTGTTGAGAAGAAAGAAAAAGATGATGATGTAACTGCTCTTTAGTCGGTTATAACAAATGAAACATTTTTTCTTCTGACTTGTTGGTGAAAAAAACATGTTTATTGATAAAAAAGGTGACGAAATATGCATTGTTTTATGGACTCATATCTCGCCTTGTTCAGGATTTTAGTTATTGTGGAAAGTCAATATTTCTGTGGTTATTTTGTTTTTCAATTTGTTATCACTTAACACTAAATTATACGATTTAATATTAATTTCAATAGCAATAAATTTTACGCTTCTTGTCCTCTTCGTCGACTCTATAGTTCAATTCTCGAATATAAACGGGAACTGGGAAAGTCAAGCAACAGCGAGAGAGAAATAGCACAATTTGCGTATTATCGTTTATTATCGTGGTGAGTTATTAATTTGTTATTGTGTGTGAACGCTCAGCAATCTGTCTGAGTGATGTATTCTATGTTTTCGGTGGTTCTCATGTTGAGAGGACTACTTACAATAAAAAAGTCGCATACAGTTACTTATCTCTCATTGACTTCCAAGTATTCGAGATTCGATTCGAAAAAAAATATTCGATTCTGAAATCATCAGGTATTCGAAAACGCCTAGCCCTATTTGTTGCCTAGTTTCATTTCATAGGTAGGTTATAAGTAGCTCCCGTTTAACTTATCCTTATATTAACAAATTTCTCGTTGGAAAATTTTAAAAACAGGGTAGGAGTTGAAGTACCAACCGGGAAGTGTATTGTGTATTCAAGTATGCGAGGTTTAGTTTTCTATGTATAACAAAATATTGTACTTTTCTAGTTTGATTTGTCGCATACTACCCTATGTTTTGAGGGATGAAACACTACGTTATTTTATATAAAAGTGACACAAACGAATCTTTTTTGATTCAATGTTTATTATGCGACTTTGGTATTTACTTTGAGTTGTATGGGTTATTTGATTGTTTTAGAATATGATAGAAATTGACGGGTTCCTTTACATCTGAACCGTGTGCCGCTATAGTGAATCATGAAAAGTGTTTCGATGCTTTTTTTAACAAAATTTCAATAATGAAAAATTTTACCCAACTTGAACCTAACTTGAATATTGAACTTATGCGGGAAAACTCATCTAAACAAATCTTCAAGTAAATGTTAGGATGATGTACCGACTGTGGTTCTGTTGCCATGGTCCATAAATAGCGAAATAATTTTTATGTTTATCTCAGTACCACACTGTCACTCGCAACTTATTATATATATGTCGTTTCGTTTCGTTCGTTCGAAATGGATCAGAAGTAAGTATCACACAGATTTAAAAATTTAATGATATATCAACAACCATATCTACCAACGACATCTATTCCACGCTGTTTTTTGGAAATAGACGTTAGAGCTTGTTATCGATAGATTGCGGCTTGTTATTTTGATAATAATTTAATTTTAATTTTGGTAATAAAACTGATATCGTTCAATTATAATTAAATTTGGATCGAACATCAATATGAGTGGTTAAAATAGTGATGGTATCAAGTCTAATAGACCGTTACTATATATAGCATTGTTAAAAAAAAATATCAGGTAGGCTCTTTACTTTTTAATTTTAAATATGTACGTATTGTAGGAGTCCTTTTAAAAAATTACCGAGTCGCTAAATGATAATCCTTAACTAAACGAAGTACGAATACGCAGATAACTTCAAATACTTCAAAATTTATGTTATGAAAATTTGAAGCTCATTATTTACAAAACGCACTTGAATAGTTTGGCAATTATACCTCCTATATCCGTGTCAAGAACGGGGCGATAATCCTTTCAATGTAAACATATCCACGCAAAGTCAAAAGTTTACTTGCAGACTTTGATGTGGCGAGGAAGTCCATTTGGAGAAACGTTTATTTTCGATCTAATTATATCTTGGGATAAACACGTTTGAGTCGAATTGATATCACGAATATGATAAACTTATCACAAACTAGAGCATTACTAGAGGCGTGGCATTTCAAAAATAAAATACCAAGTTACAGACATGCACGAGCAGGAGTCAAATACGTACCAATTACGTGAAATAAAGCAGTTATTTCATGAATTCAAACAATACATCCGTGCCATCCGTACCATTCCATGAATGCAGCGCTCGGGCAATGGCGATTTGAAAAATCTTAATAAGTAAATATTTTACCTCCTATCACTAATGAATTGTTTATCATCAAACTTGTATAGGATTGTACCCATATTTTAACAAGTTAGCGCTAGACCACTCGCAATTGAATGCGATGTCCACGCCGTGTCTAATAAATGGTATAGTCATGTTATTATCTCATTATGGCATCATATACTATTGAACTTTCGTCCTCACAAAAAAGCAAAATCATCACAAAAATCTATATTATATTATTAATAATATATTATTAATCTATAAATTAGCATTGATATAAATATTATATAAGTACAATTACTCGCAACCTTAAATGAAATGAACCCAAACATTAAAACAAACAAATAAGGTTTGAGAACGTGATCTGACACACTTTTCACCAACTAGTCTTTAACCAAACCTGCGTTAAAAATATATAGGAAATATACATAATAAAAGTTTTCAGTGAAATTCTATTAAATGCTTGCAGCAACAAAACAAAAATAAAACTATGTCAGTAATCTACAATTTTAAAATTTTTAGTTTGCACATAAAAACGCATATTAATGTTTAGATCTCTCTGATTGAATGTTATGTTCAGTATTTAAATTACTTGAAATTAGGATTAAATGGATTTTTTTGTAATAGGCAGGTTACGGGAATATTGCTACTGCCAACATTGTTATGCCCACTTTGTCATTTTTAACAACGGTAGCCTTATTCTTTATTTCTGTATTGGTCGAGTAAGGAACATTCACGAGTTTTTCACTAAAGTAGGCATATTTATAATAGTAGTAATTTTTATATGTGTTTCAGCTATAGTTTGTATATTCTCTCCTCTTTCAACGTTACTTATTGTGCTTCTGTTTCTGTAGTGCCATGGAAAAATTGTTCTTTTCCATTCCGGAAAAGATAATATTACCATTATTAAGTTAACAAATAAACTCAGTTGCATGAACAGAGGCAAAGTTATTCCGTCATTCAACACGGACGATGCTGCCATGGAGCTTCCAATGACATCAGTAACTGCACACCCAGTGGATGTCAATAATGCTCTTTTTATAACTGGATTAAGATCTCTGTTAAGATTTCGATTTGGTGTAGCTTTGTTATTCTCAATCATAGCACCCTTTTTCATTGTTGTGTAATGTTTGTACAACGGAAGTACAAAAAGACTGAGCAGAATCCCTTGCATGAGTAAAGATATAGTACCGTTCATGATCCATACCACATGTGCTGAAAACGTGGAATGTATAATCGCACACCCTGAATCGACGACGCCAAAGGAATATGCCGTTACATAAATTAAGTATGTCGATAACGGAGAAGCGACAACTAGTACAGCAACAGCTATGCTCAAAATTCTTGTACACGGATTGGTTAAATGTTGTAATGCTGGGTTGGCGTAAATTGACCTTTGACGAAACCACATTGCTGCATACGCAAATGTAGAAGAAAAGCTTCCACCCGTTCCTCTCATAACTCTAATTTGTCGACATATACTAGGTACGTATATATCCACTAAAATCTTCTCTATTATCGGGCAGTTGATCATAACGCATACAGTTAACATGAACCTTGCAGCTTTCATACACGTTCCTAACTTTTTTGCAGTTTTCTCCCTGCATTCAGTTTTGATCGTAGTCCCAGTACATAAGTCAATTGAAAGAACAATCAAAATATAGCAACTCAAAATCAATGTTGTTCCCGAAACTATGACGATCTTTAGCCAATTTTCCCACAACTGATTCGTTTTCCATATATTTCTTGTCGTAAAATATTCACCGGTGGCGCCAACTGTAGAATTTTGTACAGCACATGGTGTTGTCGTGTTGTAGTCTTCCATTTTTTGATAAAAATAGTATCTATCCTGAAATTATCTACTCGAGAATACCACAAATGCAGGCGTAACATTGATAGTTATATAATATGCTGTCGTTGGCAAATTTATAATCTTGTTTAAATTGTTATTTTTTCGTCATTTTGCAATTAAATATAAGTCATAAGGTTTAGTATTTAGATGTTATCGAGGACTATTCGAAATAATTTTGGAATATAAATGAGTCAATTTCGCGATAATTTATAACGTTATCAGCAGTTATTGCACGCAACCTTACGTTTATTCAATCTATTTCCATTCCGGCTTTTTGCTCATGTTTGCCGTGGACATAAACTGTAGTAGCCATAGTAGTAGCCCAATACGAAAGAAAAATAAATGTCAAAGCAATTTTGAGTACTTAACATCAATGAGCATGCGATCTACAAACTACCTCAGTGGGGCAATTTTGTTCTACTACAATCACAATTAAACCATAACGTCCGTTCGCGTTATATAAATCTAAATGCTTGGTGAAACGTCAGCGCGTAAGTTAATAACCAGGTTTGAAAAAATTGTGTTTAAATATACAGTGACATAGCAAAATTGTGTGCAAACGAAATTGTTCTCTAGGGTCATACAAAATATTCCTATATTTTCTAAACAAAAAATGATAATGATATACCCATTGTTTACAAGTCCACTAATGCTTAAATATGGCAAATCAAACACATAAGGATTCGGATTATTCGCATTCATTCTTTTCCTCGATGTGGGTAATCAGTGCCTCAACATTGGGTCATTATGAAGTAATCATCATAATCTTTAACAGTCAAACTATTGTTTCTGCATATCCACAAAAAGTTTTTCATATATTTAACTTTATACAAATACACACTCAATTCAATTTAACGTATAAAACCTCTCTGTTAGAATAGAAGAAAAATTCAATAATAATAGAAATATTCAGGTTTTCATTTTTTTCTTGTATAAACACTTAACACAATGGTACATTTAATTATTTTAATAACCACGTTATTGTATATTTTTGATTTCCCTGAACCGCACTCGAGATTATGAGTCACATATTTTAAACCGCATAATAAGCTTACTTGAAATATGATTCTACATATACTACATCTGGTAAATTGAATAAAATGCACTGTAGAGTAGATACAATACAAATATTTCACCTATGCCTGAATAAAATATACCGTGCTTTCAACGTTCTATTTTTTGTTTAATGTATAAACAGGATCATGTATTTCTGGAAAATGAACTGACCAAAGCAACCAAGTCTGCGCAAACTTTTTTGTTTACTTACAACAGCTTCAAACTTTTCATCCAAATACATAACTCAGCCTAAATCTGTATATCATATTACAATGTGCATACCGGCACGACGAACTATGTATAATAAAGCACAGATTCACAGCAAAAGATTAAACAAGAATAATTGCCGCCTCATTGCCTAAAACGCCTGTAGACAGTTGAGTTCTTGAGAATTAAAATAATGCCAACAACAATGACGTCACCACAATCAAAATTACCGTTTTCGAATGAAACTGCTTTTTTTCTCTCTCTTCGAATTCCCTGAACTAATATCCGAGAAAATACTGAAATAAACGACGGAATCATATATTTCAATATTTTGTATTCTGAGTCATAGTTCGCAGAGATACTATTATCATTCAAATAGATTTTATAATCGTTATTTCGTACAAGAAAATACAGATCGCAAAATTTTACAAAAGGAAAAAGTTTATTGAAAATAATTTGACATGCTTTACCCTTATATTTGAAAGCGTCTTATTGAAATCGACTTCGATTTCCGCATATTTGAATATTGCTAAGATTGTGTGTTTATGTTTGGGCATTGATACATTTATTCAAAGCTGAAAAGTATTGAAAACAAGCCATGGTGGTACCTGTAGATGCAATTCTGAAGTCACTGAACTGTCTGCACCTTGAATTATGCAAGAGAATTTTATATGCCCATGCTGAATAAATGAATATTAGAATGAAAAAAGAGAAGAAAAAAAAAAAACGGGAAATAATTTCTAAAAATAAGTTCGGGGACTAGCCAAGTGACTCCCGTAGTAGTTGTACGTGAAATTACGGCCTAACCCTAACCTGATACACATAGGCTACTACGTTCCGGTATCCGCCATCTTGTTGCCCATACTACGGGAGTACCCAATTTACAACGATCCAGCAATGAGACATCTTACCACAAAGACGTAAAAGTATAGTAAAAGCATAATATATTATTTGATGATTCTGACAGTAAATGGAGGTATACCTTTTGTATAGGTTTTATTGTATCGATTCACGGCGAAAATTCCAGAAAACAAAAATCAAAAGCTTTTTAAAATAAAGTAGTTTTTGTGATGTGTACGGTACACAACTCCGCAAAATTAAACAATTGGTAAACTTTAGCGCAAGGTATTATGAGGTAAATTGATTATTGTTATAAACAAACTAGTAACTATCGGGTTTATGCGAATAAAATGTTTTTTGGCAATAATTCCAACAAAACGTATTTTTATGCGAAATAAATTCACCGATCATAGGCAGTTACGATAGGCGAATACGACTTTTGACGTCATTGTCGTCTTATCGAAGAATATACCCACATCTTAATTTCTCCGACAAGTCTTATCTTTCTTGTTTTTTGCTGTTAACGAAGCCAAATTGTTTTGTTACGGTATACAAAATATTTTCTATCTTTTCCGAACACCAAAGGGCAGCCATAAAGGTATGATAATTGTTTAGAAGTTCATTAATGTCATAAAATATTGCAAATGAAACGCATAAAGATTTAAAACATACTCGCAATCATTTATTATTTTCACTCGATGAAGTTACTTAGTTCCTCGTCGTCGTCATCTGTTAAATATTGGTTATTAAGACTATGACGTAACCACCATAAAGTTTAAACTTGTCTGTTAGAATATGAGAAAATTCTATTATAACTAAAAATAATTTAAGAATATTTCAATTATACAGGTCTGTATATTTCTGTCTAAACACTTGACACAATGGCACATTTTTTTTATAACCATGCTATTGGTTGCTCTGATTTCTCGTAATCGCACTCAAGATTATGATAATATAATATGGTCCTACACCCATTCATCTAGATAAATAATCCAATACAAGAATTTTGCAGTCTGGTTACGAAAAGAAATTTGAACTAAATTGTGCAATGAAATGCACTGTAAAGATTTATTTTGCATTGCAAATATTTCACCTATGCCAGAACACAGATAAGTTGTGCTTACAAAGTTTCATCCCCTGCCATTATTGAATTTATAAACAGGATCATGTATTGCGGAAAATGAAGTGACTAAGGCTAAGGGTTTGCGCAAATTCGTTTGGTTACCTACAACTGCTCTAGGGTTTTTGATAACATTAGTAAAACATATCTTGTAGCTTAAAAACTGTGAAAAGCGGAAATTCAAATTATAAGATAAAATTTCACTAAAGATAATTGTACGCTTGTTCAATATTAAACATCCATCCCGTTTTCTTGACAATTAAAACAATATCATCTACAATGACGTCACAACATTAAAATTACCGTTTTCGAAGGAAACGCTTTTTATTGATTTCGATGAACTAATATCCCCGAAAAGTAAAAATATACACCACTGAATCATATATTTCAATATTTTTATTCTGTGTTACAGTTAGCAGAAATTCTTTTACCATTCAAATAGATTTTATAATTGCTTATTTGAATAAGAAAATACAGATCGCTATAACCATTGTTTTTGTTAAATTTTTAAAAATAAAAATGTGTTAAAAAGAATTTGGAATACTTCACCCCAATAGTTTGAAGCATTTCATCAAAATCGAATTTGATTTTCGGATATTTAAACATTTCGAATATTGTGTATTTATGTTTCGTAATTGATACAACTTATTCAAAATTATCCAAAGTTGGCAAGTATCAAAAATAAACCGCGGTGATACAAGTGGATGGTGCTTTGATTTATGCTGAATGAATGAATATTAAAAAAAAATTGAAAGGAAGAATAAAAACAGGAAATAATTTATTAAAAGAAATTATAAATGAAAAGCCAAGCTGACATCAGAAATTAAATGTATATTAAGCAGTACGTAAAATAGTAGAAACATAATATATTATTTGGTGCCTTTGTCCGCCAATGGAATGATAATTTTTGTATAGGTTTCGTGATAGGATGGATACAGCCAAAACACCAAAGGAAAAACCAGTAGCTTTTGAAACAAATTTTCTGGGATAAAGTGATGGATGTATAATATACGGTATGCACTCCCACAAAATTAAAAATCTGCAAAAACTGACGAAAGTGGCATTTGGTCGTTGTGGCTATTTCCACTTTGAAGAATACACCCACAGCTTTAACTTCTCCGCCAATTTTTTCCTATAAAGGAAACTGTGGAGTAATCTCTCATTGTGACGACATTAATATTTTCATCTTGGAATTTACTCAGGCTTCTGTCTCTTTGCTGGAAATTCTACCCTGGCTACTCTCCTCTTCGGGCGGTTTGGTGATCCAAATATGGATACAACACGGCAGCATTTTCTTTTTCCAATCCGGGAAAGACAACAAAACCATTAAAAGGTTTACCAGAAGAGTGATATACATTGACAACGGTAAAGTAACACCGTCACGTAAAACAGATGAAGCAGCCATAGCGACAGATAATGTATCGGTGATAGAACAAGCCAAGCCTGTAATAAAAGCCCTTCGTGTAATAGATTTGATTTTTAGACGATTCCCTAAATTTCCACCTTGTGTTAGGTTTGACTTATGCTTGTATAAAGGAATAACAAAAAGCCAAAGCAACATAAATTGCATCAGAAGGGAAGTCGAGCCAATGACAATCCACATCGCTTGTGGATTTACAGTCGAAGAAACAATAGCACATCCAGAATCCACCACAGCAAATGTATAAGCAGATACATAAATAAGAAATGTTGTCAGAGGAGATAGGGTCAGGAGAAAAACAACAACTATACTTAAGGTACGCGTCGTCTTTGTTGTAAGATGTCTCATTGCTGGATCGTTATAAATTGACCTCTGGCGGAACCACAGAGTAAGATACGAAAACAGGAACACAAAACTGCCTGCTGTCCCTCTTATTCTTCTCATAACGGGACACAGGCTTGGAACATACAACTCGACGATAATTTTTTCAGTAGCAGGGGTGTTGAACAGCACCATACAAGCAGTTATAAGCAATGATATTTCCATTAAAATCCGATATCGTTTTGGTCCTTTCTTTTTAAGACTTTTCGATAGATTTTTCATCCTCGATAAATGTATGATCATCGCTATTACAATGTAAAGATTTAATATGAATCCACATCCCGTCACAGCTACAAGTGTCAACCAATTTCGATAAAGTTGATCCGTTTTCCAAATCGTATTTCCATCAGTTGCAGTGACATTACTCACATAAACTTCGGTGGTATTAACCACAGTATACCCATTCATGCTGGTGGATACGGGCATAAAAAGAATCTCATAAGCAAGCTAACGGGTAGTTTTGTATATAAAGCTTCCTGCAATGAAGTTACAAAGATAAATGACGTACGAATTTTACGAAGTATCTATCATATTTGAGCTAATTTTGGCAAAATACAAACTTATTGCATGAATCAGGATCCAAAATTGATAATTGCTTTTACTGCGTGGCTTCAACACTCATGAGCAAGAAAGGTATCGTTGAATAAAGTTATTCGCCATGAGAAAAATATTCCCTAAAGCGTTATTCAATTATCTCGTAAGTGGCAGTAATTAACCTTGTTAGTTTTACATCACTCCTATTATATGTAAGCCAAACGTCCTTGATTGTTTTCAATTATTTATTATCAAGGTTGTATGATCGTGAATTCATTGTACATAATTAAAGGGTTTCTATGTAATCAACCAAAAAAAAATCATAAAAGACTGAAAACGGTTCAACAATAGCGTATTATATTGGTATATCCTAACCGTCGAATAAACACAAAATTCTTACTAGCAAAGAGTTTGTAGTTTATCATGTCTGTTTCTGTTATTTGACATCGCGAAATACTTAATCTTCGAACTTTGTAAAACAAAACAGACGCAGACAAAAAGTCACAAATTCTGCGGTAAACTTTATACAGGGTGGTCGCTAGAAAAACAGAAAATTTGACAAACAGCTATTTATTTTCACAAAGAATAACTTTTACAAAGTTTTTTAAAAGCACGTGTTAGATGCTCAAAATATTGTCCGTGCACTTAGAAGCAGTGTCCTAATCTAAGTCCAAGCTCGTGTAACGTTTTGAAGGTGTATTTATTGAATATCGTTCCAATTTAAATTATATACCTATAAGCATTTTATTCGTAATCTCATCTGATCTTAAAATTTCCTGCTTTTCTATCAACCACTATGTATGTATTACGTGAATCCGATAATGATTCCCAAAGTACCATATTTCGCAAAAGCAGTATACTTAAAAAACACAATTTGCTTTAATGACTATAAATTGCCATAAAAATTTTCTACTTGGCATATTTTCAAGAATGACATTAGTACCTCCGCTCTAAAGATAATAAGAAATATCAGTGACCGAAAAACGTATGATATATATTATAATAATTTAGGTATATTTTTGTACGCAATTATTCAAATAACAGCATTTAAAATTGCGGTCAGTGATAGAACTTTGATAATTGAGTTCAGCTAATAAGAAATTCCACCCAATTCATTTTCTAGAAATACGAAAAAAAGTACAAATTTCAGGTCAATTCAAGTCAAACTTATAATCGAAGTCAATAATAATTTAAAGTCACAATGGTAACAGTTTTTGAAATACACAACTTACACGAAAGCGCCTAATTAAATTCTGAGCATCAGAGTATAAAGCACTGATAAAAAAAAACTGATAGAATAATAAATTTACTAATTATTAATACGAAAGCCTTGTTAACCAAAATCCAGCCGGATAAATATGTTACTAAGATTGAAAAAACATTCGTTATGATGACATATGGAAGATTTATAATATTGGCGATTTTAAGCGTTGACTTCTAATGTTCTATAAAACATATATTTCTAATTTTTGATCCTAAAGTTGTCTATCGCTGCCAAACAATAACAAATAACCATAGCAACAAACGAACACATACACAAATCTTCTAAAAGTAAGAACGGCAAACAAATAATCGAAGTTAACGTATGCGTTATCTACAGACTTATATAGACAGCCTCGAGATATTGCTTAGCATATAATTTATTGGATTTGCACATATTTAAATTTTAGAACGTCAGAACTGACTATTCCTTAGATTTCACTAACGGACATGTAAATTTCAAAACAGAACAACGGTATAACAATTTCTGCAACGAATAAGAGTCACAACACTTTATGCAAAAAAATCCAGGTTGTCGAAAGGTTGAAACAGTTGCATTACAGTGCATTATTCAAAAATCTGTCTCACTTAGATTACTTATAATGTAAATATATGATTCTTATACGTATATAAATGAAACGACAGCCTTAGCACTTAATTAGCGAATTCATAGGACAATGGACTGCTAACCGTGGTAATATCACACCTGAAGCTTTATTCATTGTCCTATACCACGCAGTGACATTTGTCATACGATTCCTTATTTGGCTAAATAATCCATATAGCCTTATCAAATTATGAGTAAAGCACGTCAATGACATCATTCAATTTTAATGAATGGCGTTGATTCACTTGATGATTTGAATTTACTTTTACGCGTTTCTCCTCCAATTTGGATTATGGCCATATATATACTTTAGTATACATTATAAAATTATTATGTAGTGAATACTTTGTTCAATTGATACCATAACACTTCAACAATATAGTATAGATGCCGGAAAAAATCATATTCTAACACAATTTTTTTTTATGAAAACATGAACTTTTCATTGAAAAAAGGAACCCCATCTAAATGTTGCCGTATTCAGTCTCTCTGTCGTTTTCTATATTTATACTAGTCACAATATTCGCATATACTCACGTCGTGCGTTATCAATCGAATAAAATTCGACAAGTTAGGCTATATATAGTCCTACACATAAAAACTTTTTTCGATTGTCTATATTGCTTCTGTATCTTCATCCATTATACTGTTTGTTTGAAATCATAGTAAAAGCCCAGAAGTTCCTAATTATGAAAAGATAAGATTTATGTGCGCACTTCCGCAGCAGTTAATATATTATTATTATTTGATGAAGTCGCTTCTTACAGCCGTGGGTGTATTAACTGTAGTGATATAAAACAAATGTGTGGGTAATGACTATAATATATAATATAAACGGATGTATATATTTTAGTCAGCTTTTTCAGTCAACTTTGACTCAATACAGCTCTGTTCTATTTCATGTTAACACTTAATTTCATGTGTAAAATCCGGGAGAGATGATTGGCAAAATATTTTATCGCCGCAAGTTGGTTTACATATATACGGCATGTTTTGACAAAAGGGGTTCGGCAAACTGTGACCCGCATGCCAAGTACGGCCCGTCAACTATATTTTTGCGGCCGTCGAACGACCTCAATTTTATGCTATAATAACTATAAAGCAAAAATTGATCCTAAATTCATTATTTGTTCCACACGGATTTATGTCGTAAGTTCTTGCTGTACGCCGCTAATTTTGCAGTAAGTAGCATATCGTTCGTTTTATTTATCACATTAGTTAATTCTAATTTTTAAAATCTAGCATTAAAATTCCCTGAGACGTAGGAAAGAAAGTACAACATTTAAAAGTGCCTGTATGAAAAAATATATCCTTCCTAAGCTTCTCAAAACATGTTTTCTTGATATGCCTAGCCAGTATCACAGTTAAGGAAATTAATGTAAACCTCATTACGAAACGTGTCATTGCCAAAAACAAATTCGACCCCGAGACCCTGATATGCGCCACTGCTCATCTGTATGACAATGAAAACGTGTTTTGTGCATGTTTGGAAGCACATATTGTTGTGAGCAGCTTTATCCAAAATTAATAATCACACTAAGAATAAACCTCGTAGGCCTACTCACTTTTATCATTTGAACGACGTACAAGAGTCAGGTATTTATTTTTGTTATATATAAGAGTCAATATGGAGCAAAAAGAAAAACATGTACGGTAAAAGTAAGAAAACAAACCGAAAACAATGACTCATAGCAGTTGACGTTGGTCGCGAAAGACTCAATGAGTTATCCAGCCAACCTTGACGCTGAATTACATCAGCAAACATAGCAAAAACAATTGCATGAAAAATTATCTCAAAAATACACAATCATGGAAAAACAAAAATCTATTCAAATAAATAAATCCTACTACAGGGACAGTTATTCGACACGAAATGGACCTATGGATCGATTTGCTATTATGTTGTTGTTCTTATTGGTATTTTTCTTCTTGTTGTTATGAAAAAATCGCTTTTCTCATTTACTAATGGACCGATTGCTTTGCAATTTTAAGTGATTAAATATTGTGTTTTGCTCTAGAAGGCTTTTACTTTTATTCATTTCTAAATTTTGTATGAATCCTATGGAATTTTTTTTGTCCGAAATTTCACTATATTTTTATTTTTCATGGGAACACGGTTTTTCATCCGCCAAGCGTGACGACTGTTTCCCATTTGACGCAACGCTACGCAAAACTCGGAGATTAATTGATACCGGTAGGTACGGTACGAAAATTAATTTGTTCTGAATTTCGTGTCCCTATATTTGAGCACCGCTATCTTGTTATGATTTATTTAGTGTTAGATGGCTGATTAGCGACATCTGGTAATTAGTACAAAGATGCCAGTTGATTTAAACGCTTTGGCCAACACATGGAAACAACATCATCCTTCACATTGATGATAAGTGAATAAAAACAATGTATTGCGTTTGATAAAAAACAAGAAACGGCCACGCACATGTCTCATTGTTCAGGCGTTTATCACAAGGATGAGGGACGCGAGTGAGCCATAACTTGATGTTTAATGTGGCGATTGTTCGTAGGAGAAAATTAATGCGACGCGCACGCTACCGGAAATGTGTATATTTGGTCAGCTAGTAGGCTACCTAAAGTTCTGCCGACCACTGCTTTACGACATAATGGGCGAGGTACGCCATGAAGTTTGCAGAAGTTTCAAAGACACGTGGACGCCAAATTTCTTGAAAGAACACTCCAGAACGCTCCAGATAAACCCAGGTTGCTGAGTTCTTTTTATTATTATAAAATGCTAAATGTTACATGTCACTGTTTCACCGTGTACTTGAGGTTATCTGTAAGATTCAACAAGAGATGAGTTGTGTGGAATCTTTAGAAAATAAGGAGATGACGGACTTATGGATTTAGGGTGCTCAATTCAAGAAATCCTATGTTTACTTTTTTCTTGATATTATGCAACATGATGAATGAAGTTGCAGTCGATTTGGCCGAAGAAAAAACTTGGTCAGTGCTTACCTAAATGTAATCTTGATTTGTTTTTCCACTCTCCACGCCGTATATTTAAAATTTTGCTATGCAAAATATATTGTTGCAGTCTAATGCCTTAGCGCCGCAACTAGCACAGATTCAATTCCAATTTGTGTTGTCTAAGTCAGGGCTCCCCAAACTAGGGGCCGCGGCCCTCGAAGGGGCCGCAAAACGAATTTTAGGGGCCGCAAAGAGAACACCAAATTTACACAACTCAGACTCTTGATTTGAAATACAATTATTAAAAATAGCGTAAAACAAAAATTTTACGATTACGAGTGAATACATACATCATCATACCGTGTTTCCCCGAAAATAAGACGGCGTCTTTGGTTTTCTTTTAAATATAACACGAGGGCTTATTTATGGGAGATGTAGAGTGTAGACAATAACGAGATTTTTTATTATGCCAAATATGAACACCGATTTCTATTTACTTATAAATAGCACGTTTTCATTTAAAAAACTGCTACATAAAGATTATTAATCATTTAAAAAGTAGCAAAGATTTATTGCTATGGACTGAGACTCGGTGGTTCTCGAACTTCATTGCATTTTGACGCCCTCCAAAAATATGCTCAAGTTGCGGCTCCCCGTGCAAATACGTAGTCATACCTTTAAGTAAAAGACCTTTTTTGCAATGAATTTAATATAAACGAACAAACAAAACTCACCGACAGTCAGTGAAATCACATTTAATGGGCCCTGGTAGAAAAGCCTGCTTTATATAAACACGAAATCGCGAAGGGGTGACCGTACATTTGAACCCATGTACATTTGAACCCATGCGTATATCCACGGGTTCAATCTATATGCGGGTGCTAAAACCCATGGGTTAGGGTTAGTATGGGTTTAACTATCCGTGAAACAAAAAGCATTCCATAGGTGCAATAGCATACAGGTGCAATTGTCATGGGTTCAAATGTACGTGGGTTCAAATGTAATGGAACCAAATACGAAATCGCGAAGGGGATGGGAGTGCGCAACGCTTTTGGAACCAAGGAAAAATAATCTTTATCTATACAGAAACCGGAATTTTCAGAATTAAGCTTTGTATACTTTATTAAAACTTTTTTAACTTTAAACTTCATTATTTAATCTTACTTTTTTCAGTAAAAGTGGAAGATATGGGTTGTTTGAAAACGTTCACGAATCACAAAATTTGACGCCCTAGCGAAATTGAAACGACGCGCTATGAGAACCACGGGACTAGAACAAAAAAAATTGCGCTATCGCCTAAGTCTTTTTTTAGAATTCAGGCTTGGTCTAATTTTCGGGGAAACACGGTTGAATCATCGCGCTTGCATAACAATGAATATTCTATTCGTAAGATTTTGCTAAGTGCCTATTTGTTAAGTGCGCCTCGAAAATTAGGATATTTGTGTTAAATATTATATAATATGTGATGCATATTCCACATATATATTTTATTTATTCTGAATGTATTATTTTTTCTCAATATTGCAAATGATGTGTTTATGATTCAAATTCATTTTACCATTTTATGTTGTTCACTTTCTGTTACATACGGTCTATTGTTGCGTAACAGAAGAGCTTTTATTTCGTAGGCTGCAGTTTATTTATTTGCTGAACCGAGATTATCGAACATGAGTGATTTTTTAGCATTTTAAAGAAAACCAGGCAAGGATAAGAAATAAAAGTTAACCTTTTGCCTTTATTCATTAGGCCTACATGTTTATAAACGTCAAAAGGCATAAAGTACACATTAACGATGACAAAATTGTGTTTATTTTGAGGCAGCGTATTTTTCGTGTAGGTGCGCCGCGAGTTTTGTCCCTGAAAATTGGGCGTCGCACAAACCGCTGCCTTATGCTAAATTTGATCAATAAGAGTGCGTAGCAATTCCGGATAAGAACCATGCCGTCGGTGGCCTGTGGCCAGACATCGTAATTCATCATTTAATCTGCATAAACAAACATCGAAGCACGGCTGGACTTGCTATGCAGCAAAAAGCATTCGCACCATTACACTGAATGATTGAATAATGTTAATCTGAGTAAATATGTGCTTGTTTTTGTTATTGAGTAGGCCTATTAAAAGTTGAGAATTAGCTGTGTCAATAAAACATTAAAAATGCATATTACTGTTTAGCATTATTAACGTAAACAAGGGCCGCGAAAAATTTAATTATATTAAAAGGGGCCGCGAGCTCAAAAGTTTGGGGAGCCCTGGTCTAAGTTACCAATTCAATATCGTTGATAATGGTTAAAGCCTTGCCTTATGGCCTGCGGCAGCAGGCAAAATAGGGTGGGGTTCAACAACGTCACTGGGTCCCACTATTTCCATTTACGAAGACAGGAGCGGCCATTTACGATACTACTGTTGGTATGCCATACTCAGTTTGTTTATTTTAATACAATTTATCCAAATACACAACTCTTTCGAACATTTTTCAGGCTGCAAACTTTTTACAATACGGAACTTATCATGGACATTGGACATATCGGGATCTTTTATCACTGCTTCCAAGATCCTCTAAATTAAATATAAAACTAAGATATGGATTAGCTTTGGAAGCTTTAACTAAATTTGTTTTCTATGCTTATATATATTTTTTTGTTGATATATTTTATATTAACGTATAAAATCGAATACGCAGCAAGTTCAAAACAATAAGTTAGTTTTCAATCTAATTTTGTTAGTCGTTGTATTGGCAACAACTTATCGCATCGCCTCGTTAAACAGTTGAAAGGTCAAATGTCAATCAAAATGAAAATCGGATGACCGGTAACTTTAAAACACAATCTGAGCACCGATATCATTATATAGACCAAAGTGACTATAGTCACTTTGATATAGACTAGATTCTGAGATCAGTTTTGTAGTTCGATCGTCTGGTTGCTTAATACCGGTACCGTACTTAATTATCCTCCGTTACCGGTACTTGAAGAAGAGATTTTATTATTTCAGTGTGCACAAGACTGACAGGCTAGACTATATCTAGAAGTAAACGAGCACCTATTACAGTACCTATTCGGCAAACCTTATTCAAGGACTGTCGACGGTTTACAGGTTTAACTGCAACTGCTGTAGGCCTACTGTGTCTGTGTGTACAGTATCAAAATCAAAAATCAATTGGATAGTTGCTGAATTTGTGCCCATGTGTATTCGGAAGTTGAAACAACAACAAGTCAGCAAGTGGAAGAATTTACAACCTGACAACTGTTTGATACCGGTACTGTCAGACTGTGATGTAAACCTAAATGGTCTGAACTTATTTCAAGGTTGGAATTAAAGGCTCTGATGCAAAATCAGGTGAGCAGCATGGATCAGATAGGTTCTGAGGTTACTAACATTTAAACAAAAATATGGTTATCAAGTCTTTATTGCAGTATTACATCTGTACATTGTTTGGTTTACACTACTGCACTAGTTCTGTAGTTTTGTACTTTTCAGTCTGTTTAACTGACGTAGGCTATAAATTTTATTACAGTAATACTAATATGGTAGCTGACATGACTAGATTCTTTTGTCCTAAGCTGGCGGTATTTCATTCATTGATTCATGATAGTTCTGTGTCTACTGACTTATTCTTTCCTATTCCTGTATTCATTCCTTTTCAAGAGACACAATTTTTTTTTTTTAGTTAATTTTTAATTTTTGTTAAACCATGCTGCCATGCAAGACTGCAAAAGATACTGCACAATATAACATGCTTTTATTTCATGGCTAAAATATTTTGGACAGTACTTTTTAGACATATCTTGGTTAATCAATAAATAATGTGGGTAGCCTACATCTTCATATTGTTTGGGCCATGAATAGGCTTAGGGAGATGTTTTGAAATGGTAACGGCCACGGTTACATCTCTGAAAGGAAATGATGTTTTCTGGTATTACCACTAGGTCTACCATGAAGCTCAACTCAAAATCCTAATGTAAGGGTTGCAAATTTTAAAACTAAACTTATAAATGTGAAAAATACTTGCTTGGTTTAGAGCTGGAGTTCGCTAAAAGTTCTATCTGCAGCTACGTCTATTATAGGAAGCTTTGCTTTAGCTTCGCTCCAACAAAATGTCATGGCTCTGGTTTCTTATTCCTGGCTATGCGGCGAGCAGTGATTCATCTATTTCCTCTGTTAATAAAATATGTTATGATTTTTAGAGGATTCCAATCTGAGGTACAATTAGACTTTTCAAGGGGTAAACATAAGATTAGGTATAAGGATATTCCCTCCAAACATCTAACATGATTTAAAATATTTTATCACCTGATGTTAATAATTTGAAGACCTTAGTTTAGCAACTTTTAGGAAAGTCAAATTTTCAACTCAGTAGAGGTTTAAAACTACAGTAACTACTGTTTTTACATTAGCAGTTCCTGTGAAATATTTTGCCAATCACAGCACACAGGGCTATTTTGTGAGTACACAAGCGATCTATGATTTTTTATGTGTTTTCTAACTGTTATATCAAGGTCTTCGATACCATTTATATTCTTGACAATTGTTTTTATTTAGTACACTCGCGCTTTATGAATTAAATTTGTCTTTGTTTCAATATTTGTCCATAGTATGGCTCTTAACTTTGACGTTGATAAAATGGCTATTCATTCCAAGACCTGTGTTTAACTATTGCTTCCCGTCAAAGTGATTAATTGTAAAGCGCAACTCCTTTGGCCTTCCTTTGATTCCTTATTCAACTTGAACTATCATAATCACTGTTACAAGTAAAAAGGAATCTGAATTGTAGTGTAAATAAAAGTTTTCTACAAATTAAAGAAAAATCGCACACATCCTGCTTGCTGTAATATAAATTTCAATTACTTGAAGTTTTTGAAAGATTTTTTACCGAAAATAAATTATCTCAATGTGGTTAACTGTCATCATGTAGCCATATTTAAACATTTGCATGACATGTCTCGAGTTTAAAATATACAATCTAGTTAGTTTGCAAGTTACACAAGCTTGGAATAACTTAAGCTGGATATCGTCATAAAACGAAAATAAGATTTGAACTTGAAATATTGAGTGTATTTCTGGTAGATTCATGTTTATGATGTACCATAATATTTCTATCAGTATTGGTTTTGAAAGTGCAATAATTGAGAGGGCCGTGGATTTTAGTTTGTTATGCAGGGACTATTTTCCACCCTCCTGCTAGATACCAGTTTTCTTGAAAAACAAAGTTGTGCAAATAACTAATAAGATATTTAAATATTCTCGATGATTTACTATATTAAATACAATCACTTCACTTTTCATCTTCAGTAGATCTGGCACAATTCTAACATTGTGGACGCATGATTATTTTTATGTGACTTTTTGATTATTTTGTTTTCTGTAGTACACAGGCCAGGTTTAATAAAGTTAACTTTCTTGTTGTATTATTTACCTTAACTTTTAGATCAGAAGAGAAAGTGTAAAGCGATTACTTTTGTTCAGTATCCTTGTAAACTTTCAAACCATCTGTATTATTATTAATGGCATGCATATATGCACTACCTTTCATTGATTTGGTGATATTCATTGGATTTACCATCACTGATATTCAAATTCTTTGATATTGAATTATTCTTTGAACATATCGAACTTTTTTCAATCAAGCTGAACACTAGGCCAGACATGAATCTCAGATAAATGATGGATTTTCGAGGTGCTCAATCAAATCTTTATTTTGATCAACAATTGTTCAATTCTCTGACAAGACGAGACTTGAATAGTGATAGACTATATATTATATATACAGTAGCCTACATTGATTCACTTTATTTACTGGTAGGAGGCTTGTATGCTACCCAAACTCTCATTGGCCTATTCTTGCTAAATATTTCCATTTGACATTTTATTTATATGAATTTAGTTGGCCTATGGGTGCAATCTGTACTTGCCATGATAGCAACATTACAACTGCATTATCTGCATACACACATATAATTATGATTAAACAAATGCACACGAAACTTTAATAATATTATTTGGACTATGAAATATCACATACACTCTACTAATGAATATTGGCTAGATACATACATGACAGATAATTTTGAGTAATTTATTCTTTCATTAAAAAAATTCATTTTTATCGATTAGGTTTTCACATATATTGGATATATTTCAATAAACAATTTCTTCGGTTTATTGTTTCTTTTAAATTGTTACATACATTATTTCCATTGAATCTGCTCTGTCACAGAATAGTGCTATTTCATCCATTGTGAAATACGATACAGAAGGAGCGTCTGTTTTATTATCAAAACAAATGGTTTCACATAACTCTGGTTACTAATCAGCATAACAGGCGACTGTAGTCCGGATCACTACTGGTATTTGTGTTCTAAATACTATTGAGTGGCAGTAAAATATTGACTAAATTCATACTTTGAGAATTTTGATATGTGAATAGTTAAGAAGTTTATTTCAAAGGTATGTATATGTGAGAGCAAAGTGGCGATGTCACAAAAGAAGTTTAAATAATAAAGTCAAAAAGTTTATTTTCCGAAATATTTTTAATATCCTCCTTCATTACGTCATTTGTTCAAATTAGAAGTATTGCATCAACCTTTTGCATTAGTGGTGCCAAACAACTCTTTAATTTAATGTAAGGGTTGTTTATCCCAATGCCACACTTAAAAGAATTGACTTGGGTAAAATGTTCTGTAATACGAGGTGTGGCTAAAAAGGAACGAGACTGACGTCACAGATTGCGCAACACGATTAACCATTGGTAATCAACACTTTTACAGTGTGGTGTAATATGTGTTCTTTGTTCAACAGCTTTTTTGACACAATATCGCAATTATTTTTGCTCTTTAGGAGCCATAGGTGAATGTGATTAATTGCTTGTTGAAAAAAAAATTGCCGTGCGAGATCTGATTGAGTTTTTTGGCGATAGGGGGTTCAATTGCAGAATGACGATTGAGCAATGAATTAACATTAAATTTTGTGTCAAACTTGGAAAAACGGCGACTGCGACTTTGAAGAAATTGTGTGATGTTTATGGAGATTCTTCCATGTCCAGAACAAGAGTTTTTGAATGGCACAAGCGATTTGTGGGATGCAGGGAGGATGTGGAGGATGATTCGAAGTCAGGAAGGCCTTGCACTTCCACAACTGATACCAACATCGAAAAGGTATCAGTTGTGAGTTCAGTTGTGAAAGGCAGTTGATTCGCAGCGACCGTCGCTCAACAATTCGCGTCATTGCGAAGTTGGAAAAGACAAAAAAAAACGGTTCGCACCAGTTTGGTTGACACTTTTGGCTTGTGAAAGGTGAGTGCCAAAATGGTGCCAAGGCTGTTGACTGAGGAGCAGAAAGCTCAACGATTAAATGTTGCCCAGTTGACATGCATTTTTCCAAGTTTGACACAAAATTTAATGTTAACTCTTTGCCCAATCGTCATTCTGCAATTGAACCCCCTATCGCCAAAAAACTCAATCAGATCTCGCACGGCAATTTTTTTTTCAACAAGCAATTAATCACATTCACCTACGACTCCTAAAGAGCAAAAATAATTGCGATATTGTGTCAAAAAAGCTGTTGAACAAAGAACACATATTACACCACACTGTAAAAGTGTTGATTACCAATGGTTAATCGTGTTGCGCAATCTGTGACGTCAGTCTCGTTTCTTTTTAGCCACACCTCGTATACCTCACTCAAAATATTCATCGAAACCGTTAGAAACAGTATACTAAATCTTTCACTCCAATGTGTAAAATATGGTAATTATGATATATGTATATATATCTTTTCTTAGTATCATTGACATTTTCGTGTATTACAATGACACTGCTGACATTTTGTTTAATTCATGTTAGGCCTGAGGTATTTTCATTTTGCACTTCGTCAATAATAAATCGTGGGTTTAAGCACCACTTGAAATTGTTTGGTACGCTACCCGTAAATCTCTGCTAGTCTGAAGTGCCGCTTTGAAAAAATGTTGTCATAGGGTACTTTGTATGCGATTATACCTTATGAAATGAATGAATGAATGTGGTCAAGATTTGTGCATGTGTTTTTAAAAATGGAAATATTGCGACGATATGAAGAAGTTTCTTCACAGATAGCTATTATTGATATGTTGACAAGAGAGGTGGAATAGTTAATAATTATCATGTTACTCAAAACTTTTTTTTAATTGACTTTGTCGAATATTCTGTTTTCAGGGTTTTAGTACTGTTCTTCGTATAGTTTGAATTTGGATCTTGTTATGATTCTTTGAAAAATTTTATTGTTATGTCAATAATTCAATGTCAGAATAGAAGTTTTTAAGAAGCATATTTATATTATATCGTATGATCAAAATTTAAAGCATTGATGTACTACGTTATATTTTGTATATAGTATAAAGCAGGAATAGTGATATAATACATAATAAAATATGAAAAATTTGGGGTGTGTTTTGGCCTGCCAGTGACCGAACAATGTACCGAAGCTTTGCAGGTTATAAACTTATAATGGCACAAAAATTATCTGGAATATAATTGATTGGGTGGGACATGCTTGTAGATTCTCGATTCATCTACCTGGGAGTGATTGTTCATCCAAAAGTATGTTTCAGTAGTATGTGCATAAATTATAAATGATAGAGCCGATCTTGAAAATTAATGGCTATACATAATTGTTATACATAAGAAAAAAAGGATAGCATAACATATGAAATTAAAGAAGTTTCTCACACCATTCGAAAAATTGTTGGGTTGCCTAATATTTTTTGAAATGTATTTCTCATTTAACAGGATCCAGCTGGTGGAGGTGATGTGAAGGTGGATAGATTTCATTTACAACTACAGTTACAACAATATCAGTTAGACAAAGACAAAATGAGTAAGCATACATTGAGAAGAGGAAGAGAATAACTTTTTTTCCTTTCAAAAGTGTTTTGCTGTTTCAATAAAGTTATTATTTTTTAGGAAATCGTGGAATGGAATATTCACCTCGTTTTCGGAGTGGAAATGATCTAAGAATGACTGGGTCTGGTGATAATAGGTTTGTATGGGAATATAGAAACTGTTTATGATTTTTCCTACAAGCATGTTGGTTGAATTCAATACCAGTGTTGTTGATGGAAGAAATCTTGTCAATTTGATTCCGCGGCTATCCGAATTTCAAGTTCGATGTTGCATGGAATCACTAAACTAATTATCTCTAGCGATCCGTTGAGCATGAGGCCATTTAATTTCATTTTGATGCCTCGAGTCGCTTTGGGTCTTATATAAATGGTAAGTTGAGTCTATAAATCAAGTTATCTCAATCTATATATTTTTCAGTGCCATGACTCCCACTTATCCACTTCATTCTCGAGTTTCTGGGAAAGAGAAGCGAAGAAGAGTTCATGCATGGCTTGGTGCACAAGTAGGGTCAGGAACTGATGCAACGGTAGGATAGATGTTTCGTATAATATTTCAAGTAAAAAATAAATAAAAAGGATTTGTTTTAACGATTAGTCGTGTAAATTTTATAATATTTCAATTAGCTTCAGCTTTTGAGAAAGGAAAATGAAACTTTTCCCTTTTATTAGAGGAAATTAAATCTTTTCTATTTTCTTGCCTTTGTATGCAACTTTGTTTATGCACCATTATGAATATTTACTTACAAAAGTATATGTGTGAAATCTATAGTTGGGGACTTATGCTTTCTGTTACCTCATTTTATCTTCTCAATTATTTTGTATATTTGCTTTGTAAAACATATTCTGATTCATTTAGTTTCAGGTTTCAATTAGGTAACCTGATTTTGTTTATTACCACTGCCACACTCGCAACTGTAGCAGTAGTCAGATATTTTTAAAATTACTTCAATTTGTTTTTTCTGTTACAGGGTAACAACGCATCTCCTAATAATATTTCTGCAACTACAACAAACATTCCAAGTTTGCCTATTCCAGAACTTCCATCATTTGCAGCATTACCTGATGAAAATTGTTCAGCAGGTGTGCCTGCTGATCGCACGGAAAGTAAAGATGGATCTGATTTATTGCATTCCAAATCTGAGTTTGTTCCAGGTAGAAAACACTATTGTTGAGTTTCATGATTTAGAAAAAAGCATGAATTTATAATGAAAGCAGCATAGAAATCTTATATAATACCAGATGACAGATGATTTTATGTTGCTTAATGCTATAAGAAGTTATTATTGATTTGGCATGATATACATTCACTGAGAACCAACCTCTTTAATGAATGCACTTCTAAATTTTCCTGCGTTTGAGTATTTTGTTCTTTTTCTTTTTAAAAATTTGAAATATTGGACAATTTTTTAATATATTATAAATCTACATTTTTTAGGAACTAACGTACCAGTTTATCCATATTCAAAATATCCTGATATGACCCCTGCTTTAAGAAGATCAGAACGAGCAGAGGCAAGACTTACTGGCAAGACAGATCACAGCAACAGTCTTGACACTGGAATTTCACACAAATACAGTGATAGTTCTCATACAGGAGCTCAGAACTTTGTTCGAAAATCAGACACAGGAAAACACAAGACTCCTAATATGGAGTTTGTTGGTGGCGGAGACAATTATTGCTATGTATATGATCCTTTGATTGCCAAGGCTTACACAAAGAAGTATCCAATAAGTCCATCTATTAATACACCTCCTTCAGCGTCTGTGCAGGATTTGCAGCATGGTACAGTTCCTCCCAAATATTACCCATCATCTGAGAATTTCACGCCGGCTCCCGCGGTACATCTGCTTGGAACACCATATAGTCCTAATCTACCAAATGGTTCAAATTTTGCAAAAAATGGTTTTAGCAAATATTCACAACAAAACTCAGGACTTTCAAGACAAGGTAATTGAGCAATTAAAACTTAACCACAACAACGAGAAAAAATGACTAAATTATGCCTATGAAGACCCATTTTAGCTATTAAAAATATTTTTGTGTATAATTAGGATTCAAGCAAAATCAGTTTTCAGTCAGAATGGAATATTGAAAACATTTTTTTTTTGTTATTCATTTTCTTCGTGTTTTTCTTATGAATTTTTAACATTGGATTTCTATAATAAATTATTAATCAAATTCAGTATTCTTTTCATTTCATTCACAGCAGATGATTTATTTTATTCCAGAGCAAATTCCTCCTCATACGTTTAGTCAATTTGATCCTTCATTATTTCCCCTACCTACAAAATATGAAGAATATGACATGAGACCTATCAAACCTCTCAATGTTGAAGTCAAGAAATCCTACTACGGAGCATCAGCTGCGAAGGACGAAGCCATTACATTTTCTGATACTAAATCTCAGCCGAAACCTTATCTACGCAGAAGCCATTCCACAAATGTATCTTATCCTGTACCAAAATCAAGGTAGCAAATTTAGCAATAAAGAATAGCAGCCATGACACTTCTGTAATTTTGAATGCAGACACAGCTCTTTTGTCATTTATTTAAATAACATTTCACGTGTCTATTGCTCCTAACAAGTCTCTACATATGTAACCACTGCTAGGTGGGATGCTACTATAATTTGGAAGGACCACAACCTTGCTGGTTCCTCATTGTCTAACCAATTTATTACACTCTGGATTTGAATCAAGTTTTTATCTTTCTGTTATTGTGTGATTGGGGAAGTTAGAGATTTGTTTATTGCTAATAACCTTCATTGTTTGATACAGAAGCAAGGAAAAGCATGGGATTTCTTCCTCTAGTAAACCATTATCAAGAGTTCAAAGTAACGTTGAGGGAAAAAGAAGAATTGCTCTTATGAAAGGTATTGCAGTGTTTGTTTGTTCAAAAGTATTTTAGAGATTGGGTTGCTCTATTTTCCATTATCTTTTTTGGGAGGCCAAGTTTACCAATTTGCTATGGTACTAAACATTGAAAGTGAAATATAATATATAAAAGTATACCTTGAGGCTTGAACATATTTTTGTGAAGCTTTGTTAATAGTCGAGCAATTCATCATTTGTGTGTTGATCGGAAATATGGAGCTTGGCTAAAATCCTGAACATTGAGTTTGTCATTGTCTTTACAGCTCCAGGAGTATATTATGCCTGCTGTATATATGTATTCTGTTATTTCATATCGCACAAAACAATATATTTCATTTTGAAGCATCACCTCGCCCCTCACCTCTGTCACCAAGAAGAAGACGACAACAACAAAGCAGCTCTGAGAAAAAGAGAAATGCTAAGTTGAAAGCAGTGAATAAAAGTCAAGGTTGGTATTAGATTAATTTGCAAGTTTTCAAATGCCATACGTCTCATGTACTTTGCTTTTGAGCTTAGTATCAAATGTGATGCTGATAAACCATATGTAGGTTTAAATATGTTCAGCATTAGTTATATTTTTACATGGAGTAAAATATAATGAAAGATGTACCTATTGCATTATATTATGTGATTGCATTGAAACCAAAATGAGCAATTTGAATGATCCCTGTCCACGGATTAAAAAGACGCTACAATACAGATCTGAAATTCAGCCATTCTTGATTTTCAAATTTTAAACAATGCATGGTAATAGTATCATTTAGTATTTCGCAAAATATCTGCGCCGTCTAAAGCTATGTATTCGAATAATTATCTGGATGCAGTAAAAATCATTTTATATTTTCTCCACTATAGATACTGCAACATCTGAAGAAGAAAAGGTTGAAATCAATGAGGAAATATCTGCAACTCCTATGCCCGATGACAAACATGTTTCTGAACTACCAGTAGATTTGAAACATGTAAAAGCTGCAACTAAGATTCAGGCAAGGCTTAAAACAGTATATTCAAATTTTTGTTGCTCACAAGTATGTCACAGATTTTTGAGAGAATTGATTAGCATATGTATACATAAAGTATTGTGTAAGTTTATACTAGTAAGGAATTGGAATTTGAGCTGGTTCTCTACTTTTTTCTTGAAACTTTTGCTTTCCTGATTTTTTCACAACAACGGAATTCAATTTTTCAATACAGTATGGCACAGTTTCTTCATTTTGTAGCCTTACTCTATATCAGGGTGGTCCAAACCCAGGCCCGCGGGCCACATGTTGCCCGCAGCGTCATTATCTGTGGCCAGCGTCGCCTTTGCTGAAGGGTAAACAAAAAAATCGGATTTGGTGGTGTTGTTTCGTCATAAAAATAACAGAAAATCTTGTCGACATCTTGTTACATCACTAATGTCACTGAATTGACTAGTGTCACGGCTAGCTGAAGCAGCTAGCGACGTTGATGCTCTATATCATTTCTGAATAGAATTTTGAGTCACACTAGCTCTCACATTTGATCATCATTGAAGCAAGTTAGCTAGGTTTACAGGAACAAAGACCAATTTATACTGTATTCACAGATATCAACCTACTTCTTATTTTTACAGGCTGTATGGAAAGGATATAGAACTCGTAAACTTGACCCAAAAGTTGTTGAAATAAGACAAGAAGTACGAGCAAGAAGAGCTGAACAATATATTAGGTAAGTTAAGCAAAGTCATTTATGTGAAACAAATGCTTAGACTATAATTTGAGGTAAGTACAAAAACATCCTCAAACTTCTTTTAGTAATCAATGTGTGTAATCCACATATTTTCTTCACCTTTTTTTTTATTATAATACCTCGTTTCCAGCGTTCTTTGCCATGAGGTTCAGTGTCTCAAAGAAAATTTGGATGCTGAGAAAAAAATGAGAGATCTTCAAACAGAAGCAATACGATATATCTGGTCACAATTGAGGTGAGAAATCTTTTGTTATTATTAATGCATGATTCATTATTTACAGCCCATACCAACTATAGATGGAATGAAAAATTTGATTCCATTCTTTTACATTTATGTGCATTTTCATTTTCAAATTACATCCAGGATATTTGATCATGCATAATTCTGTATCCAGAGACATTTGCACCCACAGGAGTTTTTCCATACAAATTCCAGCACTTGAATATAGAATGTACCCTCGGTCATGATCATCTATGATATTTATGCTCAAAATTTGATTCTTCACTTCACTCCTGCTTGAATTCATGTAATTCACAATTGCCAAACTAAAATTGTCGCAAAAATATATTTTATTTTTAATCTCTACATCTCATATCAGGTCTCTGCAAAAAGGACACAGAGCAGGACACAATAAAGTTGGTGAGGGTAGACACAGAAAAAGATCACCAGATAACAGGTATCTAGGAAGAATTCTCTTGTTACAAACTACGAGTGGATATTTAACCAGTTGTTCTGAAAATAGTTTAAATGCTATTTGGGAATTCACAAAAGAGAAAATTTCACAAATAAATGTACATCTGTGAATCATTTATCATTGCTGTCTATTTTATGAGATGAAAACAATTTTGATATATGATAATTGATAACGTAAGCATGGCATTCATAAATTAAGTTTCAATGATGATATAATGTATATTTGTTACAGGCGTCCTAGGAGTAAATCAAATTCACCTAGAAGAGTGAAAAATAAAGCAAGTAAAAATGGAACGCCTCTGTGTTCACCTCTCGACACGCCCAAAAGGAGTTCAGTAAAAACGAAAACCTCACATCGTACATCAGACTTCAGTGAACATGATTTTGGTGATGAAAGTGACTCTGTTGAATCCATAGAAGATCAGAATCAAACACAAGTAAGTTTTGGATCTAGAGAAAAGTCATTTCTGTATGGTTTTTTTCGTCTTCAATATTTCCCTACACATTAGTTTTTAATCTGGAAATCTGTCTTCCGACCGATTGCATCTAGTATGGTATATCCTAGTGTTTTTGTAATCATGTTTTCACAGAAGCGCTATAGAATAAAGTGTGATAACTGATAACTAGAGGATACTTCATTCATTTATCTTCATGTCTCAGTTGTATTATTTAGTAAATTTCAAGCAGTGGCTTTTTTATTTTGTAAATTTTTCACAAATACAATATGAGTTGCATTTTTATGGATTTTCTTATTATGTTTAGTCTTTCTTGCAGACCATTTATTTTGTGAATTGTTTTTCATAACATGAGATGCTGGTAGAGCATAATTTGTTAAATCTTTTTTATTCTTTTTGTGTGTGTGTTTTTAAATCCCCACACAGACAAAAAAAAATTTCAAATATTTAGAAGCGAGCTGATGTTTCATGGAAAGAAGTTCCAGATGAAGATTTATTCAAAGATCGATCAAGTACACAAAACATTGAAAACAACAAAAAACCACCAAGACAACATGCAGCAGATGACACTGATGAAGGAAGAGGAACTCTTGTGACTGATGGAGAAGGGTAGGATAAATATGAAATTTAATAATTTTATTGTTCTGAAATACCTGCGAGTGGTTAAGAGATGTAGGCTCACTCACTACGTTGGCATGTCATGTTGAAGGTATTGTGTTTCAAACGCCATGCAAACAACCTCATCCATGTTTCGATAAATTGGGTAAGCATTGCAGAACTGGAAATATTATGATCCTTTATAGCTTTTCACACATCAGTGTCTGAGCATTGAGTCTTGTTTGTAGTGAAGGTGTAGAGAGGCCTCATAATATAATTGAATTTTTTCATTAACTTTAATAAGAGCATATTTGTCAAGTTGGTAGAATAGTATGTATATCACATTTAGCTTTTATCAAAATTCATGATTTTTATATGAATAGAAGCATTCAAATGTCTTTAATATGTTCTGTAAATAATTGACTTCTGTACGTTGTATGAAATGAACTAAATCTGCAATGTGCAGCATCACATTCTGTTTGTTAAATGTTAAACCTTCATTGTTGGATTTACACAAATTGAAGAAACATTTTTCTACTGCTTATTTTTTAGAAATCCTGCTCATAGTTCTCCTGAGGACAATGATTTACCAGATAAATCTCCAAGTAATGTCAAGATGAAAGTTGTCGCTGAAAACTTACAACTTAAAACAACAATTGATGTTTTGCAGGATCAGGTAATCCAATAATATGTTACTATCTTGTAGCAATAGAAAATGTGACTATTAGGCTTGCACGTAATTGACAAAAATCAATTCCGTAATTACGACAAAATCAATTACGTAATGACCCCGTAATTGCGATATTTTTCCACGCATTTAAACCTATCATAACAACCAATTGAATCCACTTCTTTTCCGAATGGGACATTGAAGTTGGGTTTTCCTATTCTTGGCAGTACTACACGCCATCGGCAGATGTTAAAGACAAATATCAAGGAGTGAATTCAAATTAATTTTATTCTGATTTTTATCTTTTGTGTTAGCTTTGGTTTTCCTTTATCACCTTCGCAAATTAACCGTCCCATTTTTATGCGATCAATTTCATTTTATCATTACCGACACGGGTATACGGATATTTATGGAAACGATAGCTTTTTAAAACCACCTTAGTACTGAATAAAAATTACGGGTTTCTAATTTATTAACCAACGACGAGCGTATTCTCTCGTTTGATTATATTTGCGATTTCCTCGCGACGAAGACTTGTTTTTGCAGCGTCTTCTGCATTATCCGACATTACTGCCTTGTTAGCATTTTATAATAATAATTATTGATGTCGACTTATTGACGATATTCCGATTACCATGCTTCATTTTACATTTAATCATTTCGCGGACTGAATGTTTATAACATTATTTGCGATAAATTTAGATCAAATATTATTTATTTGAGTATAATTTAAATATCGAACTTATATGATATGCCTTCTCCGAAAATACAAAGTTATATCGCAAAACAATGCATTTTGTAACATTTATTTTACACTCACGACATTTATTTGCTAACTCAAGTCGGCGATCCTATCGGCCAAGATTGACACAAGTTTGGTCGAGTGCCTGTGGTATTCAAGTCGACGATAAATCAAAATAAGTTTGTTATTTGGTAAGACAGTTAATCATATATGGCCGAAATATTGAGAGGAATTGTGAAAAACATCATGAGCAAGGCCAAGTCCGGACTGATATATAACGATAAAACCGTTAACAGAACATCAAGATTTTGTAATAGAAAATGGATCTCGCACAGAATAAACACACTGGCTCATATTTGATTATATATGATCCGTCGTTTTGCTGTTTCTCTGCCGTCTCAATCGCTTTACCGATGCCGAGAAGACAAAGTTGCGTTGGTTCATTACGCAATCTCTCTTTTGTCGTCATATTGCTATTTGATTAGCGCGACATTAATTATCACGGCGAGATATTGGCGCGAGTGATCAATCGCTCTTTTCGCTTATTTGGTTCCAATTCGTCGCGAAAGCTCTTCGTTGAATTTCACAAGATCGTCGTGTTGAAAGGTTATGGATATTTTCCTGTTTATACCCCAAGTCTGAAATAAAACAGCCAAAAACAGTATGATATTCCATGTTCATATATCAAGTGTTGATATTAACAATAATAAAGAATGGTTAAGCATTGCTAATCCACACTTGGTGGGGAATTCCCACTATTTAAACGCGTGACTATAAAATAGAATAAAATAGAAACGGAACATATATACCATAAGTAACAGAAAACCGGAACAAGTAAATAATAAATAAAAGTAAAATGGATACAAATGTTTGATAGACCATGTTTGAAAGATTGATCTCCTGCGTTCATTAGTCATTTCACCCGAAGAAGTTGAAACCGGGCGTGTTAGCGTCCATCGGTCTTGACACAATTCTTCCCCCTATCTACGGTTATTATGTACATTGGCCATGGCCATGCTAGATAAGATGGGAGAGAAGTTGAAACCAGGTGTGTTGGCGTCAATCGGTCTCAACGCAATTCTATCCCTTATCTACGGTTAAGTTACGGGAGAAGTTAAAACCAGGTGTGTTGGCGTCAAACGGCCCTACTCAGTTCTTCCCCCTTAACTACGTTAATAATTTACATTGGCCATGTCGTTGATAATAGGTCAGTAAATGGCAAAGCGTCATGCCTTCCTTCACCTACGTAACAAGAGAGAGAAAAGGGAGAAAAACGGCTGCGAATACCGGAACTCTAACTTCTTCTACTTGTTGAGCTTTTATTTTCCACAATCGACGAAATTGACTGCTTTGAAGAAAGCTCGTTTCAATGCAATAATTACGACTTTACGTAATTCGTAACTTCCCTTCCGTAACTCCAAATAATTACGTAATTCCGTAAATCAGTAAATTACGTGCAAGCCTAGTGACTATATTTACTTTTGGACCAAATTCGCATATTTTATTGAATAGAATTACTTGTCTATAAATTGATTACAAAGGGGGATGAAAGGCTTATGGCTGAGCTTTCATTTCTTTTTGATCAAAATTTTTCAAACTGTATCGGAGGAACTCCATGAAAGTCAGGACGTGAATTTATATAAGATGTTTCTGTCTATATCCTGATTCACGAATTTTGGTGATATCTTTTTCATGATATACGAAATTCAAAACTTTTCTATCTGTGGTTTCAATATTCGTAGGTTGCTCAATTACAAGAAGCAATGCTTACACTTTCTGACCGGATATTGAATAGAAGTCGAAGTGATGTTAATTTAGATGTTTGGGAAGAAACAGACGAACTCAAATTAATATCCGAAAGTCAGGTAAAAGCTAATTTTAAAAATTCGATATGATTTATTGAGCCTCAAGCTAGTGAAGCCCTGTAGTGTACATTTATTTAACAATAGCATTTTTGAAGTCAACGAAGAAACATTGGCTTTTTTTTCAACTTATTAACTAATATTTTAGAAACTGTATGTGACTTGTGCATTCTTCTGAATAGAATTTTGATTCACATTACTTTCTTTGCCAATGTGCAGTTTTGAAAATGTGAGGCTTAGTTGTAATCAGAACGACCAGGCAAACATCTGAAACATAATGTAATCCATCAACATCTGAAATACTTTGGACCCATGAATACCTTAAATTTTATAATTCAATCTTCCTATCAATACCACTCTGCTCTGACCAAATTTGATTCTGAGATGATATGCTGCTATATCAGGCTTATCAGCCAATGTCCTCAAAAAAATTTGGAGATGTTAATGAGTATTACCTATAGTCATTATTGTGTTTTAGTTGTTATTGTGGTAATTCCAAATTCAAATCTCATTATATTCCTCTATATTTAACTTTGTTTTATTTCTCGCTTCCATGTAATGGTATTTATTATATGATTTTCTAATAATAACAGCTGTTTTGTAATGATTTCATTGGTACAGGCTATCACGACATCAAGATCGCCACCTCAGAAATTAGTTGTTGAACAAGAACCAGAATTAAATATGGATCCTGAGCCTATCTTAAGTGCCCGTGGTGAAGTGCCAAGATTTTCATTGAAGGTTTGATATTTTTGTTTGATATATAGCTAGCTGTATTTATATTAAAGCTATTAATGATTAGGTATAATTTCCTGGTGATATGAACAAATTATTCTTATTATTAAAATTGCATTAACTGTAATTTACCGGTATGCATAATACGACTTGACAAAACTGGTAAACATTTACTTAAAGTAGCTTATGAATGCAGCTGTAAATGGTAATTAAATGGAAATTGGGTGTATCATAACTAATATCAATGGAAGATATGGCCTCTAGAAGTGAGAATTATTTTTTTGGGACCAGCTGAATGTCATTTTGATCCGTTTGATATTATTTTATTATTCCTCATACACACACTACATAACCAAGCACTCTTTGATTGCTTTATTCATTTGCCATACTGTATATGTTTTTCCATTGTTATTTCAATTTATAATGAATTCCTTTTGATTTTGTACAGGATTCGTTAACTACACTAAAGTCTGCGTTAAGTGAAGATGAGCTCTGGGCTTTATGTGAACAAGCTGGTCATAATATAAAGAACAAATCCTTGAAAAAGTAAGGCTTCTCTTTATGCATCCGATAATTTATTATATAGTCTACTTAGTGGAAAAGATAGTCACATGATGTATCAGAAGTTTATAATGTTTATGTTTGTTATTTATCGATCTTAAGATCGGTAAGTATGTTGATAGGTATTTGTCTGTTTGTTTGTCTGTTGTACATGCGAAATCTCCTGAAAGCAAGGATGAATTCGCTCCAATTTTGCATATGCATTCATCATATCTCGGATCAGAAGTCTATTGATTTTGGATGAATTGTGTCTTATAATTAGCGAGTTATCAATTAATTAGTGATGGGACACAAGGTGTCACTATGGAGTAAGAGTGCTGTTTTGGGGGATCCTCTAACTTTCGATCGATAAGCCTTCGGTCCCTGATCGATATTCTCGTTGTGTTTTTGTTCAACCTGATGAGGAATCTAATGAGTTACATGTCTGTGTACTTCATATCTTTTTTGCTTATTTTACATCAGAAGTATGGTTCATACAAGAGATTTTAAGCTATATGTGGCTGATTTGATAGAACGAACTAATATAGTCCCAGACCTATGCTATTTGTTGCACCCTTCATGGGACTTGGCCTGACAGAGGATCAAACCTTGATTTTAATTTTTTTTTTCCAAAACATTTTCTTTAATTTTAGCCCTTTTTCCACAGGTATCTTTCCCTTGAGACAACCTTTATCAGACAAGATGGCAGAATTGAATTTTCAGATTTCAATGTTGCTAAGAATCAAATTGATGAAATGTACTTAGCTCCTGAAGTTCTTGAACATAAGTCTGCATCATCTACCAAGGTGTTTGCCATTGTTGCTTATTTCTTTTTGTATAGGTATAGGAAGTACAAGCCTTTGAAACCGACTAAACATCCTCAATAACCAGTATTGATTTGCTAATCCTCCCTTCACAATGAAATGTCATTTTCACCTCTTTTTACTTTCTGTATTTACAAATTGTATTTTATGTATTGTGGAAAAATAAACTACAGATTACTGGTACCTCAAATAAAATGGTGGTCAATCTTTAACTTTTTGTAATTTTTCTTGCAGTCATCTGTCTTCAGTCTCTCAGTTGTGCTATGGTCTGCTGCAGATTGGGAAATGAGTGCAGAACAAGCTCCTCAATTATCTCAGGAACTTGAATCATTATTAGTGGTCATGTCACAAGATGATGTTGCTCAACGAGCTGAAATTGACGATGTTATAAAGGTAGGAAACTAATGACTTTCATACCAACTTTAACATAACAAAGTCTTGAGGACAACATTTAAAGTTGTGGGCAATCAGATTTCTGGAGACAATCATTGTCACATCGAATAACAAGTTATAAGAGTATATATATATGCTTATTATTGCACAGTTGGTTATCCTTGAGAGTTTGAATCTTGCTGAAAGGGGTTAGTGCAAGAGGATTGCTTGGAAACTCACTTTAACATTTAAGTGGCCCTTTATTAGTTATGACTTCATGATGCCTTCATCCAACATCAAAGTCCATACATCTCAAGGACCCACTAGTTGCTGATTCCTATATCCAACCTGGACTGACTCTATCTTGTTATAGTATTATTTATCCATCTTATTCGACGACGTTCTCGAAGTAGTTTATTTTTATTATTCTACAATGATATGAAGATTATTGTATTATTTTTATGTCTTTTTGTAACATACTGCTTTTCCATTATCTTTTACTCTTAACTGACTTCAACAAAATTCTTTTATAGATATGTGAAGATCATCATGCAAAAGCAGGGGTCAATTCTCTTTGTGTTTGTTCATCTCTTTTTGCTGAAGTACAAGATGCATTAACATTTGCTAAAACAGGGAAGATAAACCACAAGAAAATTGCACAGGAATTATCTAAAGAACAACAACTTTTAACGAAGAAATTATTCAAGGATAGAGTACTTCCAGACATCAACAATATTACATGGAGATCTGCTCTAAAACCTGTAAGTCTATATATATATTATAGTTAGAAAAATCTCACTTGAAATGAGAGCAATAAGTGGTATATAAATTATGATATGGTATTTAATGATGCGATACAAAAGCAAAGGCAGCAAACAAACCAAAACCGGTGATTTTTTGCATATATCAATTGAAATTAAGGTTAAAAAACAAGAGCAGATTGATTAAAGAATATATATATATATATATGCACTTAAAATTATTTTATATGAAGAGATATCATAATACAATTTATCATCATTATGTAATATGCATATGGCCACGGCCCACAGTGCTTTAATGGAAACCATTATGGGATCCATTGAGTCATGAGAGCCACAAATTGGTAATGATTTCCATCTAACATCTAAAAATAAGAGAAGTATTGCTGCAGCGATAGCATCACATAATATTTTATAAATTTGTGGAATCGAGATTTCAACTTTTTATGATTTGACTTTTATTTACACCCATTCATTCCTTTTTTAGGCATCTGACAGGGTATTATCACCAAGACGTCATAGCGATCCAACACCTCACGATCAACTAATGAACAGTCTATCTTCATCTCGTATTCCGCTCAGAAAAAGTCCTAGACCTAAAATATTTACTGTGAGAGACATGTTTCTCAAAGATCCAGAACTCGTTCAAAAACTCAATATATTGCCTGGACAGAGACGGAAGAATCAGAAAGTAATTTTTCCACTGTTTTGTTCTCTTTTTTTTGTGTAAATCTAGTACTATCCTAACTGTTTGATTTGCTGAGCATTCACAACTGATATTAAAGCCAGCACTACTGCTATATTACCTAATATAACTTTTTCAAGTCTCGCGTTAATCAGTATTTACCAGTGCACCATTCTACACTGTGATTTATTATGGTCTAAGTAGTACTTGGAATTTTGTTAGTCCCTTAACCGCATTCAGAGATCAATTTTCTTAATTTCTGAGTTAATGTGTATGACCGCGCTTCGAGAAAATTTCTTTATAAAAATTAAAAAAAGGAGTGATAAACTTGAGGGCCAGTTTTACCTTGTGCCAGAAGAGAATAATTGTATATGTCAAAGAGACATGATTTGTTATTAAACATATATATTTAAGGAAATGTATTAATGTCAATACCTCAATAGTGTCAGGTTAATTGTTAAATATTCATTAATCTTAGAATTGACTGACTTGCAACATACAGTAATAAAAATTGGATTTGTGGATAGAACTCAATGCTATGTTTAATTATATTTTTGAATGACTGACACTTCTGAATCTTGTTACTCTCTACTACTTCAACTGCCCATATATTGCCCCATTATGCCTGTAATGTTCCATTTTGTAGGCAATGAGATTGGTAATGAGAAGACAGTCGCCAAAAGATTCTTTGTCCCCACCTATGCCTGGTATTCCAACTGCACCTAGAGCATTGCGGGCTGGTGTCAGTGAGAGTTCCTACACAAGTAAAAATGAATTAAGTAGTGTGATACTGAGATGGCATCCTGCTAAAGTGTTTGATAAACATGGACAGGAAGCAAAATCGGACAAAATTATCGGCTACAGGTGAGATTTTCTTAACTAGCCATGACTTGTATTATATACCTTTCTGAAATTTCAGTAAATTTAAATGTTATTCCTATATCATTACTTCACCTTTTAAATTATGATATCAAAAATTCTAGAATGTTATTCATATAATAGAATGGAGCATAGGTTCTCAAAGTGCTCCATACAGAGCCCCAGGGCTTCGTGAGAGAAACCTAGGAGCTCCGCGGGCTATCCGTGTGCTTGTTAATATAGTGAATATTTTTCTTATGCAAAGCAGTAAATATATCCGAGTCATTGAATATAGTAATGTTAGTTTACTCAGTAACATTAATTTTTAAGTAACGGTGTGTGTTTTTTTGTTTTTGTTTTTCTATAAATTTATTGTGGGGCTTTGTAAATATTAGTCAACCACTTCACCGCTCGCATAACACCAAAAGTATGGTGCAGAAAATGACAAAAACACGAGCAATGCATTCAACTTGCTTTGTATATGACTCTATAACAGTAATTAATTTTTATGTTGTAGGATTTATGTGAATGGACATCCAAAAGGTATGGTTGCAGGTACAAAGTCAAGAGCACTGTTGGAAGGTTTGCGACAATCAACTGAATACAGAGTTCATGTCAGGGCAGTTTCATCACTTGGTGAATCTGATCCATCAAATGTTGTTATTGCACATATCACATCCTCACCTTTGAAACAGAAAAATGACTGGACAGAAGGTACCTGTTCAATATAAATTTACAAAGTTTATCGCTGACAATTAGAGAGTTTTTGTGGACTTGTGGCCTAGCAGTTAAAGTGTTAGACTTAACTGCATTAGCATCATAGGTTGCACATCATGGGTTAAAATCCTATGCCAATCTTTTTACTCATGATGTATTGGATTGATTAGGCATTGCAGAACCAGAAAAATTTCAGTATTTTCAAAAAAGTTGCTCTTAACATATTGTTAGGTATCAGTGGTTGTGTAGGGCCTTGTTCAGAGCAAATCTCACAGATAAGCACCATATAAATAACTGACTCTATAATTTCATGCTTCATGAGTTATGTTTTTGAAATAGGAATTGAAGTTCTGTTTCAGTTTTTTTACTATTTTTAGATGATGAAAAAATGCAAGATGACTTCGACATAGATAAAGGAGACGCCCTTGAAAAAACAGATAAATGTTTTCCAACAGCTCCATCAAGAACAACAGGTATATTCAGAACTTGAAACCAGACTAAACCGGGAGAATTTCGGAGTGGTTACAAATTATTATTCATAACAACAATGACTTAAGAAAATAAATATTTGGAACATTTACCATGTAGCTATTTCAATGACCGATTTCATTTTTAACCAGTGAGCCTTTCATTAAATTGACTTTTCTTGCTCCAAATAACATAAAAATCACAAATTAGTATTGGTAAGAGCATCTTCATTGGATAGTTTTGTGTATTTTAACCTCTAAAAAATCTATATCATCATTTCAATACAATGATTGTACTTTTATAACAATAGCACCTCAAGCTAAACCTCGATTGGGAGCTGTTTTTCCAAAGCTGAGTGACCATGTGAAAAATCCCGAAATTTCAGAGTCTGTAGGAGATTCTGATAAACGTCACAAGAAGAGTGAAAGTCCAGTGTCATCTTCGTCTGTTGAATCTTCTAAATCGGATTCAAGTTAGTTTCTAAATGTTATTGCCGCTTACTCGTATTTAATTGTAAGATTTCCATTTTTTGTGAAACTACAGTGTTTTATCGAATGCAGTGGGTTTGGATTGATTTAGGTTGTTTATTTTTTGGGGGCATGCCAAATAACCATGCCATTTTTTCTGAGTCAAAGAGTACTACATTATCAGCAATAGCTTTTGCCACTGTCTTATTCATGTTTGAGCACATAATATTCACCACTGGTGGGTTGGTTAATGCTTCCTCCACCTTTATTAAGTCCATGCATCTGAAACAAATAACATGCTGACTAATCCCAAACCCGACATGGACCAGTAACTGGACGGAAGGTCGTGGTTCGCCATATGATTAAACCGTCTATTCGACCTTCCCCTCCTACGGAATAAGTTTGTAAATCTTATTCAATCTGATATGAATTCGGACAAGGTACTAATTTAACTGTCCTGATTTTCAAAATATACCCAACTGAAAATATACCCAACTGGATAATGTATTTTGATTAGGAGAGATTACGACATTGATCTATAATTTATAGCGTGTACCTGATTTACTATTCTTTCGTTTCACTGAATTTTTATTTAGCACTAAATGTAAATCTTCATCTCATTTTTAGAAAAGGATGATGACGTCATTGACAGAGTTCTTCGACGATATGGTATCCAACAAACAGCTACAATTGTACCAGGTTATTCCAGTGGTTCCACATTATCACCAATGCCTGTTGATTATAGACCGAAGTCTCGCGTTTCTACTGATTCTAATCGACATAGCGTTCAGACTAGTTTATTAGACGATTTGACAAAATCACTTGAAACTTCAAGTATTTCAAGCAAAGCTTCAACTACATCAGATAGTGCCGCCGATAATGATTCAACACGTCATAACGCAGGAAGTGAAGTTACTCCGAAATCGTTGGCATTGCTAGCACAACTGAAAAGTGATTTGCTTCAGTAGTTAAGTAACATCATATTGAAATCCCCTCGATAAAACTCTACATAAAATTGGGAGGGAATTTTGGATATTTGACACCTTGTATAAGATTTCTGAATTATCTCGGTCTTTAGACTTATGATGTATGTTACTATCCTTTTATTCTAAAAAAATTTTGTCTTCAATACATTGATGTAGTAAAAAATGTTATTTATGTAATGAAAAAAATACAGTTACGTTCACAGATAATTGCATGACGTTCAACATATTGTAATTTTTTCCTATTGCGAGATTTCAGTTTTGTAATAATATTAAAGAATTCAAATATTATTTTGTCTAATTTTTCATTGCACATTGTCATTTTGAAAGTAGTTTATTTTTGATATTTTCTCACAATGTTCCTAATATTAATACGTTTTATTTTTGTGTATGCTTATACATGCTTGTAGTACTTAAGTCAATATTGTATGTGTTCTTCAATATTTTCCATGGTTTGTAATAAAATATACAGTAAAAGCAGCATATGTGTTTTTGTGCAAATTTGAGTAATGAAAGACGAACACAAAGATGTTAATGTAGATTGCCAATATGAGTTGGTTTGCCCAGAACGATTAAGAAAATCAAGAGTTTTATCGAAATTCACTACGCCGACAACGTCAACAAATAAAAACATTCTACACATTTGGTGACGACGCAATTGTATACATGAACTTGTTCGATTTGAATATTACATTGCTACTGAACCGCATAAATACGTATGTGCAGCTACGGGTTTGCTGGATGTAACTTTTCTGCCCAAACGTTTGCGAGTTCTTTTAAACACCTAGCTAGAGGATCTAGCTTATTTTATATACTTTTAATTATATAAATTTTCTGCCTTCATTGCCCTGTCCCGTATAACTATTGAAGAGGGCCTACAGTGACATATCTTTCTCAGTGGCATGCCGTTATATTCGAAACAGAAAAAGTGAAGTTAAACAGAGCCACGTCATAATAACAAGATGATATATAATAATACGCAACAAGCACTTACCCTATTGGACAGATCCGTTGTTGCTTTCAACCATTCAATATCAGTTCTATATTCACGGCAAGCAATAATATAACAAAAAAATGTATATGACGCTGAAACATATCCGTTTCTTGCTGTATCATTCTACATGTTGTAAGGTAGTCACGCTGACTGTTTGCTTCTAGAGCGGTAATAATGTAGGATGAGAAAGATTTTCAAGACGAAATGCATCCTTATGTTTCTGGTTACTATTCATGTCTTTTATCCAGCCAATATAATGCGATTATGGACGATTGTGACAAGGTAAGTTAGCTAATGTGACATATATGTAAGTGTTAATAGTTCTGACCTAAAGAGACTGCACTCAAGAAACAGGCTGCACAATATGCCTGTAAGTGAACAATTATGTCACGGTTGTTCTGAACAGTCTCAGTTTATATTATTAGAATGGCTCATAGTCAATGGTATTATTTGCAACACACAGGTATCGATGTCCTCATCGAAACACATTCCATGACACGAAAGTTATTTCACAAGCATTGCAAGATTTCACGACAAGCGATGCGAAATACAAATTGTCAGAAGATGACGACAGTTGTGAAGGTGAGTGAAAGTTACACTTGTGTACGTATGTTGACGTGCTTTGGCGGTAAAATGAGACATTCAAAAAAAAAACGTGGGTGACATGACCTTAGACGTCGAGCCAAAAATGAAATATAATTTTACATCGCGAAGCAACCAATGTATGGGTAAGTAGGGAATTGAATCGGTCAAGTCAGCCATTTTATAAACTACCCGCGACCCCATCTGCCATGCATAAATCAGCTTTAATCAAAGTTATTTATATTAACAGTGAGATCAATGGGATGTTTCCAATCTTTGCCTAAACTATTTGTACCGGATGTTGTATCAATTCGTCTTACGCCGAACAGATGTTTCAATTTCTGTAACGAAATGTAAGTAAAATGACATCCATATATATATATGTTGAAACTTATAATACAGTACTTTAGTATATAAATATTTTGTATCGCCTGTCACATTTAATACACATTTTATGAAAATCGTTAAATTATAGACGTTTTTATTTCGACTGTACCGATCAAGCATACTACGCGCTTTAACTGATCAAGTAGATAAAAATACACTGGAAGAGAAACTTGAAATCTTTTTCGTTTATGTTTTATGTGATAAATTGTCGTCATCCGCTCCAATAGTGTAATAATAATATGTCAGTGCCATACAACAAATGTTTCGTCTGATTTGAAAGAAATCGATAGGATTATTTTGAAATATTCAATTGTTGGACACAAAGTGAACAAACATATGGATCGTTTTGCCGGGGTGATTGTAATTGTTGGAAAGAATCGCTTTTCTACTCGACTAATGTGACGAACGCTAATAAATTATCCGAACCTAAAGATGTAAGAAGTCGTTAAAAATGTATATCTTTTATTTTTCTGAATCCTACTTGACATGATATTTCTACCAAAATTTTGTTTTAACCCACGGAAACACTGTTTGCACTTTATCACCTGATTGTCGACCCTATCACTATCGGTAAACCCGTTCTCAACTTACAAATGCGCCAAGTTTGTGCCCATATATCGGAGAAATGCTTCGTTGTTTTTCAGAGGAATGCTGTACGCTTCTTTGAACAATGGTAAAACGTGTTACTGTGGAGAAAACTTTTTAGGTGTTGCACTACTCACAATGTCACAGGACTGTAAAATAAAATGTTCCGGCGATGGATTCAAGTATTGCGGTGGGAAACAAAGTTCCCAAGTTTATATGATCACCAACTGCAACAAAGGTGATCCAAAATATATTTGGTTTAATACGATTACTAAAATTTTGTAATAGCTATTTTAAGAAGCATATTATTGTATTGAGGTTATTGCCCTAAATATAAAATTTATCCAGTTTTGCACTGAAGTTATATTTCTTTGGAACGTAAATCACTATTATAATTTCATCTTAAAACCCATTTGCAGTGATGAAAAATAAAATATTAGAAGGCTGTTTAGTCAGAACAAAGAATGATTTATTCAGTCAAGAAGAACCACTGGACAAAGATGATTGCATAAAGATATGCGGAAAGGCGGGATTCACTGTCGCAGTGCCGGCAAAGAAGTGTGTCTGTGGTCATCGACAAAATGTGTAAGAATAGTCCGATTGTACTACTATAGTTAGGATTACCCGGACTAACTCCGCCATAACCGAGACGTATGGTAAGCCTACGTATAGCCATGAAACCTTTGATGTATTTCACATGTAAAATACATTGTTTAAATTTAAATTTATAATGTGCTGATTGTATTGACAGATATCTTTGTAATTGTCCTATGATCCAGGATATACGAGTGGTTATGGCCTTGCCCCGGGCAGAAACCCAAATAAATTTTACAGTTTTCGATAAATTTAACTCATTTTATAACAACATTGAATATTTCATTTTAGGAAAACCAACAGTAAAGGACAGGCTTGTGTCCGGGGAACTCCGTACAGAACACTCGCTCCTGATTCCAAATGCGATAACAAGACATTGCTTCCAGCTGGGACGAACCCTCCAATTGCTCTCGCTAGTTTCCCGGGATCCGGTAATACTTGGTTTCGTCAGATGATTGAAACAGCAACAGGTGTATATACAGGAAGTGTGTATGACGAAGAACTGATTTTCGCCCATGGTGAGTGTAGAATGGACACATGGATCGTTTTGTCATTTTGTATTTTTCTTCTTCTTCTTGTGAAAAACAACCTTTTTCATTAACTACGGGATCAATGCTTTGAATTTTAAATTTCTGTGTGATAACGTATTCAAAATAATAAAATTCGCACAGTGACGTGGGTTTCGAGACCGCATTTCAGCGATCTCGTCGAACTACCGTTACTGTAAGCGAATTAATGCTACTTAGTTTGCCTTTCGTGTCCATCTATTTGAGCACTGCTCTCTTGTTATTATTAATTGGAAACGAACAAATATTGGTTATGCACCAAATCATATGAAAATATCTGAGATTGTTCAACCATTCACTATGATGAAATACAACAGTCAAGGATGCAAGTTTGCATAGAATTCATGTTTTATTCTATTTCTTGTAATCGTATGACGTCGCGAGACTTAATAAAATGAGACAAAGAGAGCATATATGGCCATTATGTAATATCATTAACTTACGCGAAACACGAAGATATCGGAAAGTCAACAATTTTAAAGTCAATGGAGTGAATGAAAGATATAATGTGAAGTTGTGAACTATTTTTCGAGAAGGTCGTCTAAATTTCCCCAGATGAACAACGACTTTTCAACTGTGCTTGGCAGTGTCTTTATTTGATTTAATCTTTAAATGTTTTATATATACTTCAAATTTATGGTGCATACATATGTATATATATAAAATCATTTTCGCAGGTTTCATCGGAGAACGCTTGCCTGCTGATTCTGGCAAAACGGTTGTTATTAAAGATCATGTTCTTCATTCGTTAGATGCATTCAAATATAAATCAGCAATATTACTTATCCGTGATCCTTACGATGCTATATTAGCAGAATACAACAGATTCAGGACATTAGGCCATGTTGCGTCTGTAAGTGACGAGATGTTGAAATCCAGAGGTGAGATAACATAACAGTAATGTTTTTAACACTTCGAGATGTCCATATTTTTTCTTGTGTATTACTCGCTTGATGCATGCATCCTTACCACCGAATATTACGATGCAACATCAGTACGCCTTCACTGTGGGTACGCTTTTATCACATATTTGATATATAATAATGTTAGCCCTCTTGAGTTTTTTTTCTGCAGATTTTCATTTATTTGTCAACCGGAAAGCAACTACATGGAAGAACACATATAGTAAAATTATCCGAAGAGTACCTCGACTGTTACCAGTTTACTTCGAAGACAGTGTCAAGGACGCGGTAACGCAAATCCGTCGTATCTTGGATTTCTTACCAGAATCATCATTTATTCACGGACCGGACTTGGAGACCCGTCTCCAATGTTTGGAAGTGGATGTACACAGCAAATTTAAACGTCCAAAAAGAAGTTTGATTTTTGACCCTTTCTCCCAGGATTTGAAACGGAAGATTAATGATAATATAAGAGGCCTCAGACAGGAGCTAGAAAGAGTTAATATTTCGACTCTGCCGAAGTATGAAAGACAAGGCGTCGAGAAGAAATTCGGTGGAAAATCATCTGATAGAGGACAACGTAACAGACAGTTACAGAAAATAAGGATAAACGCCAAAGAAAAAAATGGGGCTTAACAAAATATTTTAGGCATGTTTTGCCACACACATTACAGTGTAAAAAACGATCAACATTCGGAATAGAAATACAACAGAATAAAAAAAATGTGTTCGTGTTTATGATGAGAAATAGGTTTGGTGTGGATAATTTATTGTGGTCCTTCCAGAGTCCGCCATCTTGGTACACATACTTCTGGGCGCCGAAAATTTATCTCAAATTTGGCCTTTTTACCAATTAATTAGCAATATATTCAAAAATATCGACTGTTTCAGAATTACTTCGAATAGTCAGTATGATGTTCGCAAAAATAATCAATATAAGGTGAAGTAAACGGAAATCTACAATATGTTTTCGCGAAGAATGTTGAATAAGGTCGAAAGAAAGGTACGAATCATGCTTTTTATAAATACAAGCATATCGAAATCGTTAGAAATGTAATACCTATCCACATTTTCAGGTAGAACGTCACCTTAGTTGTCTTTTTGTATATTGGAATAGCTACCCGGTTCATCATGAACGCCGCAGGTGACCAATGTAAAACGAATACCCATAGTTGTCACAATTCTCTTACACATGATTGACAAATGATATCGGACTACCTTATCTGCTAACGCTGAGATTTTACTTATATTATTCCATTGGTAGTACGGATGACGAACCTTTTCTGTAATACACATTTCTACCAATTGGGTGAATTTCTATTACATCGCTCCAATAAACGATGAAAAAACTACAATTCAATGCAACAAAGGGAACTATATTTGAAATCAAACAACTTGTGTTGTTTATGGAATTTAGCAAGTTAGGTTGAACAATAACAATTACCATAATATCATATGTCGCTGTTCAACTGTTTAATACGCATTTTGTGATGCTCCGGCTTTTTCCATCGATCTTGTCATCTTCTCGAGGAAGGCTTTAGAATCTATACAATTAGCGTATTTTTTATGTTATCAACTAAAATGGCTGGTTAAAATTTTCCATGTAATTCAATCCCAATCAATATACCGTAATTCGCTGTTATTAGTCGATGCTTGGGAAGAAATGCGAGGATGATTTAAAAATAAAACAAAAGAATACTCACATCTGAAAACGCGGATTCTTACATCGTCTCCTGACATTGACTGCAAAATCTTTGCAGGAACGGATCCGGCCTCCATACCTTCCAATCTAACAGCGTTCTGAACAAATCATGATTTCTTTGAACTGAATCCTATATTTTAATATCTCTAGTATTTTATGGAATCGGAAGACCAAATCTTTTGCAAACGATTAGATTGGTCCTCTTCATATCAGCAACCTTCTTTGTACTTTTAGATTTAACACAGTCAAAACAGTTATGACATTTTTGATTATTCTTATCAACGACTCAACGAGGTTTGAAAATTCGACAATTACTACATTGAGAGCGAATAGGTTTGTCACAATTCCATTGATACTTTCTAAAAGAAGCCTACAAAAAAAAATACAAGTCGGAAGGTGAATGAATTTTGTGGTATCCTGGATTGGCACCTGAAATGTTATCAAATTGGTTCGAGATTGATAGATTCAAATTTTTCAATTTGGGGAATAATTTGGGATAGTGCGTATTGAAAAGTTGTTTTCATCAATTGAAGTCTCACAGTATGACAAAGGGTCTTTATTCAAATTCCGAAAATTGTAGGCAGCCTATGTAGCAAGCAAATTACAATTTATCTTACATTTCTCGCATCTTCAAATCAAAAAGCAATGAATATTTTGATTTCTGTGTGTTCTACGTCGAAATGACACAGTTTAGAATATATTGGACATTTCATATTGACAATGTAGTTTTAGATTGTATTCAAAATATTCTAGCAATCTCGATTGGAACCACAATCGATGTAAAATGTCGAAAATTTTTCTGAATTTTATGAAGCTTTCCAACTCACTTCCACATTTGTTGCAAAATCTCCTTTTATTTCAACACCTATAATCACTCCAGCTTTAGTCGGTGGATGTATAATTTCACTGGGTACAACACCCCCAACGACAAATCCGTGTGCTGAAACGCCCGACTGAATCTGCAAATGAACGACAACTTTTATAAGAACTTATATACAACATTTATAAGAAATCATATAAGGTTAGGGAGTAGGGATGGAAAATTTGGAATATCAATCAACTGCACACGTGAAAGGTAGGGAAAAAATGCCGGTTAAAATATCGTGAAAAACATTTTCAATTTATAGTTAACTTTGCTTATGAGAACTTGCCAGGTGATGTTTTTAAAACGTGTTCGTAAAAGATTCGGAAATTAACTCTCGGAAAGAATTTCCCTGAAAAACAGTGTTTTTTCTTACTATCCTACTATATCTAGCCCTGCTATTTACCTTTGAAAGCACCATATCTGTCAATTGCTTTGCCTCGCTGGATTTCACGTTCGTCATTGATGGCCTATTTAAAATAATGGATTATTAGAGCTTCCCATAGTTTTCGATGCATCGTAAGTATTTCCTCTTTGCGTGTGATAAACATAGTATTAATGGAGGTTTAAATTTGTTTGTTCGTACAATGATAGTCTTCGGGTTGATAACATAGCTATCTATATAATTGCCAATTTGATATTATTCCGAAATAAGTCTTGCTTCACCCTAATTTCATATATATTCAGTTGGGTGACCGTACATTTGAACCCATGCGTATATCCACGGGTTCAATCTATATGCGGGTGCTAAAACCCATGGGTTAGGGTTAGTATGGGTTTAACTATCCGTGAAACAAAAAACATTCCATAGGTGCAATAGCATACAGGTGCAATTGTCATGGGTTCAAATGTACGTGGGTTTAAATGTAATGGAACCATTCAGTTGATATTGGCATTTCAGTGGCTGTTCGCAAATTTGCTCCGGGATGAGTCTCATATACTTGTCAGTGAGTGCGCTTGCTTACAAATTTGATTTATCAAAAAATGAATCAAATACTTTGAAATGTCTACTAATAAATAATTGTATGAAAATTATAGAAATGCACATACACAAAAGATACGGGTTGTCCTCCAACAGTTAGATATTGCAAATACATTGTAAACATCACTTCGCCTGTTATAATAGCTTCACTGAACTGATTGGTTGATCCGGGACTGGGAGGGGGCTGAGCTGGATTGATGACTGGTCCAAAGCCTTGGGAAGACGATTGGAAGTAAAGAAAGATGAATGATTAGGAACTGTGGAATTGTTTCAAAAACCTACCGTCGTTTTTGTATACCAGATGTATTCATCATTCGATGACTTATTAGAGTGATTTCATATACGACAATCAGTACAAAGTTCCTTTATATCACTAATTACTATGATAGTCCAAACAAGCAACTTTTACTAACTATGTCGTAAAAGTATTGTCAAATAATTAATTATTTTGCTGCAATTAGGACAAATTGCGGTTAAAAAGTAATTTCGATAACCTGATTCATTATAATACAGTTTTCCCGATTATTATTCCAATTTTGTTCATACCAAACGATTAGTTATCCATATACAAATAACAACCTAAGCTGCGGCCATTGGTAAATAGTCAATACAAAAAAATTGAGACCCAAACAACCATTGTACCCGACCAATAAAACAACATAGAACTAAATCGTTTCAATTTTGTCGTTTAATATTTTCAATTTAACCATTCGACCATACGATTGGTCATCGGAATGAATTATTCAATAATAATCACTCACTTTTCACTTTAAATATTCTGACATCAAAAGGAATATTCCATGCTGTAACTCCATTCTTAACCCCAGCGCTTGTAACTTTACCCTCATTCAAATCTATCACTTCAACTACCCCTCCTTCATCCTGAAATGAAAAATTGTTCGTCAGATGTTGTGGTTACTAAACGAACTTATGTCAGGAATGTGGACGAAGCGTACACATAGATCGTTTTGTTATGATGTTTTTAGTTGTTCTTTTGGTAATTTTTTTTGTTGTTATGAAAAAAATCGTTTTTTTACATCAACTACTGCACCAATTTCTTTGACATTTTCAGTGGTTAAAGATTGTATTTTATGCAACTCAGAAACTTTCTGTGGGCTCTATGTGATTTAAATTTTGTGTAATGACCTCGTCAAAATTAACAAAAAGTAGTTGCAGTGCTTCTGCGACCTCTCTCGTGCTACGCGAAAGTCGGAAATTTTTTTGACCATGCCGTACGTACAGTAAACTAGGTAAAGTAGGTATGTACGGCATACTACTGCTTCGTTTTCGCTTTCGTATTCATATATTTGAGCATCGCTCTCTTGTTGATAACCATGACGACTCTGACAACAAAGGCCGCATAGAAGTATAAATTCCGGCGAATTTCATAGTTCTGCTTCGGCTCCGACTCCGAGAAGTTTGAAAATGTAACCTCGGCTTCGACTCTAATATTAATAAAAAAATACAAAACTCCCAACTTACAGCCTACAGTTATAATTATATTCGCAAAAGTATACACAAGCTGCTTGTTGATATTTAATTGACAATTCAGAGGCTACACCGTATGCAAATCTTAATTAAACGAATTGCATTTAAAACGATTGATGTATCTACTTAGCTTTACATTAGAACTCACAGTTGTAATTCCAGCATAGTAAGCTGCCAAGCAGAGGTTTGAATAGACTGCAAATATGTTATCTGTTCCTCCATAAATGTATGTCTGGGGTTGCACGCACGAAGAATCGCAAAGGCAAACTTTCGTTTTTGGTGAAATGTCATAACCGGTATCTTGGCAAGGACAGGGCTCTCCTGAAGGGGGGCGATGAAAAATTGACATTAAAATAACAATCAATATTTTTCCTCGTGAAATGTTTTCAAAAACAAACATTTTGGACGATATTTATCCACAATCACCTGCATTTGCTCTAAACATGGTTTTTGTAGGTTTGATATGTTCTATCCAATTTATAACTCGACTAATTGATTTGGAATAAATTATGAATTTACTGATCAACTTATAGAACCCAAAGCCCATGAAATACAGTAAGTTGTGTTGAACCCAGTGGCGTATCTAGGGTATGGCAGCCATGGGCGTCGTTTGAATTGGGGCGCGAATGGGGTAAAAAGTTTTAATCTAAAATGTTTCGATAAAATAATTTCAAACCGGAAATAACTTAAACGCGAATTTCTGCCTAAATAATAACGTAGAAGTATCTCAATTCAAAAACAGTCGTTAAAATTGATAGTCAACGATCAAGGGGGTGCATTTTCAAACCTTGCCAAGGGCGCTATTTCACGTAGATACGCCACTGGTTGAACCATGGCCTCTCATCCTTGAAATTGAAATTTATTATTTAATTTTTACATTGAAATTGGGTGGTTGCTACTTTTTGAATTTTTATTAGTATCTAGGTGCACTACAGATTTAATGATCGTTATTTTATGCGAAAATTTTGTCTTGGGAGCCCAGATTTGTAATTCACAACAAATACAGATATACCTTGTGGCGTTTGCATGGGCGGAGTTTGCATGAGAGACGGTTTATCCTCTATCGCCTTATACACGCTATCCATGAATTGAGGTTCGGCTGTAATATGAGTATGAAATACTGATTTAGCAATGTGCAGATATTTAGTAAAGATGAAAGTATACTGGGGTATTTAAATTAATAAATGGTCAGAGCTAGGTAAGCTGTATCCAAAGGTTGCTCTATCACAACTCCATGATAGTTATCACTTTGAAATTTTAATGGTATTAACTATCAACAGAAAAAGAGGAACAAGCAGAAATGATTACAATACATTGTAGCGTTCCGATATAAATAGTAGTAAACGCTCGAGACACCGGCCGAGATTGTGCGATAAAGTTTTTAGTAGATTGCATTAAAAACTATCAGGATAATTATTTTCTTTCGTCGCAACTTCTCTGTTATCGTCCCCTATAAACATTTTTTTTGACAAACTGGAACATTATTTCACTTGTACGTATATAAGGTAGATTACTAATTTTTAATCAAGTCTGAAAAATGTTATAATATATATCGAGAGAAGCATATCTGATCAATAGTATAGCATTCAAGGATAGAAATTTCATACAATGTAAATCTGGTTTAAGTTATAAATTAAATGTATTACATGACAAGTTTAACTAATTAACTATCGAATACAAGCTGTCAAAAACATACGTTTTATTTCTTGGATACTGACACCAACACCTTCAGACGCCATTCTGGATTCTACCATATTAGACACCGAAGTCCATTGGCCGTTCGATGACGTAAAAACAGCAGCATTTTTTGTGGGTGTCCCTTTCGTCTCAAATTTCATATTGACGTAACTAACGTCCGCATGCTGTAATCAGTCGAAAAAGAATAAAGTTACGGTAAATTTTGGTTTCATGACACTATGAAATAAAAGCATGACCACGAACATATAACAAAATATTTCTTGACGTATCTCCTTATTTCTAATCTATAATATTATTTTTGGACACGTAGTGGGCATAGCGATCGTTTAAATATTATGTTGTTGTTGTTGATCTTGTTCTTTGACACTTTTTGGACACCTAGGATAAAATCTAAAAAGTAGCTTTTCTCTTTGATTACTGGACCAATTGCTCTGAAATTTTCAGTGGTTACAGATAAAAATTTTCTTCAGAAGGCTATTACTTTTATTTATTTCCAAATATTTCTGTTAGCTCTGTGAGATTTTTTTGTTTGTTTGCTATGACGTCAAGGAACGTTCTGCGGGCATCGGACGCCATTTTGTGTCAGACTGTACTGCTTCGCTTGGTGTGAATATATTTGTAGACTGTGATCTGACGGTACGGTAAACCGTACTGTACTGCGAACAGACGTGTCCATATATTTGGGCGTAGCTCTCTTGTTATTGTATGTCTTCGTATATACTTCAACCATGTATCCAAAAATAAGAAAAGCCCTTATTCTATCCAAAATTTGTCATAAATCGAAATTTTTTTGACCGTCATGTTTAGATATTCCTATATTTGTAAAATTTAGTTTATTCTACTTTGTTTTCAAAATACTATAGAAAAACTTACTTCAACAGTTTCCACTTCCATGCTGGTGATATCGTTTGGTGTCAAAGCACCTTCTGCGCTCTGAAATTGATCGGAGTCTCCCATGGATGAAAACACCGACCTTCCTCCTGCTTGAGCTGTTGACTTCAGTTTTGTCGTTACTACTGTTTTTGGTTCAGCAGGTGTGAATCCTAGAATATTTACCTCGTCTACCTCCACGCCTTCATCATGGAATGCTGACCTCATCTGTTAATAAGAATGACACAATATGAATCTGACTGTTCCTTCGTTAAGAATTAGTCAAATTACGTCCAGTTTTCAATGTATATTCTGTGTTTATAACGTAAAATTAGACGTTTAGAGACAATCTGTCGTTCTCATATTGTCGAGTATGCCATTTCGTACCATTTAGTGACATCCTCAAATTCAACGTGGAATTATTAAACGCACTCACTCTTGAAGACAAGGTTTTCTTCAGTGCTTGTGATTTTTCTGAATTGGGGTCGTTGTAGTCATCAGACCACGTCACCATTTCACCATCCAGTTCCTCCATTTGAAGGTCTCCCTGGAACTGCGGTATAGACATGTTGTATGATGATCCATAGTTTCCAGATGTTACTGTGAAATTATTGAATAATAAACTGTAATAGAAGTAAATTTATGCATCATAATATAAAAACGATCTCAGTCACTGCAAGGTATACTTGAATATGCTTTAGAATTGCCCAATAAATAAATCTATTGCAATACCCATGTGTTCACAAGTATATATAAACATGCGTCTCAGCGTACACTCTAGCGAGTTATTTTTATATATGCACTACACCAGGGCTACTCAACTGGCGGACAGCGGTCCGAATCCGGACCTTTCGGGTATTCTATTCGGACCGCGCATAATTCTATATTTTGGATCATTAGCCCTACTTTTGATATTTCCTTTTAAAAGATCACTTTTATAGATTTAAAAATATATATGAAAGAACTATAGCGCCATAAAAAACAATCCTGAATCATTAGTCGGCCGAGGAATTGCATGATTAAGGATGCCGAAATATAATTTCTGGAAAGTCCGGACCCAAATATTTTTGAAATTTTGTATGCGGACATTCGGTAAAAATAGTTGAGTAGCCCTGCACTACGCTACAGTGCCGAAGTTTTTTGGCGCTGCTTCAACTTATTGATCGAAAAATCCTTTGACATTATTCTACCTCGGCCCGAACTAATAGTGTAACAAGTCAAATCTTATCTACTTACCCATAACTATGGCAACCAATGAAACAATGCACAGTAACACTCCGGATGCAAGGACAATTTTTTTGGTGTTGTTGGGTGGCGGTGAAGCTGGCGCTTTACGTTTTATATCACCTGGAAAAATTATTAAATTACAACTGTGTGACATAAAATCCATAACCACAACAGACTACAGACCCAGAATCTTACCTCCTCCGCCAGTAGTGGCCATTTTTGATTTTTGCTTCGACTTCTGACCGTCAGGCCCAGAGGAAGCTGTTGGCATTCCATGTTCCACATCGCCTTTTGGCGAACGATCCATATTTGTGAGTCGGATATCGTGTTTCTTCGATAGAAGTTCTCTCTTTTATGCGCTACAATAATTCAAATTACTAAATACTAAGAATGTCTAAATTAATCGATGGGTAAAATTCAAATACAAAAAGCGATGAAACACCGGGGGTCATGTAATGAAATATTTTGTATGCACGTATATCGGTGATATTTCAGAATTCTATATCTTGGTTAAAAACTCGCTTCTCGAATAAGTTGACACAAACTAACCCGCAAATGCCAGTGACTTAACCAAGTCTTTTTAATGAGGCCTGTAGTTTTCCAGTCCAGCTCAGGTAAACTGAAGCAAAATCGAAGACAGTCGCTGAATTATGTAAATACTTCGCTATCTTGATTCCTAATTATTTACACGGGCTGTCCTTATATGATCGGCTGTCCTGATTATATCGTGCGTTTTGCCACAGCATCTACCGCACCAGTTGGTAATTTTTCTTCAGTTTTTAGCAACTGCCGGCTGTCATATTATTGAGGCGATCGGTTGAAAGTTTTGTCTTGAAAAATTTATTCGCTTTAAGAATTGATACTGTATACTACCATTTATTATAATATAATTTGATTTTAAACCGTTTAAATATATTTAATTAGATTAGCTGTTACGAATTCATAGCCTATAATATTCATAGATGAGTTCCAAGAAGATTCTGGCAACCATTGAAACAGTTTATCACAGTGTGTGTTACGTCATATTGAAGATCGTTTATATTCACCGCCTTGTCGCCATTGGCGTTGTGTACACCTCGTTAAGTATGTCGCATAGTGTGAAGTTGACTTAGCTCAGATGTACGAACAAAAGATGACGAGATTTTAAGAAGTTAATATACAGATGCCATACGTAATGATAAGGTAAGTTAATAGCACATTTACTTGTTCTATTATGACATGATAAGACTCCAATGTAACCTAGAAAACAGAAAAGCGCCGCGACTTTTCCGATCGGCCACTAGTTCCGGACCATAGAGAAGTTGTAGGGTAGTAGACCGTAACCGAAATGATTTTGGATGCTTCATTGTTCGTTTCTAAATTTCGTGATCCCCATCGTTTGGAACATGCATCATTGGTGACTTGGACCAATGAGCATATATACAATGAGTGGAAACTTCCAAATATTTGCTCATTAATCCATTGTGCACTGCATTTTTTACGTCGTCCAGCTAAATGGTTCGTTGCATATGGAGAAAGCATATCGCTCGCTGCAAAAATCCTTCGCTTCGGCCGCGCCGGGTGCGAAATTGGCCATATTGAGGCTTTTAATTTCTCGATTCGTGTTCGGTTTTGGGTTTCGAAGTATGGTACGTTGAAAGCATACTAACTATGAGCATATTCTTATTGGGAATGCATATATATTAGGCAGAAAACGTAGCTATAGCACAGAATATGAAGTCAGGTGCGGTTATTTCTAATTATAGCATGGGATTTAGGTACATATTTATCCAGTGGGAAGCAATGGCGATAAGAAGGCCTAAATGTATGGCGAACCAAGGCTTCTCACAATCATAGTTTATAAGGTGCTCCATACGAATCCCCAGGGCTCCCCTATTTTGAATTACTCTGTCAGTCTGGGACATCTTGACATTAAAAACGGAGACAAAAATTCGAAGAATAGCAGGGAATCGGCTTTCCTCTCCACCTGGGTAAATATGTTAACCCCATCCTATATCAATGAATACAATGCCCCACGTCCCCGTTTACATGGGTCGCTTTCCGTTTGAGAAACTTTTTCATGCGAAACTTCTTCCACAAAAAAGCAGCATCGTCGTTTCACGGTCGCGCATTATGGTTTCGTCAAAACGATATTATTCTGTGTATTATCACTGCAGCGCAATTAACAGCGCCAGACTTTTTTATCTTTACGACATGTTATCTTTTTTAGTTGGCGCTAATAATGATAAATAAGAATGCGTGATTGTTATTCAGTAACGCGCAGTACCGTCGTTTAGGGCGTTCAAAATGAAAGAAGGGTTATAAGCTAATTTAAGGACATTCTCTTTTATTTTAATACAAATACGGGGCGTATTAAAAGCAAAATAGAATTTATTGACATAAATTTACAACGAGTTACGTAAAATTTACCGACGGCTATCGCCAACAGGCAGAAACGATGAATGTGAGAATTTTTTGTTTTGTTTCATTTTTGCGCCATCATATTTTTCAATTTCTAATTTTGCGTAAATCGCGTCAACATCGTTTTTGTAAATTTAGAAACGTTGAATCAGATAAGCAAGGCATGTGAATAAGGTATTATATGCGAATTTCCCGAGATATTGTGGAGAAATAATATTTTGACCACGTAGACCATTATTGCTGTCTTGCTGATTTATTCACGTGTTAAGTATCAGTGTTTGAAACCAAAGCTGAGTTACGTGAATACTCAACAATTTGCGGAGTTTTTTAATTATTATTTAATACGAAAGTAACACGGAAACGAAATAAAATTAAAACATAAAAATGTCAACTATCAGCTTCACAAATATCGCATCCCGGGGTCAGTAAGGATAATATTGTTCGCTCAAAATTGGGACCGTAACTGTGATACAAATCCTACACAGAAGATAAAAATCAGAATAAAATTAATTTTTGTTGTGAATGCATTCCTTAATAGTTGTCTTTAACATCTTCGCCGACATTCGTTAAAATATTCGAATAATTTTATAAAAAAAAAATACGATTTTGCCCACCACTAATCACGACGCATGTAAATAATCATTGAATGACAATAAGAAATCAACTTTATTAGCATTAAATTCCAAGTAAAAGTTCCACATTTCATGCATTCGATCGGCGCTACACGCGAGCGTGTTTTTGTATATATTCACCAAAACCGTCAGAGGCGAGCTACACGTAACTGTGGAATTTCGCTGTGAAGGACGCATTGTTTTTAATTTATTACCCGCCTTACGCCGTCATGAATTGAACTTTTGGTTCACTGTTTTAAAACCACCGCAATAGATATGCATTCCCGATATGCATATGCTCCTAGTTAGTATGCTTTCAACGTACCATACTTCGAAACCTAAAACCGAACACGAATCGAAAAATTAAAAGCCTCAATACAGCCAATTTCACAATGAATTAATGAGCAAATATTTGGAAGTTTCCACTCATTGTATATATGCTCATTGCTTGGACTGATGATAGGGTGGAAAGAGCGTATTTTGAAGTAGTATTATTTGCTTTTTCTGGATAAATATGAAATTTTCAATCCTATTTTATTGATCTTCGAAAATCCAGTAACTGAAGTTTGAAAGGAAATGGAATATATCAACGAAAATGTAAAACGTTAACGAAAGTGGAAACGATGGCTCCCAGATAACTCCCTGTATTTTTGAGATGCGGAATCGTTCCGGACACAATCCCATGGAATTCCATGCCATTTCAATATCAAAACCCATTATTTAAGGGATTTTTAGTTTGGCGTCGATACTGGAAACTTCTCAATCAATGTAGATTGGTGAACCTTCTGTGTCGATCTTTCCGTGATTCTGTGGGTTAGAACGTGAAGATGTTGCTCTACGAAACTATTAAAAATAACAAAAAAAAACTAGAAATTTTGCTAAGCACTCAAAAAATATCAGGCTGAATATCAGCTGAACATGCTTTTTGGTTATTTGTGGATAATTTGAAACGATTACAGTGTGAGTGCATTCTAATTTTAATCGCATAGGTATCTAGAACTTACTAAACTAGTGAATCAAATGTCTCCATTAAATGACATTGAAACGTTTTAAAATAATACTATATTTGAAAATCAGCATAAGTCGTAGAATTTAACAGGAAAATGCTAGCAGATAAAAATTAAGGAATAGTGACCGGGCGGGAGAGATAATCTCTCCTTTTACATATGTTTGGAGAGGTTACGGGCGTTTCTTAAATAAAGAATGTTAACTCTTACTGACCAATCATATTAGAGCCATATTTATATTGAACGGTCAGACGGTACCGGTATCGCAAGAGTGTCCGGACAGCTGAGCAGCATTCTCCAATAAATACTGTATGCACAATCAAAATTATATTATCACGAAGAAAAATTTACTATCATGTTATCTAAAATAGATTTTTTAACACCGCGTGGAGTTTTGGAGTTGTTGAAAATTGACCAGCATTCTTCTTTTAATTTTTCTTTGACGCCGTCCGGAATGGATTTTTTCATTAATATTTCACGAAAATATGAGTCTGTCACAGATTCATCAACAAAATTGACATTATTTTTTGTGTCCGGTAGTTTTTCCATAAATGAGTCTTTGACTTCCCGACCTTGTCTCGCATGATACACATTATTAGCGGTGTATGGTGTATTGAAGAACAATACCGGCTTTTTTGATTTTTTCGAACTGTGCTGCTCGTCTTTTCGACCCACTTCTAGTAGGTAGAGAAGAAAAGAATCGTCAGATTTTGTTTCTACTGGCTCCTGATGCCGTAGTTTCTCTTTGTTATCCGTGTCTGGTTTAGAAAGTGGTCGATGATTTGCAATCATATCTTCTTCTGTTCTGACTTTGTCTTCGAGACTTTGCATCTTGAGGGCGAATCGTTGAACGATACCTTTTGATGAATCAATCGGTTCTTCCTTGCACGTAACGTGGTTGCATTGCTGATTTTGTATTTCTTTGTCAATGATGATTTGTGGTTTGCTTTCTTTAGGGATCCCTTTATTTTGGTCGTGAGAGATATCATGCTGATTTTCATTGCGAGATTGCATTGAGGCAACGTCTTTTATCAATTTCCACCGTGCTTGGCTGTTTTGCGAAGGGAAGGGCAATAAGGGTTTTTGTATGTGTTCTGAATCTTTGTCTCTTGTCTGCCACATTAGTCGAATAGATTTGATATGCGAAGTTGGGGCGTTCGTCTCTTCTCCAGCTGAAACTCCACATTGGGAATTAGTCTTCTGTTGTCCATCTTCAGTTGTGCTGCTTGTCACCTCGGATTTTTGTTCGAAAATATCATTGTCCATTTCATCTTCATGTTCTGAAATTGTGTCCAAATCTGGAGCAAATGAACCATCATCGTCAATTTCGTCAGATTCTTCGCTACATGATGTTGAATCATCAGAGGTGGTTGAGCAATCACTGTCGGTATCTGATGCATCGCTATAAAAACCATCGCTTTTTGTCGAAAAACCAAGAGAACTTTCTGAACTAGTATCATATTTGGGCTCTTTTTTGATTTCTTCTTGCGGATCTGTTTTGCAGATTACGTCAGATTGTGGTTGTTCTTTCAATACCGACATCATATTGAATATATTTGGAGTTCTTTCCTGCATCTCCAAAGTTTTATCTCTGTCGCATTTCATAGAGTTTGTGCCATTCTTTGTGCTACTTATGCTCCGAGTGCTCGTACCATTTACGTGGCAATATGATTCTTTTTCACTAGCTAGAATAGTTTTTCTGCTGCTATTGTCAATAGAATATTTTTTCACGCCACAGAACGACGTTTGGTTTGGTGTATTGAATGCAGTTTTATTTTGAGTTGGAGCCATGCCGAAATCTCTTTCCAAGATCCACTGTGAATCAACGACAAAAGTCGGTTCTTCTTTTCGTGAAAACACAGCGTTTCGTACTGCCTTGTATGCACTTTTCATCGTCGATGCTTGTTGACGTGTTTATTCTAGGCCTGTATGTTGTTTCTAAAGAACAAAAAATACCAAATTAGCTAAGTGAAAACACATTTCATTAATATAAATTTTATCAAAATAAATTCAGAAAACTCTAAACTATGCGTATTAGAGATTTGTTCAATTTCAGGGGATAAACATATACGGTCTCGATAAAAGAACCGCTTTAATCCGGGTTTCTTATCAGCAACGGGGCGCGTCTTATGAGATGTCGAGAGGAACTTGTTGGTTCAAATGAAATTTTAGATTATTAATACTTCTGATGGTTGCGTCATTGGATTTTGCTGTAGCTACTTTATAAATATTATCCTTACATGAATTTTGATGAAATAAACTATTATTAATACCTCAAAACTTTTCAGTAATCCCAGCGTAACAAATTACCTTCAGCTGGTTTCGATTTCACCGCCTGTCCCTTGTTTGTGTATTGTTTTCTATTCCTATCTACTACACTCCAGACCTGATACTAAATTCTACCACATAACACTTGCTGTGTGTATCAAAAATCTCCAATCACCATTCGACGTATCTAATATGTTAAGTCGTCTGAATATTTGATTTGAGCAAAAAATATATTTACGTGTGCCAATTTGCACTGATGTGCGAAATTCGGTGGATTTTGTTTCGACTGCCTCCAATGCATTAACGGTGATTCTCTTTGTAGCTCCAAAATCCATCCAGCTGTGCGGGTTTCTATTTTACGAAACTACTATATTATTTTGGAGGCTGATATTACAATCTAATTGATTTTATAATATATACTCTTTTATGTAAGCAATTCTTATTGTTTTATATTTTCTGAAGAACTGTGACTTAAAGTTTAAGTGCACAAAGTTTAACTAGTAAACTCCAAAATATCTAACAAAAGAAAACCTGAATATCGTTTTTCTGGTATAAATGTGACGACAGGGAACTTTCTGTGCAATTCCTGAGTTACAAGTCTATTTTTCCATAAAGTCCGAAAAAAAACTTCCCCTCAAGAGATGTCTACTCTGTACTGAGTATTTACAGCAGACTGACTGTTCGTTTGTCAGTCGCAAAGGCGTTTCCGATCGATCAAATTCTTAAGTTATAGTCGACGGTTGCATTTTTCAAGATCCTGTTCTATCCTACTATATAATATAAATCCAAAATCCAATTTAAGCTTGTGTGACTATTCAGTCACTGGAAAGAAATTTGGACCCGTTTGAAATTCTACGTCCTAATTCCATGAACAAAAAACTCAAAAAATGTGTGTTTTAGACATTTGCGATATTGCATTCGCCTGAGGCCAAAGAATGTTATTCGTAATATCTCATGTCATATTTCATGTATGCTTCTTCGTATAATGCACGTAGATTGTGATAGACCATAGATCGCCTGTACCATCCGGTTATATATTGCTTCATTTCTTACTACCTCAAGTGGATTTTGAGAGGCCTTTGTAATTAAATCAGCATAACATTATTAATTATACCTGCAGCGAATATACCACTGACTGTTGACTGAACAAAATAACGCAGTGTTATAGGCAATTCTAAGAAAATTGCTGTGAGCTCTCTTTTAACAACTAATACAAAAGATTGTTGCCAGTTGGATGAGCGAATACACACGCACCATCATAAAATATTGAGTATGAACCGTGCGTTTGACGGGCGGATGTGTAATGCGGTTTGGTGTTGACCTTGACTGATAGGCAACGTACTCTTTAATCTAATGCAGGGCTACTCAACTATTTTTACGGAAGATCCGCATACAAAACTTCAAAATTATTTGGGTCCGGTCTTTTCAGAATTTATATTTAGGCATCTTTAAACGCACACTTTCTCGACCGGCTAATGATTATTAGCTAATCGAAATTGCTTATTATGGTGTTATAGTTCTTTTCATATATATTCAAAACTATGAAAGTCATTTTATAAAAGGAAACTTCAAAAGTGGGGCTTATGATCTAAAATAAAGAATTGGGTGCGGTCCGAATCTCGTACTCGAAAGGTCCGGATTCGGACCGCGGTCCGCCAGTTGAGTAGCCCTGATCTAATGTATCGAACTCCTTATTTCAGTTGTTGATAATGAGAATTGTTTTCGAATAGTTTTAGACGCGATTCATCTAAGACCGGGATATAGGATTTATATAGATATTCAATATCAAATGCGAATGCTTAAATGATCTGTAATTCGCGAAGAATCAATCTCTGAATAGTTAATCGATTATTGCGGACACCATCCTGGGGATTGATATATTGACGCTGATAATCCGCGACGACGAGCCGTATACAATGATCCAAGGAATAATTTACAACAATATGTGTTATGTGACATCATAAATTACCAATTTAATAAAGGCAGTTGATTTATTTAGAAATATTCATAAATTTAAAACTGGAGATGTCCATTATATGACGTGTATAAATAGAATTCGAACAATCAAATGAAAAATAATAAAAACAGCTGAGTAAAGAATTCGAGTTTGACTATCATGATAGCATACCTATAATTTATACACAGTGATAAATCTATAAGACAGTGGCAACAACCTGCTGTCTCGCGTTATCCTTTTGTCTTTGGTCTTCCAAGTCGACCTCTTGTGGGATTGTTTGGGTTATGTACAACGGGTAGGTAAAGCATTTCCACACCACCAATGGAAGTCTTAGCACAAGAATGAAAAAGGCAGCGCAAAGGATAGACAAAGTTATGATTGTAACGTGCGACCACGGTCGAAAATGTCGTAACAGTATCGCCGCGCTTGCCCAGGATATAGTTGGATAAATGGAAAATGTATACCGCACCCAACGGTCAAGAATGAAAGTATCTAAAATGAACCAGAAAATCAATATAAACCCAAGGGCTCCCAATGCTGCGATTGATGTCAAATATGATGAAATTCTGCCATCGTAAGTCAGTAAGGAAGCTGTGTTGATGAGAAATAATACGGCACTCCATGTGCCAAACATTGTAATCCCGTTTTGCACTAGTGTACGGCATACCCACAAATCCCAACGATGGTTTGCTTCCAAGAGAGCACCATTTCTAAAAAAAAATTAATATATGAAAACTTATGTCTATGCCAGATGTTTGGTGATATTCAGATAATTTTGTGTTATTCTGAGTTTGGGGGAAAACACATTTTTTCATAGAATGTAATAAAAATAAGAGTAAGCTCCAAAAATAATATATATATACGAGTATCACAGAATAAAAATTTTGTTACAAACCTGTCAACAGAGGAATGTGAAACATACAAACATCCGATGCAAGCAATGACAACAAAAGCTTGGAAGAAAACACTCCCAACTATAATTTCTCTGTCCCAGAAAAACATCCAGCACACATGTGATATTCCGGCGAAAGCCCAGAAACAGTGAAAAATCGGCGGAAATGCGTTGACCGAACACGTTGTCGTGTCTTCTTCGGATTTTTCGGAAACTAAAAATAACATTACCATTTCAACACAAGCATCCTATTTTAAACTCTACTCACAGAAACATTGAAAAAAATTATGCTATGATATATGGACCGGTAATAGGAATGGATGGAATGAAATTTTTATTCTCTTGATGATGACGTGACGTGCAAATTAACAGTAAAATGCCTGCAAATTTATCAGTACTGAATAACTTGCGTAAAACTAAAGAAATATTTTATGGACCTTTCGTGATTAGAATGTCCAATGACAATGCGCAATAATATCTAGAATACACTTATATATCACCAGTCACATGTACTGGTAAATTCATTTGGTCTATTTGAAGTGTACGAAACATTGTATTTTTTACCTGGTCGACATGTGATTATGACACAGTATAAGGACCATAAGGTGTTCCACGTGTAGATAAATTCCCAAACGCAAAGTGACCACTTCGGAAGTGTAATATCTATTGCCCACTTCTCCATAAGAATATGACTGTCGTTTCGAAATAAAACTGAAAAGAAAGAAATATGATGCAAAATCGGTTAATCTTGTACCGAGCAAAACTTAGTATGTTGTATTTATAACTAATCTGTTGTACTATAAGCAAACTCTGAACCCCCCCAAAAAAAAAAAATAATTGTAAGCTTACTGGCTGCTTTAAGGGAATTTACACAAAACAAATACATTTAACTTATACTTACTTTTCCGCACATCATGCGCCCAGCTTCCTCCACTGTTTTCCAATACGCCAACTGAGACTACACAAAGCCACACCACTGCCGAGCCGAATGCAACAAAAGCTGAAGTCACAGCTGGATAACTTCGCATTATTTCGTTCAACTATTTATTTTTCTCAATTCAAAATTTTCTACAATTCTAATTTAAAAAATAAGCAGTTGAGTACAGTTCATGTTCTAGTATAGGCTTCTTGAAATAGGAAAAAGCGTTTTATTGTCTTTATGTTGCGAATTTGTTTTCGTAAAATACTATCCGACTCTCTTGATTGCATTTTTGTCCCTCTACCAGGATACCCTTCATTCCGAAGTTAAAGTTTCTGACAGCCGGCATTTAGCATGAAATATACTCTATTCTGTCGTTTGCCAGCGACACCTGTATTTATGGCGCCTGAAATTAATCGAAGTAATGCACATTACATCGCTATAAGAAGGTATTATAGAGAAAAAATTAAGATTATTGCAATGTATATGAGAGTACGATCCTATCTAATCGATTTCAGTGGACACCATTCTTACTACCAAAGTGTGCAGGCTCTTAAAGATTATCGGCGATAAGCTCAGCATTAGAATGTTAAATCGAAATGTAGCACCGTCGGTAGTGGAACATATGCCATAGCCTGGTATAGTAACCTCAATTAAAGTAGTGGTATATAATCTACCGCTAAACATATAACTTCATTTTAATGCGCGTCGATACTGCTTAGACGCGCGATTTGGCCAGCCTGATGTCAAGAAGTAAAAAGCTTAATCAAAAAATTGTTGTAACGTTTTAGACTCCGTAGAATCAATGTTCTTGATACCTAAGTTCGACCAAAGAAAGCGCCATGGAAAGAGAACGGGCAAAGTCCGAAAATGTGTTTTAACTATATTTTTTCAATACTTGTAATATGTAATGTAGTTTAACAAACTTTTACTTCGCATTGCCTTGATTCATAGCAATTGAGCTGTGACTGGCTATTGCTGAGCATTTTATCACTAATGGCGAAGTAACTTAGTACCCTATCTGTGTGATATGACAGAAATGGTTTAATTTTTCTTCTTCATTAATAGACAATTTTGTTCTTCAATATCGTTGTAATAATTAACATGAAACAATTTATATTTTTAAATTTCATCTAAAATTATTCGAAACGTAATATATATAGTCTTAGAATATCTGAAACGTGTGTTTTATTGATTTCACTTACCTATCAGTCCCATATTTCGTGATTGCAACTTTCCGTACAACATGTGACTAGTACGAAAACCAGAATTGCGTTTATATTATATATTATATACGGTGATGTTCAGCTGGTCTTTGACCAAAAAAAATTCTATGCATTACCATATGATGGTTTTGGTCCTATTTCTGCGATTGTACTCTCGATTTTGTTTGTGAAAACTAATTGGAGTTGTATTCGAATAGTGTGCAAAACTTGCACGCCGCCGCGCGATCTCTTTCGGTACGTCGGTAAGTGGATGTGCTGAATAGTCCGACGTATTGGCTCTGATGAGTACCAGTAACCCTCTTCCAGACCAACAATCGTCTGTGAAAATTCACAATTGATGACAATTCACAGCGCTGATTTTTCTAATAAAATCGCCGATTGTTTTCGTCAGCGTGACGTGTTATTAGGCCGTAATGATTTTTATTTCGGTGTTTATTCTCCCTAAATCACAAATTTCTGCATTATATGTCTTTTGCCACGAGGAAGATGAAAATTACAATTTTTGTTCTCGCACTGTAGTGAGAAAAACGAGTTATTATATAATCATCGGTTACGAGGTGCTAAAGACAAATAAAGGAGTGAATCAACAACCGAAATTTCCTAGATTGATAAGCCGGAATATAAAATACTGAATTAAAACGGAAAACACCATAAGCTGTGACAGATTAAAAACGCCAGCGATAGATTAAAAACGCTTTCACAAAATTTCACATTATGACACTCAAGTTGTGTTTTAAGGGGCCCGCGACAGATTGAAAACGTTTTCGCAAAATTTCACATTATCACAGTCAATTGTGCCACAAGAACAGCTCAGATTTGTCGAATTCGCGAAAATACGAAGCAAAACAAGATATAATCGGGCACTTTGCAACACATTTTTATGTCCACGGATTGCTGTGGTATTTTAGAGTAGTGATGTTTTATTTTGTTGTAAGTCGCAACCACGGGTTACCTTGAACACAATTAAATTAATATAGAAAGAAATTTAAAATTCCTGTGGTTGTCGTATATTGAATATTTTGCGCCACAAAAAAGTAATTGAACGCTGAAAATGTCGGTTGTTTTAACGAACAAATAATCTCGGCGACCATTTCAGAAGCCGTTGCGTGGGAATTTCCGATACTGATTTTGAACAAACGGCGATTTTGATAACAAAATTAGTGCCGTAAAAATCGCAGTCGATCTTCCGAAAATTTCATAAAAGGGCGTTTCGAAACAGACGTCTGCTGTCACTTCTTGTAATACGGTTACGAATAGTTAGGCTGCTTTATCGAAATCATTCTGTGCTTTTAATGGAGCGTCTCGCCTAGATTCGAAAACAGACATGAGATATATTGTGTCCAATATATTCCTAAGTTGTGCAATGAATTATGAAAGGTACTTTGTTCACAACGTCGCAACAAAGTATGAGAAACAAGCGGATTTATTCGAAGTTTACTACGAAAAATAATGTTCAATATAAACGGCTTTTGCAGATATTAGTAGCGGTTTATCCCAACGCAAATCTTGCTTATTCGCTCGGCAATTTGTGAGTTTCATTTTATTTTCTCTAATTGGTATAGCTATTTGTCCGTTTCATTTTGTCCGCCCAGTATCAGTTTATTCGAGTGATTTAAATGTACCGCAAACACGTGTCATCTTAATTTCATACTTTTTTCAACTGTAAAGTATGTATACGCATTGAATTTTCTACATTGCAACCATGATTTGTTATAAAAAAAAACACTGCTCGAAGTGTGCCATTTCGAAAAAGTTTCTGTTTCAATAATCTTGAAAGTATCTTGATTGGCTCCAACATCTTTGGTATTACAAGCTTGTAATGGCAACAGTTTGTATTTAATTCAGAAAAATATTTTATTTAGAGAATGTTTCATATTTTTGTTTTTTCAGTGCTATTGTAGAATAGTTTAGTATTCGGATACGGAGATTCCATACATAACCTATGTATACATTTTAGATTGCTGTCGAAGAAAGATACTTTTCATTAGCAAAAAACTCTATTTAAATACTATTTAAATGCTCCAAATTAGGCCTACGTCTCATTGACATTGAAATTGCAAAAAAAATCAAGCACATTTTTCTTTCTGACAGATGTGCTTCACTACTGCCATAAAGATCCAACCACACTAAATTTCCCAGTACTTCAATCAATGTTGCCTTAATTTTAGGTTATGATATTTAAAGAATGATATTTTGAATCATATTTTCAGTCAAAAATAAAAGAAAATAAACTCATGAGCGAATCGTTCCACTTGAGCTCAGATATGAACATGCGTATATCAGCGGCAAACTTAATTTTTTTTATGCATAATACTTTTTCTACTGCGAAATCATATTACGCCTCTTGTTGAATGCACCAGAGGGCGATCGCGATCAGTAAATCAGAGGTTTTCGAATGTGTCGAACACCTGCGGGCTGCTGGTTTGTTTGGATTTTATTCTTGTGAAACACACTAAGTCAGTTTTGTGGTTTACGTTTGCGTGACAGATATCAGTCGAAGTGAATGCGGGCGAAATTGGGGCTTTGTATCGAGGTAATGATTGCGTACAAATGGCGTCGGTCTTATTCATTGTCCTGACATTACTGTCGGTTGCAGCCACCAGAGACAATGCCTTTTTGCATAAAAGATATGGCTGTAAGTTGGCTCCCAACATAATATGTACACCACCTGAACACTGTTTAGATGATGGTTTCGCGGGAAATTGTGAAGTATCACATAATAGTATTTGGAAAGATTTAACTGTGGCAGATCAACTGCGATTGCTGGAAGCTATAAAGGATCTCGAACTACAAGGATATGATTACAAGGATGTAGAAAATGCATTGAAATTTTCAAGTCCTACTAATCGTGCTATTTCAAAAGACTCAACTTTCAGTCTTGAGGATTATCTTACCGCCCTACAAATATTACGTCAAGATGAATCATTGCAGTTTGGGCAACCAAATGGAAATAATAGAGAAATCAAGTACAACTTGGAGCCAGAAAATAACTATAGGCAAGAATATCGTAGATCACAACCTCAAAGTTTGTCAGGTGATGCAGAGATTCGAAAAATGAAAGAAAAAGAACTTATTGAAGAAGCACGACAGATTCTCAGAAAAAGTGGAATGACCTTCGATGATCTCACAAGTCAAGAAATGAAAGGACTGGTGAAAATATTGGCCAAACATTTAATCAAAAATTCTGAACATAATGATAATAACAAAAATAATATCGTGGAAGGCGATGAAAAAGTGCCGAAAAATGAAAATGTTGAACATCAACAGCGTATCCAAAAAAGCGATATTGTGTCTAAATTCGAACCAGTCGCGTTTCCGGTGGAACCAAGTGACAGTGGGATTAATTCTGCTGTGATCGCTTCTGATAAAGAAACTGCTAAGACTGACACTGAAATTGCTGATTCAGATCCTGCTCCGATTCATGAGGCTTCAACAAATCAAAGACTAAAGAACAAAAATAAAACTCTTTACATTGTTATTATTGTTGTTGGAGCAACAGTTCTACTGATTATTATTGTCACTATTCTCAGCTGTGCTATTCATGCTTATCGAACCAAGGGCAAACGTCATAGAAAATTCGTGGGTGCGACAGATAATGATGAATTAGGAGATGATTATCAGGAGCTTTGTCGTCAACACTATGCCACAAAAAATTCAGAACGTACTGAAAATGCTAAAGAAGTAATGAATGATTTATCAGGTGTACAAGAACCACTAACCACACGTTCTTATCCATTAACAAAACCAAATGAAGGTGAAACTAAACCCAGCATGCCTGTGCATTCTATTGGTCATGGAGAAGCAACACGAAATTCAAGTGTTTCTTCATCGTCTTGGAGTGAGGAACCTGTCACAGCCAGTCTAGATATTTCTACGGGACATGCAGTTCTTTCATACATGGAAGATCATCTTAATAATAAACATCGTCTTGATAAAGAATGGGAAGATATATGTGGATATGAAGCTGACAGCACAACAACAACAATTGCCATCACACCTCAAAACAGCAGAAAGAATCGATCTTTGGTTGCTTTACCTTATGATCACAACAGAATTAAATTAAATTCCAAGAACAATCATTTACAGAGTGACTACATTAATGCCAGCTCTATTATTGACAATGATCCTAGAAGACCATTGTACATAGCTGGTCAAGGACCTTTGGCTTCTACAATTCCTGACTTCTGGCAAATGATGTGGGAAAATGGTTGTGTAGCAATTGTGATGTTGACCCCACTTGTCGAGGAAGGTGTCAATCAATGTGCTCGATATTGGCCTGATGAAGGCTCATGCACATACCATAATTTTGAAATTCATTTGGTTTCGGAACACATATGGTGTGAAGATTATTTGGTTCGCAGTTTGTATTTGAAACATTTACCAAGCGGTGAAACAAGAACAGTGACTCAGTTCCATTTCTTGTCATGGCCAAATGATCGTGTACCATCGACTGCTAAGCCTCTGTTGGAACTAAGAAGAAAAGTAACAAAATGCTATAAGGGACACAATGCTCCAGTACTTGTACATTGCAGTGATGGAGTCGGACGAACAGGTACTTACATTTTATTAGATCTGGTCATTGATAGAATGTTGAAAGGTGCAAAAGAAATTGATATAGCTGCAACATTGGAACATATACGCGATCAAAGAGTAGGGATGGTTCATACAAAAGAACAATTTGAATTTGCGTTGACTGCTGTGGCTGAAGAGGTAAATGCCATTTTGAAAGCATTACTTCGCTGATCAAAATATTTTATATGACCAGCTATTTTTTAGGGTATAGTTTAATATGTTGCACCGAGAGAGATTTTTAGTTATATTTTTGATCTTGTAAAATAGCTCAAAACTTATTAAGATTAAAAGTTCATTTATTCCATCCATACACATACTTTTGTTTATACTTGTTTTTTAGTCTTTACTCTCTATATGTTAATTAGATTCATTCCTTGTATTTAATGTAGTTTAATGCACTCTTGAGTATCTTGCACAAATATATTTTATAGTAGTTGAACTTTTTTTTATATTGCTAAAGTGTAGAATTTTATTATATACTGTAGTTAATAGGAATCATATTTAATAATTTAATATATCCAAATACAGCAGTAGTAGTACTATTTCCTAATGTCGAGGACAACTTCCCATGGCATTCTACCTAGTTATTATAATTATGTTCGAAGTCTATTTCTTATATGCATTTAATTAATATAAAGAAAATTTGATACTATGATTTTTACAAGTTCCACTCTGCCCTAAAGCATAAAACATGTTCTCCCCGAGCTGACATTTGAGTTACAATATGTGCATTGTGCTGTTTCAAACTAATTGAAGATTATGTACACATCATTCATATATCTTTGATTTTCAGATAAGATGAATAAGAAGTCTATATATATATATTATATATATTATTTTTGAAAAATCTTATACATATTTAAGAGCAATATGAGATCCAATATTTCACATTTTTACTTTCTCAGCATTCTTTGAACTATTTAATGGAAAAATTGACAATATCTATCCATGCTTAGATAATTATTGTTTAACCTAATTGGCATTCCTGATATATACATTTTATATCTTGTCAAGTGCCATGTTTCACTTTGGACAATCTGTAGAACTTATTCTATGATTATCGATACTAAGATGCAGGTGTCATTTCCTGTACACACCATAGGTGCATGGCATCTATTTGCCTGTAGCATATTTTCTTTTGTAAATCTAAGCCATTGATCTTATGTGCTTGTGTTTAGGTAGCAGTAATCAATTATTTGTATTCATGCTACATGGAATATGATGTGTAAGTATTTCACTTCAACCCTTTCAGTTTATATATATATTTCTCAATTATGGGCCAATCTCTTATGATTATATGTTTCTGATTACTTCTTACACTGCTAATGTGTTTTCATTGTCCTGTCCTGAAATGCACTGTAAAAATGGCACCAGGCCATGGTTACAATTTGTTGAGTAGGTTTTCGTTCACTAGTATGAGTTTGCCCAATTGAACAAACTTTTCTCTTTCCCACCTTGATATATTTTGTAAGTGAAATTGGACACACTTTATTACCAATTTGAAAGAATTACGGGTTTCCAGAGATGGAAAGGTTTGTTTTGCTGTTTAGGTCATATTACCAATCATGCACACTCCGAATAAGTTTGTTTGATCACCATCTATTTCAGGATTCTGTTAGTTTCAGTCATAATATGTTGACTTGTGACGTTTGGCATTGTATTTTCAATAAAAAATTATTCTGTTGACGCAGTTCACGTTCGACGTATGAATTAATGAATACCCTGTAATGAATGTCCCGCTGCTTATTATAGAAATAATTATTTTCGAGGAAGAGCGCTACCGGTCGAAGGCGTAATACTACGATGAAGCTTGTTATTAGCATTTCTCGTGGCATTTTCATTCGCTTTGTATGTAGGCGTCCTTTTCCGTTTTGAATATTGGCAATTGTCTCTCTCCATCCGGTCTATTCTTCTTGAGTATTTCATTTCGCTAAGTTGAGACTTTTCGAGACAATTTACATCGTAATTTATTTCCTTTAACTATGGCTTATAATAATTCGGGCGATAATGTTGAAGAATGAGTTGGTGCAATATTTTATTTTTACCCAAATTGAATTATTGTATTCTACTATAAATATTACATATGTGTGTATATCTGTGACGTATCGTGATATCTCTTGTATTCGTAAACGGACTGTTTTAATAAATGAATTTCGCACAGTTGTGAAATATTATACTCTAGTCAAGTAAAGCTTGTGACGCTATCGGTATGAAGTGACTTATTAAATACGTGTTGACTTCATATCAATTACAGTGGGTTTATATACATCAGTATACCCAATATAGGCCTTACAATAGAAAAGGACTCAGTTCTTTGCAACACAGCGCCGTTTTTAGACTAGTAATGAGTTGTACGTCAAAATTACTGGCTATTACTTTTGCTGCACAAGTTGTATTATTTTGTTGTGCATCCGTTTTATGTTTTAGCGCAAGTGACATTTCCGCCCAACGCGTCAACCTGTCACTGTCAGGAAATTGTGTCAACAGGTGAACTCCCATGACTGTAGATCAGGCCCAAAACGGATGATTTTTCGATTAAATGGCGGTAACTGCGACATAGAACAGTTCAGTAAATTGTCCATTGGCCAAATTTAATCCGAGAAGAACAATTTCCTTTCGACGCAATTACTGTTTTGGGATAATTATAACGTACCATATGGTTTCCAATACGCCGATGGTACAGGCAATTAGCATGTTGGGAGGTAAGAATAGTAACGACTATCTATTTTAATCATAATTTTGGTAATAAGAATTGAACGGTGGTCAGGCAAGATTTGTTAATCAGCCTGGCCTATGTTGAGTTACTCTAACAAGGAGCGAGTGTTGCAATTATCCCCTACAATTTAACGGTGAAATTCGATTATTGTGATTAGCGATGATTTTAAATACTAGGTGAGTGGCAATTACTCAACTAGGTTGGCAAAGTACGATCCCTTCCGTGATTCGGCAACTTGGGGAATTTTGATGCGACGACCCTATTATAATCGCCCATCTATATTTTATTCCAATATGTGGAAACGAAGTCTGCTGAGCGAAAATATTGATGAGTTGTATTTACGTTCGTTGGAAACTCGATCATAAATATTCCTCAGAAAACATATGGCGAAATAGGCGTCATTCAGTCAACGTATGCGTCACTAGAGAATTTGGTTTTTACATGCTTTGCTGTGTTTCCAATTGAATTTGCGAAATATCCGCTAACGTTATAATATTTTGTATAATGACAAGATGGTGGTAACCCAACCGCAAGAATAACGACCGCTGCGCTCCATTCCTCCCACCATATCTATGAATTATGAATTGGTTGATACGGCGGCGATCGATAAAACACACAAGAACGCGCTGCTGTAGAAATGTCGGTCTAGTAACGGCACTATCGATCGAATTCATTTTATTTTCTCATTTAGAACGAATTTGAATTTCTGCATGTTTCATCGATTTCATGGTTGTTCGTCTATTTTCACCACCTGTCCAATAAAGAAGAAAACAAATAATTTGCGAGGAAATCTTAACGTGCTACCAATAATAAATAGCTATAAGACCTAAAGTCCCAGATAAACATAATTATATATATATATTTGAACTTAAATGTGGAACGACAGGTGAAGAATTGTTTTGAAGATCTTTCAATGATTTTCATTTTGTGACACAATCCGCCATTGGCCTTACTATTATCGAAAACTCGATATACCTATCATGAAATCACGCAACTTATCATAACGAACAGCGGTTATCATGTCATTACGTGACGCACGTCAAACTTACGTCAGTCATTGTTTTGTTGTATGTCTTCAGGCAGAATGCGTTCAAGTCGTAAAATAAGATTGATTCCAAGGCACGCACTAGGTAAATAATACCTCTCGCTGTTGTCTATGAAAAGAATTTTAAGTTTCTTTTACGTTCATACAAAACAAACATGGGTGTTTTCGCGGTACTCACCGATTTGAAAGTACTTTATATTTACCCAGACACGCAAAAGGCAAATTCCAGACCAAACCATATAACCGGACGTTTCAAGAGTATTCATGACATGCGATGTGTGACTGCGGATGTATATTTTACCTGCAATACACAAAACTGTATAGGAAGACGGTGCCTGATCAAACTCTAAAAAAACGAATTTCACACGGCAAGCGGCGACGGGAGACGAATCCAACTCTTTAGGGAACGTCTCCTGACTAATATCAGCTTTACAAAAATCTTGACACGCTTTTCGACTAAATAGCCTCTCCCTCAGACGTAAACAATCCAACACATTCAATAAAGATTGTTGTAATATTAAGGTGTAGATTTCCACAAAGCAATGTATGTATGGAATAAATGATACGGTAATATTGTCTGCTGTGAAGATATAAAAATTACCTAATGAAATGAAACTGATGAATAAGCCATTGGCAATAAAGCGCACAATGAAATATTCTGTGGTCGTATTTTGCATAATAAAACCAGAAAATTTATTAATATAATACCACTCATATATCCAATTAATGAATTCCCCAGACGAATTGGACTAAGACTTAGAGGGATATGTTATTGCTTACCTTCCATATTTCTGAGGTATGGGAGAAATGAATATTCCAAACAGCTTGTATTAGGGTAAACCCTAAATTAGTATATGGACAGTACACGGCATTGAATTATTCATGCCGTTATTACACAAGATCAATTTGACATGAATCTAATTTACATACATTCAAATTGAATAGATTTGCGAATTATAAATGTGAGTGGTTACACAGGTTAAATTATAAAACACTAATATGAATTATACATAACACAACTTAACTCATTCAAAATCTTGGGTATTATTCGAAATGTGAATCAAAATTTATTACAAGCAAAATTTGTGACATTTTGATTCATTTCAAACCATCAGGTCACTAATTTTGTTAGTGATTTAATTAGATTATATGAAATTGGGAAGACCGACTATCAAAAATTGCATAAGACAGAGCGAAGATAAACTAATTACAATTTCAGCAGGGAAAATACATGTATCATGGCCTGTTTTACATTTTATAGAAATTACAGAAACATTCATAATGCTTGCAATATTTATTTATCAGGCCAGGTTTTGTAATTTAACATTGGTATGGTGGGCAATAAAGATATCACAAAAGACATTACCCGGTTCTACTACGGCATAACGTGAAACACAATAGTGAGAGATCTGCCCCAGGATAGTACTACAATGTAGCATGCGGCCTCTGTCATTGTTAGGGTAAAACTTCTGCAACATTTTTATTTGCCCTCAATCGATTTTAAAGTTCAGGCCGAGGAGAATTCATGAGACTGTGCATCATATGGCAGTAAAACTATAAACATGCTATAGAAACGCTCATAATCCTACTATACCTTTGTTCGGGCTTTATATGGAAAAGATTAAATTTTGAAGATAATTGGCTGCTGGCCAGGTGTTATTGGACTTCAACTTTAGTATGAAACAATCAAAGCAGGACCACTGTAAATGCAACTATGCAAGCAAAGCACACTATTTGACATGGAATCGGAACATACATTGTGTGACAGATCAAATTTTGATTCTCAAACTATACAGTTAATGGAAAATACCTTTTCATAGTTGGAGTTTTAACAAGCTATTTTTATTCTTTTGAAAAGTTCAAAATTGATGCGAATGATGAAAAAATGAATTGATAATTTTGACAGCATCAAAAGGTCGTGATTGCTCATTTTTTTAGCTAAAAAACCATACACTTAACAAGAAGAATTATCCCTTGAGAGAACTAGCCTGTAGCAACAGAGTGGTTAGGTAACAAGTTTATGAAACAAGATATAAACGATGAGATGTTGTGATAAAATAGTGCAAATGAAATGATGGTAGTCTTCGAAATGCCAGTTCTCACCAAAGAGTAAATACTTCATAAATTAGAATTGAAGTATGAATGGTCGTAACAATAATATTATCATCTTCGAAACTTTAAAAAATGTTGATATACATGCAAAAAAAACATCACTATTTTAATTAACATATTCATCAAAATTACAGAACGAATCATAACAGTCAGGTTGTGATAGCAAATTTTAAAAAAAAAAATAGTAAAACACTAAAACTTCCATCCTGGTAAAAAAGCTTTGGAATATTAGATCAATTTTGAAACTCCCCGACTCGATATGTCTTGTAATAAATTTTGTCTTGTAATAAAGTTGAATGTTTAGTTACATACGAATTCAATTTTTTTGTATCAAGACATGGAAATGTAACAACCGGATAAGAGTCTTCGATCCCATGAATATGTGATTATTAACTACTGAGATAATATATAAACAGTCCCATAATGAAGTATGCAAAAAAATGACTACTGGTTATATATATATTATATAAGGTATAATTACATTAGTTATTCGTTTTTATTCAATTGCACACCATTGGTGATAATATTTTAATTACACACAGAATTCTCTTTTGAGAGAACAGTACGAAAAAACAGTGCCAAAAAAGGTTAGATAGGCAGTATCAGGTATTCCAGCCAATATATTATATGGAGACGCACACAAGTTCCACAATACAGAAACAATTCAATCTTTTTCAACTGAAAGCCCAGATTGAAAGAGCTACAACAATTTTCTGAATTGATCTATACAATATATTTGACTGTGGTAACTTTTCTTATTATTTTTCAATGATATTTAGGGTAAGAAAATTGTAATGAAACAATGTTAATCTAACAAAGAAGGTGAAACATTCGTACATGGTAAATCCAAAATATTTCAAAATAAATGATGCCTTTTTAAAAATTTAGGTTATCGAAATTGGATGCGCACAAATTTCATAGATTGTAAAAAGATATAACCTACTAAAAAGTCTGATTGAACGACTTCAATACTCATTAGGAATGAAATTGACGATACTTAAAAAAACATCGTTGCTCGCACTGTGAAACTAAAAAACTAGCTAGATGACACTGGAAACAACTGCTTCAGACTGTTTCTCAATTTATTATAGATGTCAAATGCGTATTACTGAGTAAATTATTATTTGAAAATATTTGCTGTGCGTTATTTGATAAAAATCTGCAATTTGTAGCAGAAAGTTAACGAAACTTGCTTAAAGTTAAGGAAGGGGAACAACAACTTCAACATAGTTAACAGGAAAGAATCCCAACGATCCGTTAAGCATTCCTTCAAACCAATTTTCATCTATCTGTGAAGTAAGTATGATTTCGTCACCTTCCTGAAAACCGAGTTCTCCTTCATTTTCAGCTTCAAAATCAAATAATGCTTTACAGCACGGCTGATCAGCTGGATGTAGAAAAATAAAAACATACATTAGCAAAATTAAAGTGTAAACTGTTACTGGCATATTTGTTTAAGTAAGACTTTATCACTATTTCATATGTGGGCTTACGCAAATAGATGGAATATTGATATTAGAATTGCAAGCGGAGTCGCTGATTTACAAAGAGCTACACATAAAATTATTATTGGATTTGTGGTCAGAATAGGACTCGAGGTATTTCAGGGCAATGAGGTCAACAGAATTTCTTTATAAAAGCTGTGATGTATGATTTCGTTAATCAACTTGAACTTGCTCAAATATGTTCTTCAAGTACCAACGGCACCATTTCATTTTGGTTAGATTAAAACTACATTCGTATCAAAAGTTTTCAATCGTTGTGCGACACTGCAGGAATAGCTTAATTTTTGGACTCAATAGCACCACCTGGAGGAAATATTTCAAAGCTACAAAAAATACAATATATGATAGTTAATCACAACCAAATATAAATTTGAATTAGTTACAATGGCGTAACATAACTTTTTGGTTTGTTATATCCATCAAATGCATGCTTGAAAGATGGTGTACAACAATTGATTCAGTTTATAAAAAAACTAATAAATGGAAGGTGGACTCAACATTTGGCACATGGTGGCTACCGATGTGAGTGTCAACAATACGAGTACCATATCGTGAATCACCTGTTTTTTTAATACCAAGGTTATGAGCACTCAATCGAATGCGTAAAGAGTGCTGAAAATTGAATTGCTACTGCAATTTTTTTTAAGAACCCTAGTTTGGGGTGTTTAACTCCACAAGAATGATTATAAAATATAAGAGAGGGTTTCTGGAACACAACTGATCTATGACTGGTATTTGACTATTTGTGCCAACTTGTCAATAAAATGCCTACAGTATTTTTCCTCCTATTTAGTTGATGTGTACACTTGGATAGTTTCGATTCCCATGTCAATTGATACCTACCTTTTGGTTTAGGTTTAGTTGCAGGCGAGGGTGCACTATGCCTCGGACTTGCTTGCGGGGGAGAAACGAGAGTTGATTCACCTTGAGAACTGATTGAACTCCTTGTTTGTAATGTTTTCTTTGTTCTCTCCTGAACATTTTAAAATATACTCATAAAAAAGGGGAAAGAATGAATTCCAGTGATAAATTGTTATTACAGCATTCGTTTTCATTCCAATTTCCTATTTGAAAAAAAAATGCTCGATTATCAAATTATGCTACATCGGTGAGATTTTCACTGGATGTCACTGCTTTGGCACAGCTTAGACATAACTATATCAACTGCCAGCATAAAGCTGTTACCTAGCTTAATTCTTGGCATATAAATCATGAAGAACATAAGAAGCATCTACTGTAAAATATAACTACTAAATCAAAAACATAGTCCTGTAAGAAGCAAGTGCTATGCATAAATAATTAAAATAATATAGATAAGGATAAAGTGGAGATGAGATGGGCATGAATGTCCTAAATCAGGGGTGTGCAAGCTGCAGCCCAAATGCGGCCTACAAGAAAAAATTGTGCGGCCCGTGGAGAATGACTTGCGTCCTATGAAAAGAGCTTTTAATTGAGTTTAATCTGGTATGTGCGAGTGATTCCAATCCCTTTTTGTCATGGGCAGACACCCAGGGGTGTGGAGGGGGCCCTCCTGTATTAAAGGTTGCACACCCTTGTCCTACTAAATGAATCAAATCCATTAAAATTGATATTTAAATTTTACGATTTTAGGGATAATTCAGAATAGTTTTGATTGGAATATTAGAAATTCAAGCAATTGACGTAAAAATCAAATGGGCCTTGCTTTGATTTCTGAACACTGAAATAAGATTAAATGTAGAATTTAATCAATATTCCATATTCGAAATAGCTAATTATAGTATTTAGTGATTGGCAGGGATGGCCAAAACCGAATAGTTCACTATTTCGAATACATTCGAAATTATTTTTTTCGAATATGAAATTTCGAATACTTCGAAAATAAAATCCATTAATTGAAGCTTATCTAAATGTATGTAGGAATTTCCATACAATAAGCAATGGAATAACTGCTATCCACAAGTTACAACCTAGCTATATTACCAGGCATTTCATATTTGCAGATTATTGCAGTATATATTTTATATACCATGGGTCATGTTAACAGAATTAAATTAATACGGCAATAGTGGTATCGATGATGAATTTGAATATTTGCGCAACACAAAATCACCCTAGTAAAACGCCCATACTTTTAAATACCAACCATTATCCAAATTACTTGCCAAAAAGGGGGATAAAGTATGAGTTATTTTTCCGACTTGTGACAATTTTTTCGTGAGTACAAAAATACGAATCAAAAATTAATTATATTCGGGAACTTTACCACACATTTTAAGTCCGAAGATCGCCGTTGTATGTTTGAGTAATATTACTTTTATTATTTTATAAATATTAAAATAGGAATCAAAAACTATTTATAAGCGGGTAGTTTACCACACATTTTAAGTCCACAGATCGCCGTTGTATTTTGTAAATACGAGAATAGGAATCAAAAATTAATATTAATCGCGAGTTTGCTACACAATTTATGTCCACAGATTGCCGTGATATTGTGCCGAATATAATTAGTTTTTGATTCTCATGTTCGTACTCACGAAAAATTGACAAAAGTCGGAAAAAGAATATATATTTTATCCCGCTCTTGGGAACTAATTTGGATAATGGTTGCCATTGGTTTGTATTTAAAAGTATGGACATTTTACTAGGATGATTTTGGATGCCCAAAATATTCGAATCCGTGACCGATACCACTATTTAATAAAATGCCTTACCATGTTAATTTAATTCTATTATCATAACTCAAATGTTGGTAAATCGGGCAGTTGACCACACATTTTAAGGTCACAGATCGCCGTTGCATTTTAGAATTATAATAGTTTAATTATTTTGTAAATACGAATCCGAAAATATAATTGGGCAGTTTACCACGTATTTCATGTCCACAAATACCCGTGGTATTTGGTATTAATACTTTCATTATTTTATCAATATAAAAATAGGAATCAATATTTAATAAAATCGGTCAGTTTACCACACATGTTATGTCCACAGATTGTCGATACAGCCATGAGTTACGTTGAACAGAATTAAATTAATACGACATGACATTTTGAATGCTGGTACCAGTCATGGATTGGATTATTTTGCGCAACAAAAAATCATCCTGGTAAAGGATCGATACTTTTAACTATCGTTATCAGAATTATTTGCCACAAATTATTTTCTAATAAATGACTTGTTTTTCCAACTTGTGACAATTTATTGGATATCGTAACAATGACTGCTATAAATATCGCATTTCCCGGCTAATAAGTCTATTTTTAGCACTCCAAAAAGGGCTTTTTCCATATAGGCCTCCAATAAGACTGGTAGAAAAATTGTGTCCCTGTTGTTCAGTTATACTGATATGCGCTAATAATTTTAAATGTTTAGAACCAGATCATGTTAGTTTGGTAGAATCATACTCACAGAATTAACTATTTTTAAAATTGAGGGGTAAATTCAAGTTGTAAAGCGGCAATCATTTTGGACAACCTATTAACCAGAATGTTGAAATAATTTTGAAATGTGATAAGTAATACACTGTACGTCCACGGGTTATTACACAGCTGTGTTTTCCTGTCGTGTTCTGCTGAATCGGCAAAATGAAAGGGTCACAAATCACTTTATCTCGTGGCCTAGAAAAGCGAATTATAAGCCGGGGAAATACAGTAATTGTCAATTTTTCAACGTAATGGAAATGAATTTGTAAATTAGAAGCCTTGTAGACGAATGTCGGCAATGTCCACCCACGCAAACGTGCAAATGCGTCGCAACACTATGCGACGTACGGTCGCACAGAATATAAACAATCAAAGTGCCGATTCTAATTCATCGTCATTACAATACGCGAGACAGCGTGAAAATCCGTTTGAAGATTCCCGTAAAACGAAACACCACGTTTACGGCGAAAAGTGGCTACTATTCGGAATTATTCGAAAATCAGCCGAAAAGGTATTCGAATACTTTGATATTCGAATACATTCGAATATTCGATTCGTTTTGGACAACCCTGGTGATTGGATTGTTAGTGAAGTAATTACATTGGGTCAGTGTACTAGTATCAAACCACTACAAGTCGTAAGGTATGCTAGAAGTCAAAAAAGTAGAAATTTTAAAATAAAATTGAGGCTTTTACCTTCCTAGGACCACTATTTATTTCATCAATCTTCCTCTGTAAATTTTCTTGAAGTGATTCTAATATATCGGCTGATTGTCGATGAAATTCGAGTTGTGATTCTACCAGTGTAGCAAGTTGACTGACTTGTTCCACCTGAAGCAAACATATCAATTCGTTCAAACAGCCTTTCCGAGGGCACATAATTAGTAATTAATGTACGAGTATGGTAAAGGAGAAAGATAAACATATAACGAAAGTGGTGTTTTCTAACTCATATGCTATATCAGTAACACTTATTATTTCACCAACAGGATTTATACAAAACAACATGATCAAGCATGTAATATTTTAATATAATTTCTTCCATCAGATACGGGGTGAAAGTTTTTCAAAACACATGAACATTTCACAAATGCCCTAAAAACTTTTATTAACTACATCGTATGTACTCAAAATAAAGCAAATCGGAATTCATAGTCGCATTTTCAATGTTTACAACCTATAGCCACACACATTTATATAATCTATTACAGGAGTGGGCAAAATTTTTTAGTACAAGAGCCGCATGAAGCAAGTCAGAAATATGTGAGAGCCGCATAATTTATGAAATTATTAATATTAGAGTTAATTAAATCATTTTGCATTGCAACTGTTACATTGGTACTAATTCTCGCGGATGCGTCTTTGTGTAGTGCGGCAGGAAACCAGCGTTTGGTTATTAGTCGCTTCTTATTGTTGGAATTCAAGACTGCGGCAGCATCAGCAACAAAATCACAGTCAGTGTATAGCACGAGAAATATTCCATGATATAACTAAACTAGCTTCAGCTACCGCTTAATAAATTTCAAAAAACTGTTACACTACAGTTTCTCTTAGTTTGGATATAATCAATGCTAGCGAGAAGAGCCGCACTAAATCTTTAGCAAGCCGCATGCGGCTCGCGAGCTGCGGTTTGCCCACCATTGATCTATGCAAACAACCCTAATCAAACAAAATGATCTTCAATATAGCCTACATAACATCAATATTCATTTGATCCTAATTCAAACAAGAACAAATATCGCAAATTAGATGAATCAAACCTACATTCTATATTTGAGTCTATTTTATGATTCAAATCATTGAGACTACAGTCAAAAAAAGCTAGAAGATTGCAGCATTCATTCGAAAACCAGTTTTTCTATTGTAAAACAAAAACAAGCATAATCTATAGTACAATTTATCGATCTGCAATAGTTCAATTTTTTTCAAATTCGCATTCATTATTTACTTGATTTAGAATAGTCTATTCTTGTAGTAAAATTACAACAAAAGCTAATTTTACTTCAAAAACAACAAATTTTATTTCAAAATATATGTTCCTTCCAAATATATATTTTTTCAATCTACGAAACAACCTTATTTTTCAAACATCCTCTATTTTGAAATGCACTAGGATGTTGCTGAATCAATTTATGGTACTCCTGAAGTATGCGCATCAAGATCTCGCACAACCTGAACCCGAACCTGGTACACAAACTGAGTTCAGGTTGTGCGCCATCTTGGTGGGCATACTTCAGAGGGTCCTAATTAGGCTTCCCGCTGCTTGTCAGCAGGGAACCTATTGTATTCCTGTGTTTTATTAGGCTTCCCGCTGCTTGTCAGCAGGGAACCTATTGTATTCCTGTGTTTTATTATTATTATTTATTTATTATTATTATTTATTTTTATTATTTTTTTTTCAAATTGGTCCTACAAACTTGAAATTCACCTCAAATGTGCAGAAGTTCTCAACTAACAATAAAATGCAAATTTTATGCATGACTGACCACGCTTTCACGCTCCAGTGAGCAAAACGCGTTTTCAGTTTTTTTGCGATTTCTCAAAATTGATACATGGTATTGGGTTGCAATTCATAACAATGATTAATGGACATGTTCCGGATACGATATGTCAAGGATACGCATGAGTGACCTCGGCGATACGCTCCAGTGAGCAATATAGGATTTTACATTTTCATCTTCTTTTCCAGAACGACACTACTTAGAAACTTGAAATTTACATCACACGCAGATAATAAGTCCCCCATCATAAATTGCAAATTTTATGCATGACTGACCAAGCTTTCACGCTCCAATGAACAAAACGCGTTTTCAGTTTTTTTGCGATTTCTCAAAATTGATACATGCTATTGGGTTGAAATTCATAACAATGATTAATGGACATGTTCCGGATACGACATATCAAGGATACGCATGAGTGACCTCGGCGATACGCTCCAGTGAGCAATAAAGGATTTTACATTTTCATCTTCTCCTCGAGAACGACACTACTTAGAGACTTGAAATTTACATCACATGCAGATAATGAATCCCCCATCATAAACTGCAAATTTTATGCATGACTGACCACGCTTTCACGCTCCAGTGAGCAAAACGCGTCTTCAGCTTTTTTTACGCGGGAAGCCTGTTAAAGCTGCACGCAGCTCTAGTTATTATTATTATTATTTATTTATTATTATTTATTTATTATTATTTATTTTTATTATTTTTTTTTCAAATTGGTCCTACAGACTTGAAATTCACCTCAAATGTGCAGAAGTTCTCAGCTAGCAATAAAATGCAAATTTTATGCATGACTGACCACGCTTTCATGCTCCAGTGAGCAAAACGCGTCTTCGGTTTTTTTGCGATTTCTCAAAATTGATACATGCTATTGGGTTGAAATTCATAACAATGATTAATGGACATGTTCCGGATACGATATGTCAAGGATACGCATGAGTGACCTCGGCGATACGCTCCAGTGAGCAATATAGGATTTTACATTTTCATCTTCTTCTCGAGAACGACACCACTCAGAGACTTGAAATTTACATCACATGCAGATAATAAGTCCCCCATCATAAATTGCAAATTTTATGCATGACTGACCACGCTTTCACGCTCCAGTGAGCAAAACGCGTCTCCAGTCTTTTTGCAATTTCTCAATATTGATACATGCTATTGGGTTGAAATTCATAACAATGATTAATGGACATGTTCCGGATACGATATGTCAAGGATACGCATGAGTGACCTCGCCGATACGCTCCAGTGAGCAATATAGGATTTTACATTTTCATCTTCTACTCGAGAACGACACTACTTAGAGACTTGAAATTTACATCACATGCAGACAATAAGTCCCCCATCTTAATTTGTAAATTTTATGCATGACTGACCGCGCTTTCACACTTCAGTGAGCAAAACGCGTCTTCAGTTTTTTTGCGATTTCTCAAAATTGATACATGCTATTGGGTTGAAATTCATAACAATGATTAATGGACATGTTCCGGATACGATATGTCAAGGATACGCATGAGTGACCCCGGCAATACGCTCCAGTGAGCAATATAGGATTTTACACTTTCATCTTCTTCTCGAGAACGACACTACATAGAGACTTGAAATGTACATCACATGCAGATAATAAGTCCCTCATCATAAATTGCAAATTTTATGCATGACTGACCACGCTTTCACGCTCCAGTGAGCAAAACTTGTCTTCAGTTTTTTTTACGCGGGAAGCCTGTTAAAGCTGCACGCAGCTCTAGTTTATTATGTATTTGTGAGTTGGTGAATACATGAATCACAATCCAGGAAATTCAAAACAGTACAATTTTCATAAAATGTCCTAGCAATATGCAGTGTGTTCATAAAGTCTTGCATTAAATCATGTAAGAGAACTTTGGATTTGTTTTTGCAACTGGCGGTGGATATATAATAATGGTGCACTTAATGAAGCCTATGCATCTGAAAACAAAAATAACTGGCTCACTAATCCCATACCCGAAATGAACTGGTAACTGGACGAGAGGCCATAGTTTACCATATGATTGAACTGTCTCATCGGTTTTCCTCTCCCCCAGGATAAATATGTAAATCCAACCATATCCCAGGTTAAGAAATTTAGATGAAGACTGATTTGAATGAAACAAACCAGGTTAAGTTATATTGAGAACTGGCTTCATACCAATTTCAAAATTGTAACAGGACTATATGAAAACCCTGCAATCAATAATAAAAATACACTTACATCACCAGACAGCAAATTGAACATACTGCTGTCGGCAAGATCTAACGATTCTTGCAGTTTCTCTTCAGCTTGTCTTAATTCATCTGGTGGAACTTTACCTCCTAAATCACACAATTGTTAGAAATCCAAAACCAATCAAAAACAGAAAAGTCACTAAGGCAAGGAGTAAGTCAAAGCATTAAAGTGTAATCAAGAAATCCTAACAAATCATAAGAAAAACTATATTAATTTTCACTAAGAAAACCATTTTTTTCTACTCCTATCCACATCTACCTCATTATTTAGCAATTCAAACATAGACTTATCAGCCAGATCATAAGATTCTGCTAATTTCTCTTCAGCAAGGTAGAGTTGATTTCTTGAAGTTTTTTCACCTTTTTGATATAATAATTTAATAACTAACATCAGTATTCAAATTACTTGATAAGATTTTAAACTATGAAAAATATTCAAGTTCAATGCATGACTAAAATCACAGTATACAATATGAGTGAGTAACAGTCACTAGCATCCTGCCTGGCAAAGTCGAAAATGAATTTGAATGAAGTTATAAAATGAATTTGATATTGCAAGTGTTTCGGTATAGTAGAACACAATAGATTATTAGATGATGTATTAATTGCAGTTTCGCTTTGAGAATTGAAGGAAATAGCGTGAGTCTAGGTTCCAAGATCAAATCCGATAAGATACAATCTTTATGAATTCATACAAAATCGAACAGTATTATACTTCAACCAAACTGACCCATATTTTACACATCATAGTTAATGGTAATTTGAACAGCGATGGTTGGTTTTGACATATATCAGTGGTGTAAATTTTTTGGGAAATTCCAATCATTTCATCAAATAAAAGCCAGAGCAAAACTTACCCTTTTTCCTCTTGTAATCATAGTCAAGGCGTCTTCCAGATAATTTTTTTCGATGATGCTAATAAAAAAAAACAGAAAATAAAGCCTGAAATAAATATCAAAGTAAATACCATAGCATACACTGGCATTTTTTCTGTCCTATCCTCACAAGATTCCAACTGAATAGTAAAGAAAATGCTGTCAAAGTAACATGCTGCTTGTTGACACCAAAGTGAAGCTAAGTTTTTATTGAGATCTGGAGCATATTATGAAATGTTTAAATAACCAAAGAAGAGGTATTTCAATTGGGAAAGTACAATGTACGCTTGTGAAATTAAACTCCTGGTAATATTTGCTACTTGAGTTTTATTAGGTCCAGTGGAAAAAACTATGTAAAATGATAGTCCAGTGCCATTTAAACTTGAGGAAATGGTGAAAAATTATCTTGAATAATGCAATATACAACAAAGAGCATTGAATAGAAGTTTATAGGAATATCTTGATAAACAAAATTGTATGGACAACAATCCTTTCTCATAAACACTTGAGTCATGACATGGAAGCTCCCCCATGAGTTGATTTTAGCAAAAATTTTGTTATGATGATAAAACAAATCAGATTCCTATATATAAGTTTTCGCAATTGCAATTTCAGTAAGTGTCCAAATAAGTTGCCTAATATAATGTGTTAATAAAGTTTGACTTCCATACTACACTTCATTATTATTAAAATCAATAGTCATTCACTAGAAATCTTATTGATTCATGTAGCGAGCGAAACCAATGTACGTAACTTATTCTCTTGTCGTTGATGACGTGAAAGTACATGACTTGACATGAGTTAAACAAACTAATCTTTAGGTTGCATTTACATATCAAAGTACATCAGTCAAAGGTTATTTATGAAAAAAACTCTTTGACTGGACAAGTTAGAAAAACTACCGTATATAACATGGAGTACCGGTATTAACAAACTGTTTTTAATGCTGGTACTATGTATTGATATCTGATGTATCAGTAAATAAACAATGGATTTGCGATGCATATGAATTTTATATAGTGATGTTAAACGATATACATCTGATATTGTCACAATAAGTAGCCTAACATGTCAATTTAAATATTCAGAATGAGCATCATTTAAATAGAAATGTCTATAACTTTTTGACAATATATACATTGAGGACAATAAACAAGTTTATTTTAATAACAAGTTGTTCAGACAAAACTATACAAATTTTATGTTAATAAAAGTTTCAATGTGGTATTTACATATTTTATACATTTTATTCCATTCACAGGACATCACGGAATATAGGGCAAACATTTAAAGAGTGTTCATTTAATGTTTAGAATCAAAAATTTGAAAAGATTAAATAAGATAGAAAAATAAATTCATAACATGTATAAAATCCTGACTTCAGTAATTCCCAAGATCAGTAATTGCTTAGATCAGTCATTCCCAATTGATTTGTCAGAAAGTTGCAAACCAACGTGAATAAAACCACAGTTATGTACTACTGGTGGTCTCTAGTCTCTACTAGAAACAATGACGTAAAATGTGCTCTATCAAGAATTTTTTCTCATATGGATAAGCTAATCAAAAATAAACAGTCCTATAATATTATACTTACCATGACTTCTTTAATATCTTTATCATAAAGTTGTTGTAAAGGATCAATAAAATTTTGTTTTACATTGATATCAAGTGAATCTTTAATCTCAGACATTTGTGTTAAAGCTTCCCCAACTTCGACCAAAGCTGATCCTGTGAAGAAAATTCCAAGTTTATCAAAATATTCAAACTCAAACAAAATCAATCTTAAAATTTGAGGTTTCATTTTTAGTACTAAACTCGGGAAAGGGTTTGGGAAATTTATAATTTTCACATAAAATTACTTGAAATCAAACAAATCGCAATGAACCCAAAGTAGAGCAAGCTTCAAAATATACTAAATCTTCTCCACAGGTTGTCAAACTTCCCATAAATTGGGAATATCATATTACACCTGTTAGTTCACCCACATATTGTTTTGTTTGTTTCCCAAGACAAAGATACCATTGAATAAAGGAAGTCACATGACTTCATAAAGTAACACATACTAAATGAATCATCCTAACGCATAAACAGATAATTATAAACCATAAGCTATTTCAATGATGACATCACAAGCAGCAACTGAGAATGCAGGTTGATACTCAGTACATGAAACAATATTTGATTTTGGAATGTTTCACATACTTGTATATAGTTATCCATTCCAAAGCATTGAAATTTGAACGACTAATACAACAACTTTGTATTGTTTCAAAAAATGTGAATAAATAATATTTACTTCTAGTGCTTTTCAATAATGAGTTTACTTATGTTTAAGAGATGATTATGATTAAGAGATTATGAATCACCGCAAGCATATATATAATATAAACTTATAAATATTTCTACGTAAAACAAAAACAGTCAACAATGACAAAAAACCAATTCGTAGCACTTTAAAACCAAGACAATGATATCTAATTAAACAAAAGATGGGATAATCAATCTTATTTATAATGTAACTTATTAATTCAATCAATATTCTAATAAATTGATGAAAACATTGTGCTTTCACATATTAGCCTCAATCAAATGTTCTGAACATACATACATACAGAGATGGCCACAACCGAATAATTTAGTATTTTGAATACATTCAGATTTCTGATTCAACAATATTTTTGAATATGAAATATCTTCTGATCGTTTCATAATCCACAGAATTTGCACTATTACTATGAATTCATAGTAGTTGGATTTTGGGATAGTAGATTAGTTGAGGTAAATATCGGATTGATTGATTTTCCGTATTCAAATATTCAGAAGTAGCAATCATATTTTATCTGACCATCAGATGTAATATGCCTAACATAACAAATTTTCGTGCCAATTTGCTATGCGATCTTAGTGACTTTAGTATTAACTTAACTCTAACCCAACGATGACAGGGTTAGAAACTGAATTCTATGAGACTGTCTTTATGAGATTAAACGCATACCAAGGAGGCACCAAATTTCTATATGAAAACCTTTTATATATTCCTAAAATCAATAATTCACTAAATTCAATATAACATATTATTCGTTTTATGATCTGTATGTTGTAGAAACATTCACACCAGTGAGAGGTATGAACACTTCCAAACTTAAAAAGGGAAACTGATGTAATTGTGATTCATACATGTCAAATCTTGAAGAGGTTGCTATATGCTAATATCGGATTGACAATATTAAATTGGTAGGCCAAGTGTCACACATCACACTTATTACATTCAGTACATTACATTTGATGTTACATCGTTGTGTTCCTCCGTATGGATAAATCAACAAATACAATAAAACAAAGGATAATTATGAATTAGTTAGACCCACGTTACTCTTACCAAAGTGAGAATCAGTTCCTAATTCACCGCCATGTTTTTGCATACATTCGCCCAGTGTACCTTCTGGTTGGGGATATTTGATGTCTCTTTGCTTTCCCTGTAAAACATATTGCAAAGTTTGAAATCTTTTCATCTCTACTTTCCATGAAACAAATATTGTGATCATCATTTTCAGGAAACATACATTTCAGTCAAGTGCTGCAATATAATAAATTGGGCAAAGAGGTAGTATAGTATTATAATGAACACTGAACTAAATCATAGTTGGACATATTCTATGACCAATACTAACCAATATAATATGCCAGAACCCAACAGAACTTATGAATTAATAGGTAATAAAATACATCAGATGGTCACTACAGGCATCTGCTTGCAGTAAAACTAATGATGCACAAAGCAATAAAAATATGTGAAGAAACTCCCGAGGGACCACATGGAAACACATTATTATCATTCAGATTGCTAACCTGACATCCAAGTATCCCCTGAAATGAAGTAAACAATATGAAGCCTATGATGGGAATTATATCCCAGAAATACTAAAAAAATAGCAATGAAAAACCGCCATGTTCACTGATATGATGTCACAATATTACAAAATTTGAAATTGATGAGGTAAAATGTGTTTTATTCGTTTAACCCAATCCATATAAATAGTCGGGCATTGGCCATAAATGAATTGTACTCAAACAGAATATGACATTGGAAAAATTTACCTGTAACTTTGATGCTGTATTCATCATGCTCAATTTAGCCCTTGATCCAGGGTTGGGTTGTAAATATTCTTTAGTAAACAGCATCACATCTTGTATGGCTTTGCTTGTTATGTCAACTTTCTGAGCAAGGAAATGGAATATTTCATAGGTAAGCCCATGTGACTGGTGCCACAGTCATTACATTGCACAATAAAAACAGTCAGTAATTTGATGACTTCCTTTTGTCGATGAAACAGAAGAAATATCAGGAACGAACTACGAGAGTAGAACCAATTGACCAAACCAATAGATTGTTTCATCAAGTTCTCGTAGAGAATGAGGCATTATTATCATTTTATCACAACTTACGTTACAAGGGTTAGCCTTCAATCGTGAAAGCTGCAAACTCTTAACAATCATACTTAATAGTTAAGGATAACTTGGAAGGTAGCAAGGAAAATTAACATAAAAAAATTTGGTACCCTCTCCATTTCCACAAATTCTCTATCCATTGTAGTTTTGTCATTCTCATTTCCAATCTTCTCTGACATGTACTGTAAAAAATCCAGGAGTTAATTTTAACAACAATAGATTTTTAATAAAATTGCTCGTATATGCATCAGAACTTTGTAAATCTTAGTCATACAATGTATGAATGAAAAAATAAAATCATCAATCGTAAATTACACGACAAATAAATCATTAAAGAACTCAAAATTATTAATGAAAACCAGATTGAAAAAATTATTTGAAACAAGAATTTTTTTTATGATGACAGACAATAAGAGCTCACTCTTACTAGTAAGGTCATTGTACATTTATATCATCAAGTAGAACTGACATAATTTAAAAAAACAGCAACATAGAGACATAACATTTCTTAAGGATATTAGCGTATATTTATTGGTACAAGATAATGGAATTGTTATATGCATCTCTATTTATGATATGGGCACACAATGCACAAAACGAAAGAAAGAATTGACATGAATTGAAGATCAAAATAATGTAACCATTATTATAAAGTGAAGCAAGAAAAAAATAAAATAAAAGAACAAATTACTCATGACTGTAATTGAAAAAAAAGAACTAATGTATAACCGAAAAAGAGGAAAATCTTAAAAACAGCATGACTTTCAAAGTACATAATAAACAATAGTATGCTCCTAAAACAAGTCTGAATCATATATACATTGTTTCTTACACATTTAGTTATTTAAATTTAGGAAAACTGAAAATAAAAAAAAAACTGATCAAAGGTCAACCACTTCCACGCCTATGCAAATTATACTATATAGTGAGTGCTATTTGGTAATGCATGTATAATTTTGCAGCATCAAATGTAATAACCATTGCACCATCGGCATCCAGAATTACAAAATATTAAGTTTTACTGACCTGACTCGCTTTGTGAAATTGTTTAATCATGCTTTTGAGAACCTTGTTAAGCCACTATGAAGAAAAACCAGGAGAGACAAGATAGGAAATATCCGAGTGAAAACCACAAATTAACTGTTGATATGAAACAAAAATTCTAATACACTGACACACAATGTGCCGTTATAATTCTAAATACCTAGTTCCCTGCGAAGAGAGAGATTGAGCTATTATTGATAATTATGTGACAAAAAGTCAGTGTGTATGTGACTTACCAAGTTGAACCTAGGTGAAAGTTCAATCATAGTCTTCTGTGATTTTGACAACATACCTTTAATAAAGACAAACCAATCAATGATTCACGGTACTATGATGTCACAGATTGTTTATAGCAGTGGTTCCCAAAATGGAATTAGACATAGAGAGAGAAATATCGAGTATAACACCTCGCTTTAAGAAGATGTGTTCAGAGAAGCTGCACACCTGTCATTAGGCTATATAAATAAGTGTAAATGTCATGATGTCATGTTGGTTTGTTGACATTGCCTTTATTCTTAAGGCCTACATGTTTACAAACTTTAAAACTCATAAAATACACATTAACAATCCCAAAATTGAGTTTTATTTTAAAACAGCAATTTGTTTTGCATGGAAGTACTTCGTAGTTTTTTTCTTGAGAATTTGGTGCCGCATGAACAAAAAGTTTGGGAATTGCTGCTTTATACTATAGTATTGACATAGCCTAAGGTTATTGAATGTAAAACCTAGGATAAAGAGGCACTACTGGTTACATTTTGTGTTTTGCCTAAATGGGACATACCCATGCAAGGCTAATATCAGTGGTTTCAACCATTCAAACACTGTAGGAGTGGACACTTCTGATGGATTGCTTGAAAGTGGACACCCTTTAGATCAGTGGTTTCCAGACCGCCAAACTAAGTGAAATAGTTCAATACTTTGTTTCTATTTTTTATGGTCAATCAACTTTGGAAACCACTGCTTTAGATAAGAGTAGTGAATGTTGTTATACAGTTATATACAAAGAGCACTAAGTATAAATTAACTACAGAAATGCTTTTGTTGGGACTACACACCAGCACACAGAAACTGCGTTGAAGGAAGAGTATATTGAGTTTGTCTCATAAGAGGCTTATGACAGTATGAGTTTGAAAATCCTACGATAACTCGAATAATTCATTGAAATATAACTGTCCATTCATGCTGTTATATTTACAATGTGTTGGAATGAACTAATTCTATTAATTTCAAAACTGCAGCTACAGACAGACAGATGACAATCACTGAAGCATGAGTGATGTGTCATCTGCAAATACCTTATAAACATTTATATGACTTATGCAATATTCACAGCCTATAATTTCCTGTTAATATTATTCAAAAATAGATAAATAGAACTATGAGGAAAGTAAACAGCATTAACTCACGCCTTTTGTTTAAATTTATTTCAGTTAAACATGCCTATCTATTCACATTTATTATACAATAATTTTATATAAAGAATTAATTAATTTATCTATTTTCAAATTTTTTATAATAAATAAATTGAGTAGATCTCTGTCTACCATATCAGAAGATTTTTGTCAATCTACTAAAAAATAAGGAACGGTAAAATTTTATTTATTTGCCTAATACAGTAATATATATTGTGTTCCAGGCAGTCCTGCAGTAACTAAGTCAGGGCAAGTTAGTGATAGCTTCTATATAACAAACGTAAACTTCAGAAATTGTTCTCAATTTCTTCCAAATTCAGGAATACTTTTTTTGGTAATGCATTTAACTGTCTAAACTAGGTGTTTCATTTTAATAAAGTTATGCCACAGGCACACAGCATAGGCTAGTCAAGTTCATCAGCCAATACTGCAATATTTCACTGTCCAAATAATTACAGAATTACAAAGTCTAATTATTCTAGTTAGTCTACTTGTTTAATATAATTTTCAATCAACATTTTCTGTACATTAATATCCAATTCCATAAGGGTCTTACTACTTACTGAATACAGCGCGAAACACCGCAAAGAGCGCGAAACAGCGCAAAATAGCGCGTAACAGCGCAAAACAGAAGGAAACCAGCGCAAAACAGAGGGAAACAGCGCAAAACAGGAGACGCAGTCATTACCACCTCCTGCCACGAAAGAACCACGGCGCCTCTCGCCATGGTTTCATGGCGCTATTTCCGGTATATTTACAAGGTTATGTACCGGATTATAGGTCATCATGCGAAATTTTATCTACCTTTTTGGTGCTCCAGAAGTATGTGCAGCAATATGTCGCACAACCTGAATGCGCTACACACACACATACTATTTTCAGGTTGTGCGCCATCTTGGTGCACATACTTCTGGAGGTCCCTTTTTACCTAACCCTAACCCTAAAGCCAACCATATCCACACGGAAATTGTTCTAAATTATGGTACCCAAAATGTGTCACCAGCGGGGGCAGACCTGCCATTACAGCATTACTGGCTACATACGTTGGTTTGTGTTTTTAATTTGCTGCCGTGGTAATCGAACTCAAAACAAGGTGCCCCGAACTCATTGCAAAAATTTTTTCTGCTTCACACTGTTTCCCTCTGTTTTGCGCTCTTTCGCGCTGTTTTGCGCTGTTTCCCCACTATTTTGCGCTGTTTCCCTCTGTTTCGCGCTCTTTTGCGGTGTTTCGCGCTCTTTGCGGTGTTTCGCGCTGTATTCAGTAAGTAGTAAGACCGGATTTAAAGCATCTAACCGCAGGTAAAAAGGATTTGATATGTTCTGGGTTACCATAGGTAAGAAAATTCAAGGCAAATGATTTTAGTAAACATTTTAAGAATAAACTTCTGTTACTGTGACATTGTTCAATTCAAGTACTATGGTTGTATTTGTAACATCGTTCTGCAATTTTGAAGACTGATATTGGTATATTGCTGACATTTCGAATTTTCTCACAAATCAATAGCTAATTTAGATTCAATTATATGTTCTTGAATAGTATAGGAGTATTAAGGGAGTGACTCTAGCCAGACTTCTTGCCACTGCCCAAAGATACAACTAACCACAGTGACTGTAATAACCTGACAGTATGATAATACTGTAGCAACACAGGCCATGCATATTTTATTGATGTGACAACAAACATCACATTCTAGATATTTGACAATCTGACACAAGTCATTGGATGTTAGTTACATTCAGGCCAGTTCTTCGAACAACTTCACACATTTATAGAAAATACCTATGATATCACATATAGTTATTCTTGTATTCCCAGCTAAATCCAACTGACTATAAATTGCTAAAAAATGGGACAGACGTTTTCAATATTCAGATATTAAAAGTAGAAAAGGTCTCAATGTACCAGACACTGTTTACTGAAATATTAAATGAGAGACTTTATACAATTTAACTAATGCAGTGCTGACAGCGAAATAGATCAGAAAAAATCAGATCTAGTCAACATTCTGACATTAGTCTGATTTGATATTGATCTAACCCAGGGTGGTCCAAACCTTGGCCCGCTGTATCAATATCTGTGGTCCGTGTCACATTTGCTGATATAGGTTGTCAGATTACAATTGGTAATCACCAAAAAATAGCAATTTAATATTTGGTGCTCCAGAAGTATGTGCAGCAATATGTCGCACAACCTGAATGCGCTACACACACACACATACTATTTTCAGGTTGTGCGCCATCTTGGTGCACATACTTCTGGAGGTCCCTTTTTACCTAACCCTAACCCTAAAGCCAACCATATCCACACGGAAATTGTTCTAAATTATGGTACCCAAAATGTGTCACCAGCGGGGGCAGACCTGCCATTACAGCATTACTGGCTACATACGTTGGTTTGTGTTTTTAATTTGCTGCCGTGGTAATCGAACTCAAAACAAGGTGCCCCGAACTCATTGCAAAAATTTTTTCTGCTTCACACTGTTTTGCGCTCTTTCGCGCTGTTTTGCGCTGTTTCCCCACTATTTTGCGCTGTTTCCCTCTGTTTCGCGCTATTTTGCGCTCTTTTGCGGTGTTTCGCGCTCTTTGCGGTGTTTCGCGCTGTATTCAGTAAGTAGTAAGACCGCTGCCGGTATTGGTCTAGCAACAGTATCAACCTGAACTGTATAACATTATGGTCTGTTTTTCTTCACTTCTCAACACGTTAATCATGTGATCATTTTCCCCTTACCACATAGGCCTATGTTCTCTAAATTCAAAAAATATTTGAAAGATTCAGACTCCCCGAAATGGCCCTAAAACAGTAAATTTAAAAATTCGCATATTCTTATAGGCTGACGGACAACTCGACTACACGGACAACTCACCAGAGACAACTCGACTACCTAGAGGCCTGGTGAGTTGTCCGTCTTTTGGCATTTTCTACGGTGGTGTTTTAGGTCTATAGAAATGCGTTTTTGATATTTTTAGTGCTCAAATGTTGAGAAAAATTCATAAATATGCTCTAGAAAGCATTTTTATTTGTATAAGTGGCTTATTTTGATCATGTTGTATGATACAAATACAGTCTACAGACGAAATTGGAGTAACGTTAGCGAAGTTAGACTGTTGACTTATAGGACTGTGTTCGTTTAATTTTTTGAACGTTGTCCAGCCTATAAGGGCTGACGGACAACTCGACTACCTAGAGGCCTGGTGAGTTGTCCGTCTTTTGGCATTTTCTACGGCGGTGTTTTAGGTCTATAGAAATGCGTTTTTGATATTTTTAGTGCTCAAATGTTGAGAAAAATATATAAACATGCTCTAGAAAGCATTTTTATTTGTATAAGTGGCTTATTTTGATCATGTTGTATGAATACAAATACAGTCTACAGACGAAATTGGAGTAACGTTAGCGAAGTTAGACTGTTGACTTATAGGACTGTGTTCGTTTAATTTTTTGAACTTTATTAGTTTTAAATGGGCACCTTTAAATATATTAAAACCTATATACTTCACAGTAACACTTAAATATTTATGAATGTGAGCTCAGTAGTCTATGGTTGCAGTAGTCTAAACTCGCCTACGGCAGTCGCCCGACAGGCCGTCAACTCACCAGTCGAGCAAACGCTCTGCGACGTGACGTCATCGATGCTCGAGGTGAAGACAACTCGACTACCGAGCAACGAGAGGCAGACAACTCACCAGTCGAGCAATCGCTCTGCAATATCGATGCTCGAGGAGAAGACATTGCTTTGCAAAACGCAGACTCAAGAGTTGCATAGCATTTACTTAGTGCCGACTGATATTAGTTGTAAGCCAACTCACCACCTGAGTAGTCTACCAGCCGACGGCTAGGTTCCATCTGCTGAGATACAACAATGGACCTTTCCCCGACCTTTGACCCCAGAAAAATTCTTCCTATACTTTACCATTGCAAAATTTTTGGGGATATTTTAAGAGTGCTTTTGCGAGTTGGCGCCTGTAAAATGGGGTATGTGTTTCAAACGATCATTATGATTCACCGCATACAGCAATCTGATTTTTAAAAGTACCGGTAAAGAATTTTAGCCTAGTCTATCACAGCTCTTTCTACACTAATTTTTTATTACTTCAAGTAAATTAAAACTCCTAGGAAGACAGAGTGATCATTGAATTATCTGATTTATATTTAAGTTTCCGGAACACGACTGAAAACGAACGAATAGAGTTTAAAAAACGAGGTAATGTTTACGACCACGCTTGAAAATATGTCACGAAGTAAACAAGGAAGTCGATGCTCGGGGAAAGGTCCATCGGGCTGGAGTCATGGGCCTGGTAGCAGTCCAGGCACTTCCACTCAAACGCTACGTCCTGTTTTTTTTAAATAGCCTGTACTGTTCCCTTGTCATTGCCACATCTGAATTATTAAAACATTTGCAATGAAACCAATTTCGACAGACGTCACAGATGAGTCCCTCCTGCTTCATGGAAACGTTGTCGTCACATCTCTTGCACATATTTGGAGTAGTCATCTTGAATTTTTGCGTAGTTTTTGTGGAGTTAATATACCGTTAGTCGTCCTCGTTTCAGTATAAAACTGTGATGAAAACGACCTCGGCTAATGAGTATTTACGTTTGTAAGGTCTCAGACCGGCGATAATGAGGCTTTAAACTCGGCGATAACCGAGCAGTAATGTCGGCGCGCGGCTTCATTATCACCAATCTGGCACCTTATCTATCTCCGCTCATGGATATTACTTCACTCAGGCCATCATGAAGAATGTGCGCCACAATAATTTGGCTCGCCTATACAACAAGTGAGTGGTTAACCATATTTATGTCTTTGTACATCTTTCACTTCTTTTGTATTAACATGTTTTTATTTTGTTTTAGGGACGCTGGTACAAGAGACCTGATCAAGCATGTCATGGCGCTGTGCTATATACCAGCTATGTTTATGACGTCCAGACTCAAATGAATGAAAGGAAAGATGCAAACTCAAGAACTTCGCCGAATATTTTCAAAACACATGGCTACACAACATGCAGTGTCTGGACTCCCAATGATTGGTCAGTATTCGACGTAGAAATAAGAACTGTGGCGTACCAAAATTGATATCACCACTCAGGTTCTTTCTGCCAGCTTATCGGACACTGAAGTTGCAATAGATGTCGTTCACAAAATAATCTTCTTGCGGTTCCAATTACAGCAGAGTAACTAAGTTAACTAACTTAATACAACCAAATACTCCAATAAGAAATACAATAAACAAATAAAAACACAGTACAAATACCGTAGGATACATACGTAACACAAGATACGGAATTGGTCTATGACGTCACAGTCATGAACTATTTACTTATAATGGGATACTAAAAACCGGGTAAAACATACCTAGATATACATAAGAAAAACTAGTATGACACTAAAGATACAACACAAATCCTATCTTATCGACAAACACGTAATATACATGGAAATACGCATAGAAATCACACAGGAAATAAACTGCGAAAATAGACTAGTTACGGAAGTGTTGAATACAAGCTAACTAGTGAACAGACCTATGCCAAACTGGAGAAATAGTAAACCTGTACTACTAATATCATTTCACAACATGAATTACACAGATTAACGGCACGAAAACACTATAATAATAACCCAAAACACAGAGGAAATTCCACACTGCCGGCAGTCTGACAAACCAGCTAAAAGAGAAAGTTACACAGCTGTTCACTAGTGACTCAAGTGGTAAGAATAAATATGGGCATACAGAATAAAACAGAGTTATAGACGTGGTCGTCTCATTACTCCCCCCTTTTTCAGATGGGAAATTACAACGAAATTTTCCATCTTCAAAATTGAAAAACCATAAAAATGTGAAGAAACTGCAAAGAACTGTACACTCAAATGAAATGTATATCTAAAATCAAAACAATCAATTGTTAAAAGCACTATCACAGTCAAATCAAATGTAATCATCCAAATATCTAGGCCTTCGCCTAGTACGAATTGCGTTGAAAATAAATAAATTTTTGATCTTAAAAAAAAAACAGTATTTAACTGTAACGTCAGCCCTATCTGCCCATCGTTCCGCAGTAGGTACGGGCAAGGGCCGGCAACCAACTTACCCAATGTTAAAAGGTTCATGGACGCCATATTGGGAAAACGCGAAACAATGGAGTCTTATGGGAAATTTTTGTCGTGTTGTTGTATCGAATCCAATGAGTCAGCCGTTTGTTTTAAGGGCTAGAATAAAGCCGAAGGGTGGATTTTGAACTTTAAGCTATATGATACCTAAATATATAACGCAATTCAAAATAAAAAACTATCTAATGCGTTAAATTTGGCCACAAACACAACGTAGAACCATTTTTGGTCATCTTTTTGGAAACTTTTATAGTGATACGCCGATTTGACGGAGCATAATGCCACCGCAACAATCCTACAACGTCATTTGGTCTTCTAGCGCAGCTCGGAGCTGAGCAGGCGGGCATTATGGAGCTTGACAGGCGAGAAAATGTTGACCCGAAAATAGAAACGGCCATTGAAGCGAATTTGAGTCCCGAGGTAATTTCGACGAATAACTACAACTGTCCATCTGTGACATCACAAAGAACGCCATTGTCAAATGGTCAATTATGACGATGAGAATGGTCAACTTACTTCAGAAGCAACTCGAAACCGGCATACTTGTATTTAAAGACAATTTAATGTACTATAAATGCAATTTGGCAAACATGAAAGTATATCACCATGTTCGCCTAAGCTTCTACTTCAAAACGCGACCTTCAAAATCTTTCTATCTAAAATATTAATGAAAATAATAGATATGTTTCAATAATTGTGTGAAAACTTCCCATAAGGCGCCGTGTTATATGACCGAGAACAATAGGTACAAGATGGCGTCCATTGTCTGAGCGTTGCCTCGCTTGTAATATATATACGCTTTGGGTACGGGTCCAGGAAAGAAGAACCACCCTCACAAAATAGCATATTTTAAACTCAGCCACTAGTAGGATGGATGTCCTCCCTCCGAGCATAGATTTCCTTGTTTATTGGATAATCAGTAGGGCTGGGAATTTCAGGGAAAACGCTTTAACCGTTAACCGGGTAAAATTACCAGGTAACCGCCGCGTGGCGTTTGACGTAATAATTTATAATTTCAGCTTGTTACGTCACAATGCTTATAAAGCAATTTTGCGTGTTCTTATCCCGGTATCGCTTATTAAAATTATTCACGAATCGAGATAGTTTCATGATTGCTCTGCTGCAAGAGATAGGCAGCGTGGTTCGGGGGTGTGGAAGTATTTTTTGGAAACCTGATTCCGTTGTTAAACGTCATTTATGTGACAAATTATCAGTGTTCGATGTGCAAATTTTACCTCGAGATATATATCATATAAAGAAAAACGGCATCAACTGCGCACTTGTTGTATGACATTGAATATCCAATTTTGCAATGAAATCGTGAACAATATATTTTGAAATCGACCGAAAACTGATTCTGAATTCATCATTGTCAAATTTCCATAATCAGCAATCTTGGTACTTCCGTTATTTTTCACATTTATTGAGTCCTTACCCACACAGTTAGCGATATTCTTTGGAATTAAATGCCACAAGAGATAAATTTGCGATGACGTACCGGTAATCATATTTGAAGAAATCGTAAGGTATGAAGATGATTTGTACCTGAGATGTCAGTTAACGGTTAAAATAAATCGTAACCGTTAACCATCTGAAATCGGTTAACCGGTTAACCATTCCCAGCCCTACTAATCAGCAATAAATCAACAGTTAAGGAGAAAGTAAACAAAAAGAAAGGACCTGCAATTCAATACAAAATATCGAAGTTCACCCAGTAATGACGAAACAATTGGAATTTATGCGGCTTATAAAACGTGTCTTTGGCTCACACAGATGTTCAAGCATGGTTGTAAACATTGCCTCGTTTCTGTGTTATGGGTCATTTGAAAGTTTTCGGTTGTATTTCCAAAAAAACAATTATCTTAATTAGCACCATGCCTACCGAGGACATTTAGTTTAGTTGCAATAAAACGGTGCGATAGATCAGCCTAAAATTAGCTACCAGTACCTGTAAGCGGCACATGGTTTAATGTTTTGAATTAAAGTGATAGTTTTGAAAATGTGAGCCAGTTTGTATGCGCTAACCTTCCAAAACACTTTCGAAAAAGGGGGCTTACAATTTTTGCAATGTTGAAGTATAGGAAGAATTTTTCTGGGGTCAAGGGTCGGGGAAATGTCCACAGGATAGAAATAACATATTTGTCCAAGGAAGAGGAAAGCCGATAAGACGGCCTTTCGTACGGTATTGGATTAGCTAGCCAGTTTTCTGTTTCAGATGCATGGACCTCATGGTGGATTACGCGAACGTATTATTAATGCATAGCCCGATGCGCTATATCACTATCACATCTCTAAGGATTGACTGAACCTAAAAGGAACGGAGTCAATTGATGAATACTGCATGCAATATAATATTGAGGATTCTACATTCTAAAACTTTCTACGAAATCATGTAGGTAGTTTCCCGAGAAATTGAACGGGATTATTCAATCATATGTTGAATTTTGTGATTTTGATTTTAGTGCACTTCTTTCAATCACAACGACTAACATGGTTCAATCACAACTGAAAACCAACATGTACACGACCTTTTGGCAAAAATCTTTTAACATCCCCAAAATACTGTGGAATAAATATTTTCCAAATTAATATTCATCAACTATTGAAACAAAGCTGAGATGTTTTCAAATGAAACTTATTGATAAAGCTATAGTTTTAAATAAGGTTTTATATGTATTTGGACTAGTAGAAACAAACTTGTGTGAATTTTGTAAATTAAATATTGAAACCCTTTTGCATTCACTTTATTATTGTGTGGTAACCCTTAAATTTTGGTCTGAGATCAATGATTGACTGATTAGTAGATTGTTTATAAGAAAACCACTGAAGAAACTATATGGGTTCTGATGACATTCCTGATATACAAATTATCGTCTGTGTACTATTATCTGCCGCTTTCTTTTATTGGACAAGTGAGTGGACCTATCGATTGTTGTGATATTATGTTGTTGTTCTTGTTGACATTCTTCTTCTTCGTCTCGATAAAATCGCTCTCCTCTTTGAATACTGGACCAATTTGAAATTATCAGTGGTTAAAAATTATTTTTTTCCCCCGAAGGCTATTACTTTTATTTTATCCTAAATTTTCCATGAATCCTATGAGATCTAATATTTCTTCCAAAATTGCGCTGTATTACATTTTAATTATAGGAACACGGTTTTTAATCCGCCAAGCGTGACGGCTGACTGTGAAAATTCTTTCGACTCTGAACTCGGAAGTTTTTGAGTATACGGTACCGGTAACGTCAAAGGTAAGAACTGCTTCGCTCTGGGCCACGTGTTGATATATTTGAGCGTTGCTCTCTTGTTTATATATATAGATGCCGGATCCTAAGGATAAACCAACCTTTGATGTTTTTTATTAAATTATTTATGATATTGGTGAATGAGAAGTAAATATCAATTAAAAGAAAAAATTGAATTTGTTTATATAATCGTGAATTGGTTGTATATTTTGCTATAAACTTTTTTTTCCTTATTTGTTCAATTGTTATTTTTATATGATATACAAGTATATATAAAAATTTGTGAGATTTTCTTTATTTAATTCTTGTTTTTTGTAGCATATATAATTAAATTAAAACTGCAATATGTACATAAACTATGAAAAATTATTTTTATGTCTGTATTGCTGATTACTAATGTTTATTTCAATATCATTTTATTTTATAAATATCTAATAATAAAAATAAATGAATAAAAAGGGGCGACGGTGTTTTAAACTTGCGTGTTCGTTGGCTCGTCGCTACCAATGTGTTTTCCAATTTTCTAAGATTTTTGGCAGTCGAGATTAAATAACTATTTTCCAACTATTATAATCAAACGTAAGAGCGCGTCAATTCTGCAATTGGGCCACAATAAAAGTTATCACTGCTCGACTAGGGTATGTTGATAATGTTAAAGACACGAAATGTACTTATTTAGATTGGGGAAACAGCTACGAGGGAAAACCTTCAGGGAAAACTTTTGGCATATGAATACTGTTGACTGAAGAAAATGAATATTTTCACAACCATGTCTTGTTTATTTCGATGCTACGGCTACTCAAATAGACGTTTAATGGGAAATCATAGCAGCACTCGTACACCGTTATCATTCGACGGATTGTCGGCATGTTTGTAAACGCCGACTCATTTTGGCAGTTCTGAGTGTGTTTAGCTATATGATCAAGTACATGTATAACTTGAATATACTGTGCATTGAATCTCTCATTTTATCTGCGAAATACAACAGATTTAGTTGCAGTAATCTAAAAGCCGAATAAACATGGCTAGTTAAATTATTAGTCAGTGTTTTTAAGTGCAGCTGAATTGAATTTTAAAAAATTGATGATTCAAAAACGTTTGGACGCTTGCATTATCTTTGCACCCACGTACACTTTCACTTATATACTTTTGCACCCGCCGATTTTAGCAACCCCATACAGATTGCCCCATGAACATTTGCACCCACGGACGTTATTATCCAGGGCATTCGCAACCGCGAACATGTGCACCCGCGAACATTTGAACCCGTGGACATTAGCATCCACGTTCAACTGCGTTGTTCCATTTGTCTGTTTGTTTAGCTCTGGCGTCTGAACGACAGGACCGATCTGGATGAAATTTCCGACCCCAGTTATGTGCGTTTCACCAAAAGTCCGAATTGATGTTTCGTTTTCATGGCATTATCGTAAATGACAACGTAGTTTTTTCACAATTTGTCGCCATTATCTCGTAAACTACCTCGGAAATAAAATTTTGAGATCGCTACCCCAGCATGAGTAAATCAAGCCATTTTCCATCTCTTCAATTCATGAACTGGGGAATCCTTAGGAATTTTAATGAACATGATTAATTATGAGCCGCAGTATTCCGCTCACGATTCACGAAAAGGATACGACGAGACGCACAGCGTACAAATGAACTGGCGGTTTCGGAATCCCGGTAGAGTGCAATTTCGCGTCGATGGTAACGGTTTATAGGAATGCCGACCGCCTAATGGAGATCCTGGGCGCCTTCCGGATTGTATTATAAGATAAATGATTATTATCTTATAATTCAGTATACCAGAATGAATTCGTTATTGGATATAGTCAATGTCACTTAGAGTATCAAAAATATGAAGATCAAATAAATATGTTTTTGTCTTGTCTTAGAAAAAAATCAAATGTGTACCGTTGTCGCTTGTTATGTTTTAATGACAGTTGCATAAAAGTAAAGCATAATCTTATCAAATTATTTACTTTAAACGCATGTTCTACATGTGGAAGCGAAAGACAATACCAAGGTAAACATATTGCGAAACTTATTTGAACGTTGCGTTGATGATTATTTTATTTTTAAAGCTCATTGTATGCCACAATTTTTGCATATATATATATATACACTCACATTTTTACTATCGTATGGCCGTTTGGCATCCAATAAAAAGTATAAAACAAAGTCCGATTATACGCTTATATTAAACGGAGAACTTGAGCGCCCTCATTCATCCGAAGAAAATTCACTTACGTCGCTGACGTTTAAAATATATAACGTGGGAACCGTTGCACCTGTTCGCAAAATATATATCAAGCAGTCCACGTAAATTATATATTCTGTGCTAGAAGATTGGGTTATGGACATTTTATATTTGAAAAAAGTGTTACTTTTGTTATTCGTAGTAGTGATATTCTTCAATAGTAAGGTACGTAACGAATTTCGTATTGGCTGCAGAAAAGGAGGTTGTTGTTCTTATCAAACTGTATAGAGTCACGAGGTGTATACAATGAGTAGCTAGAATATTTTACTCTCTTACGAGTTATCGAATTGTAAATCCATTAAAACAGGTTTACGCATCTGGTTTGAAACGCGAAACGGGTTGGCTTCTACTAGTAACGATAACACAACATGACACACGTGGTTATTATGTTTGCCAAACCAAGTTACTATAAACCTTCCAATCACAGTTGGATGGTCATTCATATATCATTTATAATTTTATATTATCGACTCACTTACTTCTACCATAATGATAATTTAATAAGATGATCGTTGATCGCTAGATTGCAAAATTTAAATTAGTGAAATGCTGTAGATGAAAATGCGATTCTTGATTCAGGGGAATGGAACATTGATGAAAAAGAATAGGACTAAGGTGAAGCATACTAATCGACCTCCCGGTGTCCCGTACAACAACAAGAAAATGCCTCTAGACTGCCACGGTATTATACTTCACTGTTTTTCATTGAATTTATATAGGGTCATTCATTTCTCGAAAAAGATAATGTTGCAACCTAAGGTTCTGTAATCGGTGCGCAGCTCGCAAAAGCGCTGCACAGCCGCAACAGATGTGAAAGTACGAGAGGTTAATCCTAAAGTTTGTATATAAGCGTTGTGATATGGATTTTAAAAGTAACCATGCAGAGACTTAGTAATATTTTAAATAAAACAACATTTTATTTCAACAACAACTTTTCCGTCATTTTTACACAGTATTAGGAATTATACAAGAACGTATTTCTGTAGTGTTAATAACAATATCTAAATCAGTTTTGCTTTTTTTCTTTTCGCACGTGTCAAATATTAACATTTTCGTTTTGGAGCGGTGATTATAGAAATATAGCTCAAGTTATATGCGTTACAAAATGTAACTAAATTTCTGTATAATTTGTTCATACAATATATAAGGGGAAACCTTACAATTTTAGCCAAAACGTCGTCAACAAGCGCAGGTATGATTGATTGATTGAGGTAAACCAATAACTTAAAACAAACATTACGATACTTATATTTGCATAGGAATTCTGATCTTTAATCTTAAGGTCGGGGCGAAACCCTTGATAAATCCTGTGCCTTCAAGTTTTTAACAAAATTTCGGCTGATTCTCCACTGATTTTTGAAGTTTGTAGAGTTGTGACAGAAGAAATTGAAAACATTATCAAGGACGACAAGAAACAACTTGACCCAGAAGGCGAGAAAAATAGGAAGAGGGAAAATAGAAGAAAAAAGAAGGATTCCTCAACTCAGAAAACAGAGTGAATATCTTTCATATATATGCCTACCATTCCTGAGCCTGAAATATTAGGAACTGGAACTGAGTCAGGGGTCTCAAAATACTGATTTAGTCATGTTTTATATTATATTTTCACAGTTTGCTTCAGATCGCAATAACGACTGTCTGTAACAACATGAAAGATTATATTCCACAGGAGGATAGAACAAAATTTCGGTGAGAAAATTTTAATTAATCGTGTGATATAAAAGCATAGCATTCGTGTACCAATTTTATTCAGTTATTAAGACAAACGGTATGTTGTCTGTTGCTACTCTACATTTCACTTGTTGTAATTTCTGTATTAATATTGTTCAGATATATAAGTAAAAGCACATTGAAAGATACTATGCATCTTACCTTGACAAGTAGTGACCCAGCCAGAGCTGAGAAAATGGACCACGAATTCGGTACCTACGTTCATCCCGAAACGTCACGTCTAGAATATCAAGTCAGTAACCTATTCAAGTACGAGTTCAAATAATGTCGACTATACCGATCCGAATGTTTTCAGTGTCAAACCTGTACAACAACAAGTTCGACATGGGACCAAACAATCACGAGGAAATCGATTCTTACCCAATAACTGTACCTTTCACAATATATAATAGCCTATATAATTATATATACAGTGTAAAAGCATTGTGTTAAATACAAAGCCGTACACTGGCGATATTCAAGTGCATCAATAAATTAAATAACATTTTTTGCAATGCTATGCAACGCAATATTTGAAGTTGTTAATGAACATTTTATTATACTTTAAATATTAAAAGTTCAGTTTATTTATTGCTGACCAGTGCAAAAGATTTGTAAGATCTCACAAGAAAGATATATTGGAATGGCATGAAAATAACGAGAACAAAACATCGATTGTAAAGTTTGTTTGTGAAGACAGGTAAAATGAATTTGAACTTTATCAATTTTGGATTCTTTTTTATTTATTTATATAAAGGTGTTGTTGTAGTTTTTTGAAGCTTATAATACGTTTTCACCTTCAACGGCACGCAAATTTTACTGTTTAAGGTGTTTAAAATGCGACTAGAAATGGTGATAGCTTAATAAATATATGCATCTTCCCCCATCTAATTTCTGTTTCCTAGTTATTGTTAGTGCATTTTGGTCTATTTATCTATTTTCAAAAATAATAGTAAATGCCTGTTATTTCTCTAATAAATAATATTTACGCTATACAGTTTGAAAGCAAAAGCCCGCGTTCATAGTTCAGTTTTGTTTTTAGAGTTCTTCAAAACGATCCAACACTGACACAATGTTTAGCAAAAGAAAACGCAAGAGATGATTTGTGGACAAAAACTTTTGACAGTTTGAAAGCTTACCAACACATACTGGATGAATTGTAGGATGTAAATCAACAAATCTTACTTGCTGGTCACAGGCGTATTATTTTAACAAAATTTGATATGTATCATTATTTTGTTATTAAAATATCACTTTGGATTTTCATTGGTGATTGGAAATATCTTGTCACGAAGGGATAACGGTAGTTCAAGAAATATTGCTCAAATCAAGAGACTGACCAAAACTGTGTAAAAGTATAGTGGAAATTGAAATGACCGGTTTCCAACTGGTTTGCCACACCTCGAGAAGGATGACATTAGGACTCAAAACCAATGTTTTTGTTCTAATTCCAGGAAAAGTTTCCCCCGTTTTGCGTGCCCTACTCCAGTAATATTAGAACGTATATTAGCGAACTAACAAACACATTTGCGCATGGGTAGAAATGAGACGAATGCAAATGTGCGTCGGTGTAAATGTCCGTGGGTGCAAATGTACGCGGGTGCAAATTCCGTTGGTGCAAATGTCCAGGTTGCAAATGTCCGTGAGTTCAAATGTACGTGGGTGCAAATGTCCGTGGGTGCAAATGTCCCTGGGTTCAAACGTTCATGGGTGCAAATGTTCGTAGGCGCAAATATCCAGAGTTCAAATACTGCGGTTGTAATCTGTATGTGGGTGCAAATGTCGATGGGTGCAGAAGTATATAGCTGCAACAGTTCTGGGTGTAGTTTACGGATGCAATTGCACATGGGTGCAAATGTGCTGTCGTCGTTTGGACGCGTCAACTTGCAAAAAATATTACTAAAATCCGTATCAAAAATTTCGCAAAAACAAATGGTGTAAACAGTGTAAAGTGCAGACATTTTTTGTGAGATCAAGTGTGCGGGAAATATCCACTGCTGCGGCGTGTAAATGAAAACAAGCCAATATTCTCATTCAATGATCTGAGTTCAGGTCTAAAACATTTAACTAGTTCGGGGATTGCGAACCACAAATCCTAAGGACATCACGTTTTTAGGTGACAAATTATTGCAAAAAACATGCTAACATTTAAGGATAAAATCTAAAGTTACCTACGGTACCGTAGAAAGCCCGGTATGCAGTTACGGGTAACAATGGTTTTACGATCTTTAGGAAATATAGCCATACAAATGATCTGTTAATGTATCGCAACTTCTCTTATTACAGCGAATTCTTTTCGGAAGTACATGAACTAGAGGGGTCAAAATTGTTTGGGTTAGGGCCTGCGAGGGATAGGAGAACTAAATGCTACTTTGCAGTTAATATCTTTCTACATAAAAACAAACCAAGAAAATCCGTTTTTGTTCGGCGTTTCTCATGCATGCGAATTCTTGGTTTTCTACATGAATTTCCTAAAATCGAGTATCGGAAATTTCAGTCCTCTACCCACGGAATATATTTGCGGAAAATACGAAACGGTAAGTATTTTCATTGACGCTTATATTCAATCAATCCCTATAAACCATGGTCTGATTGTAGCAGGCTTTGTGTTTCAAAACCATCTTCGTTTAGTTCGTTATCATAGGTATATATAAGCTTATGATTTGTAAGTAGGCTTGAATATTTTTGTAACCAAAATGAAACATATATTCTGTTGCGACGGCTCAAAATTTTTTTGTTCAACACTTGTCCCCCACGTGTTGCATTTACCAGAATTGACTTGACTCACACTTCGTGCGGACATTCTATTCTCTTGCAAATACTTTGAAATTCTGTTTACCCTAGTTAGATTGATATTTTTATTATTACTCACTGCCTGCCTACTTGATAGATACTATATTGAAAATGGAAAAGTTTCATACATGTTATAAAACAGAATATATATATACGAAAAAAGTTTTTATGTTACGAAATTATCTGCCATATATATTAGATTTTGTTCGGTTTCATGCGCAGGAATTATACTTTCAATCTTATATCTGAACGTCAGATTTGCCTGAAATCCAAATAATTTTGTTTGTTTCGTCTGCTACCAGTTCCATTACTTGCTGAACTGCTTCTTCTAATCTGGTGCACCTATGGATGAACAATAAATAGCTGCAGTTTGAACGAATAAATTAGCCCGGAAAATCAATTTTATCCAAAAAGGTTGAAAATAACTGAACTAAATGATAACATTAGCAAATTTAAGTATTGGCCAATATTCAATGGCAACAACATTTTTTTAAATGTACCTTTCAAGATTGACTGTTGCATATTGTGGAACTGCCTTGTCGAGCAAGAGTTTGTCCTTTCTCATATCTTGAAACATTGAAGTCAAGTCTTTTTGTTCGGGTTGTAATAAAAATCTGAATATCACAGAGAACGCAATTACGCAATTGTTTGAAACCGGCTATTTTTCTTTCATTTTTTTTTTTGACGGTTTATACTCTATATGACTTATGTATCATATTCTACTTACTTGATTACTTTCTCTTTTTCAGCAGTAAGATAAAGTATGATGGGATAGATTCCTTTTATGTGCAGCAATGTGACAAAACTTTCGATTGACATTGGTTTTTCGTTGTAGGGCAAAATGCAATGCTTTTCCTGATTTTGATAATAATGTTAGTTAACTAAAAACTAGAGTCGTAGTATTTTACTTAAACACTTTTCAGTCGAACTTTTCGGAAAAAATGTTCATTATTATATTTTGGAATAATTACATTTTTCACGACTTATTATCATTATTATTAAACACTATTTAAAGTGTAGTCTTTATATATTTACTACTAAAAAATAACTATTGCAATGATGCTTACATTGCTTATTATTTTCTGTACAGCTTCGACTGTCACAAATTCGAACTTTTCATCATTGATGCATTTACAAGAAATAGCCTCGGTGTTCACCACACGACGAAATGCTTGTTCTTCGTTGCACTTTTCTAAAGCTAGTTGAAGTAATACTATATTATTTGATATTATATTATATGAGAATTCTTCTAAGTATATATATATATATATATATATATGCACAGTAATTGTAACAGTGTTCATAGAATATTCGATTCAGAATATTTGCTTGTGTAAATGTATAGTAGTCGTTATGATTCGGTATTTCACTCATATTTCTTATTATCAATATGTATTGGTTGAATAAAAATCAAAAAAATCACACAAGTTTACAGAGATTTATACAAAGCTCTTTGACATACATGCAAAAGCACTGTTCTATACCACGCACCTGGTTTGGGCAGATCAAACTGGAACGGTTCGGTCATTGTTGTTAGCTTGAAACTTAACACAGTCGAAAGACTTCTTGGGACAAAGAGGCATGGACGATAATGGACTTTTTCTTTTGGAGCTTTTTTTACGACTGTGTACGGAGAGCACTGCAAAATTTGATTCTAAAATGAGCACATGACATTACTTCCAAATGCAACTTATCGTCGTCGTACATTAGCAAGTGTACTATGAAATGACTGAGTCTTGCAGATAAAAAATTCCTAATAATACACCGAATATCATTTCACTGCTTGGCTTTTTATAAGAACTAAAAGGTGAATGCCTAGTAAATTTATATAAATTTATAAAATGTTCAACAACCTTCAATCGACTAACTACGTCATCCGCTGTCAAATGGGCAGAGGATTCTTGCGGTACGGTTGCAGACTGTTAAAAAATAAATTTATGATTATAAGAGAAAACTGGAGAAACTAATTTAAAATCAAGAAACCAATGCTTACATATATGGTCAGACGACCGCGTCTCGGTACCGGTACGGTGAGATCTTACTGGAAAGTTGGGCAGACAAAGCGTGATGGAATAAAGTGTACCCATATTTCATAAAGTGTTTGTTTCCACGAATTAAAATAAAATAGCGTCATTTGGGGTGAAATATCGGGCCCCATCAATTTCGGAAATTTTAGGAAAAAACAAACAAAATTAATATCTTTCTATCGACTAAAAATTTGAAAACGATTGACTCATTAGCGGAAGAGTAGGTCGATTTTTCACAACAATAATATAACAAAGCTATATATATATATATATATATAGTTCCACTTCGTGTTCAAGATATGATCGACTAACGTTGTGACGACTACTATTTCAGAGAAAAGTATGCAATACTCACCCGAAAAATTCTTGTCAGATCAATCGCGCTTAGAGGCCGATTGAGAGATTGGTGACTTTTGAATATTTGGCTGTTGGAAATACTGCAAATAAGATATCGAAAATAATGTATATATATATATATATACGAGTTTTTAGTTATATCACCTAATTCATTGTGCTCCGGCGCAGTAAAGTAATGTGGCGTAACCTAGAAATAGCGCGACTTGTTCTTTCAATTACACTTACTTATTTGCGCGTGTATATAAAGGCGCTTGCATTTAGTAACAATTATTTCGCTTGTTGACTAGGTTTAAACAGATTGGCGGTGTTTGCTGAAATGTTGACTATGCTGTATTACAATAACATAAAAAACATATATAATAACCAAGCGACCCATATCTACATTTCGTGTCCAATGATACTTTAAGGTTTATACAAATATTTACAAATATATTTATGTTCAATATTTAGTAATTGACATGTTACGAAATAGGTAAATATTATTTTCGATTTGGAAAACAGTTCTAGAACCTACCAATTTCTATAGCTGGGTATCACACCGGATCTTATGGTGTCTTCGCCACTGTATGGATCAACAATGCGAGCAATCCAGTTTTTATTTTTTGGTGACCTTGTGTGAACAACGTGAAGTACAGTTCCTTTTTCGAATTGCAAGAATCCTTCTTTTCTTAGAGTAAAATTTGCTCTAAGACATAAAAATTAGAATATTTTTAATCGGGATTATAATGAATATAACTAATTTTAACGCCATCTATGACTAAATTGATAATAGATATTTATACTGGAACATCCATGTGATGTCCTTTTGAATTTTTGTCTGTATTGAAATAATATGTAGAGTGATTTCTTATAAGACATGCTGAATAGGATTTTTACGCGATGAAATGTTTATCTTGTGAGAAGTACCGATCATAATTGTATTTTGTATTGGCAAATTGAGGTCATGTCTTTTCTATATAGCCTACGCACTTATAGGTGAAAGAGTGATAAGGCAAGTCTACCTCACGTAAAAGGAATCTCCTGAACATTTCCCATTTTTACATCTTTGCTTAAGTTGGTTAAATTGTTCTTCTTTGTATTGGATAGAGATCGTCACAGAATCCCCTATTTCTTGGAAAATATTGATGACGTTTTCCAGAGTACAGTTCCTCAGATGGAGTTCTCTAATGCTTCGTTCGTTCATGGCAATCTGGAAAATACAAAATTATATTCTACGCTACGATATTCCGGGTAAAAAGAAATGTCACATTTGTGAGAACCCGAACTTTACAATGGACTTATTAAGCCTTCATGTGGCAAACTGTTTAATCAAATAAATTTATACACATAAAATACTCGAATTATTAATTGATAATTAATGATTTTTTTACCTTCAATAGTTTCATACCGGGTACGATCCCGATAACATCAGCGTAGGAACCTTTCTCAACTTCACCAAAAAATATTCCGGTCTCGTTTCCTCCAACAAATTCTACTTGATTTTGAATACTTTTCACAGAAATATTGAGCTCATACACGCGTCCATCTTTATGAACAAGTTTGTGAAATATATCCTCTCTGAAAAATTGAATAGTAAATGATTTTTTTGCTGATAAATTGTTTTACTTTTGATTGCAATGGGAATTGCTCAAGTTCAAATTTGAATTTTCCTTGAAATGAAAACAATTGTACAGCTTTATTAGGAACTAAAAAATATTTTAGAAATATTGTCTTGATTGTGAAAATAACTCGCCTGATGAAATCTGTTAAAGATCTCTCTCTTGATCTTGCAGGTGAATGACTTGGTTTCATTGCACGTCGTCGTACAGGGGATCGCTAAAATTATTATATTGCAATAAATGTTTTTTAGTGTTCTCATACAGGTGTAATTTATATACCTAACGAAAGAATGGTTCGCATGTGTATGTATTGCTGCAAAACGTTTCCAAATATTTATTTCGACAGGAAAGTTGCAAATAACGAACGATTCGAAGCATAATGCTAAGATTATAATGAAGATGAAAATGATATTCAAAGATTTCAATTCAAACTTACTTCACTCCTGTCTCTTCTTTTCGGCATAGCAAGAGTTTCTGACAGAGCTGTTTTGGTAAAAAATAAAATATAAATGACGGAACGGAACTTTTTTTTCCTATTTCTACGCAATCTTTCACAAATAGGTTTGTCTATAAACAAAATCTATTTTCCAATATAAAAATGTACTGTTTATTCATCAAGCTGGTAGAATATGAAATGACAATCTAACGAGTTATTCAAGAGGCGAATGCCTTCACTATAACACTCAATTAGAGAATTAACAATATCAACATACATTCTTTTTCATCAATGTCACTCGGCAGCTGTTGAATTAAGTCCTAAAAATAAAAATTTTGATTTATCGCTAAAAGCTGAAAAGACACTATATAGCGATCATAGTGTTAGACATGCGAATTACTAGAGAACATCCATTAAAGGCGGAAAATTAAAATAAAATTAAAACAAGAATTGTTTTTAACTATGACTAATGTTTGCACACTAATTCGCTAGATATGAAACTAATGTGATATCGTAACAGAATTTTTTGTTGTTATTCGATAACTCCTTTTGAGAAAGAAGCCATGTACAATGTAGTTGGTGTAATAATAAGAAAAGGAGGAATAAATAATGCCATATACCAAAGGTAGCGATTTTGTGGTTTCACGCGGGGGAGGATTCAACTCCTCTCTCAAAGCTTTGATTATATTTTCATTTTCTTTCAATTCCTGTGTTAATTTTTCTTGGCAATCTTCCAGCTGATGAATTTTATATCGGTATTTTGTTTTTTCATCCATGTAACTTTGTAAAGTCAGTTGGGCTTCATTTCGTTCCCGAAGAAGCTTGAAAAACAAAAGAAATATTAGAAACTAATGATTCTCAACAACAAAATCTGCACAATTAATACTGTTTTTTTTTTCATCCTGTCGGGAAATATTGAGGAGTCAACACAGTATCGTTACATCTGCAGTTGCGGCTTTTAATTTGGGTTATTGCAATTTTGTGTTGAGTATATTTATTGGATCTTATGGTAGTTTAAGTAACAGTCAAAAAAGCCTTTTTTATCCAGGAAATTTTCAATTATTTAGAGAGAAATACTCGTAACTTATACTCACTCAACTTACGATGGTCTATTACATTTTTTTGGCATGAGTATTTATTTTTTTAATGCTGAAAAAATAGAATTTTTCATTCATTTTTTGGGTTACGTAAAGACATAGGTGACATCACGGTAGGTAGTGTTCGTTTGTTACCTTACATTATATCTACTAACTGCTATTCAAACGTGAAGGATATTGACCCCAGCATGTTGCCCCTGACAACGATGACCAAAGCGCTAATTGAATTCTAAGTAATTATTTTTGACCATAATCTATTACATAGATATCTGTTCAATATTAAACTGATGTGCGTCATTACTCAACCGTTTTAAATGTGCTTTACCTGATCTCTTTCCTTCTCAACTTCTTTCTTTTGCTCCCAAACAATGTCAGACCTTTCTTTGTACATTTTGCAATCATCGGTCAATGCAGTGCATTGTAGTTGCAAAGTCTCATTGTCTTCAAGGTACTTTAAAAATATGTATGGAAATTTCGAAAAAAAAGATCGCAATTATTTAGAATAATTCAACATTTTCTAAACTGGGTAGGCATGGATTCGATTAGGGCGCATTTTTTTCAAAGCATAATTTTATTTATGCAGATCCCTCGGTCAAATATAATAAACATATCAGCTAACAAGGCTAGTAGTCAGGTTCTTGGTGGAAAACTAGAAGTTTCAGATCGAGGTTCTGTATACATAAAGTGAATCATGACATAACTGTAATTTTTATGCATATATCAAATTTGCAAAGGAATTTAAAGCATCGTTTAAACAGTGATGACAATTTACAGCTTATTTACTCATTTCCGTGTATGCTATCACCTGGATCGCCCGAACATCTTATCTCAAAGTGAGAGCCTTCTTTTTTTTATAAGAATTAAATAAAACGTTTGGTAATTGAAACTGCGGTCGTGTGCTTAATAATGCGAGGATTAATCACAAATACTCACCTTCATTTGAATCTGTTCGGATTCACTAAGTTCTTCTCTGACTTTATTTAAACTGAGAGACATTTCTTGATAATGGTCCAAGGCATCGCGTAAATCATTTTGCAACATCTCTATTCTGTCATCAACGCTCTCATCCGAATTGTTCACCTGTAATTATTTTTAGAAAACATTTAGTAATACAGAAAAATATGATCGTTTTGTCGATGCACAAAAATTTCAAATTTCACACTTGTTTCATATCACTCCGCAGTCAGTCGATTTATGAATGTTTATTCGGTTTCAAATGAGAGCTAACTCCCACTACACTGTATTTTGGATTGTGTTGACCCGTCTATGGATAATGAATGATAGTGGAACGTCATAAAAACCATCAGACTTATCACTCCTTCCACGTAAAGTGTTTAGCATATTCATGAGTGAGATTTGTAATCGGAAAATATTATAGTTCTTCAAGCGTTAAAATGATAATTCCTTTTTTTGCATCAACGCGAAATGAAATAGTTGAGATGCTCTTCTGGTCAGCAACTTATTTAGCGTATACCACAAAAATTGCATAGAAAATCTGTTACAGAACAATGCCACGCGCTCTGATACATGACGATTATGCTATATATTATATTGTCAATGTTTTAACACCAGTACGTTAGTGTTGTTCCGCCCACTAATGAAAGACTAAAGACGGAAATGATGCGGTGCATCACGGTATGGCAACAGTACACAATAGTTATGATCGAAATATCATGTTCAAAATTTTCATTTTAGTAAAATCACAATACGCAAATTTGGTTATTAAGTACACATGAATAACCTAATAACGAGATAGCGATTAGAGATCGATTTAGCGGCGTGTATCCTTCGCTCTGACTCAATAGCGACACCGCGTGTCCCATCACTAAATAATTAATAACTCGCTAATTATACGACATAATTCATCCAAATCCAATAGGCTTCCGGTCCGAGATATGATGAATGTACATGCAAAATGTGGAGCAGATTCAACCTCGCTTCCGTGAGATATCGCGTGTATCTAACAGACAGATAGACAAACAAATACCTATCAACATACTTACCAATAAAGATCGATAAGTAATAACTTCAATGTAATATTCATTAATGAAAAGACAAAGATTATTGTAATTCAGCCATGACACAAAAATCTGGCAAATTATTTTGGAAAATCATCTAATATATATACAATTATACCTGAATCACAGCAATCCACCAAACCACATATCAGAAAATTTGGCATGATAAAAGTTTATCGACAGAATTTCGGACAGATAAGTATCAATGACCTCTCGACGACCTCGATTAGAGTTCGATTAAAGGTATATATCTTTGTTAGTGACCGGGGTTAACTTTGATGTTGCTATACCAATAAATTACATACCGTTGTATCGTGCGACTGGACAACTTTGATTCTGAGATCCTGAATTTCCTGCTGCATTTTCTTAAGATCTTTTTCGCTTGGTACTGTATCGAGTTGATGACGTAATCGAACGGAATGCGATCTCTCGGACTTGATTCTATTTTCGAGCTGAGAGTAGAATAAACTCAGACTTACGGCCACAATCTCATTTTTACATTATGTTGCAAGCAATACTTTTTTTGTGTTTGATTTTTCGGTTTTGAGCTCGTTTTCAATGAGAATTCATTAATTTTTACCGGAATGGCACTCGGTATAATGTTGCTAGATTGATTTGCTTTGTGAGATTTTTTAAAAAAATTAGTTGGTTCCATTTTCTCAGTTTACGATTTTCAATACATATATATATGTATGATAATACAATAGTGACATGGTGCAAATTTTGTTTTTTTTGATGTTTCGCCTAATTTTTGGCATGCATTATGTATGGGCCAATAAAAAATATTATAGTTTAGAATGCTTGTTTAAACTGAAATGTGAGAATGTGGTTAGTGGGTCTGTATAATGAAAGTATACTTCCATTGATATAATATACAATAGGCAAATATTAAAATAACAAACCTTTCTTCGGTCTTGCACCGATTTGTCATTCTCTAATTTGAGTAACATATTCTGTTCTCGAAGTTTTGAGTTTTCTTCACTTGTATTGACAAGTCTCATGCAAACTCTGTAGTATTCGGATTTCATATTTTCCGCATCTTTTTTCAAAGTCTCCATATCAATTTCCAATCGTTCATAGCGTTCTTGTCTGAAATTTTTAATATTTTACGTAGAAAACGTTTTGTCATTTTTATGAAATGAATTTTCTCTAGGTCGCACAGTAATATCTTTAAACCTTGCTTAGCTATTTTGTTCAAGATTGTTCAAATGGAAATATAACCTTATTTTAATAAACTGGGTTGGGTTTTTAAATATTTTATTGATTGGTTTGAACTTGCACAACATCAATTTCACAAATTTTATTATTTAACATTTCGTATTTCGACTTCCTCAGACAAACAGTGTAGACTTTAGAATATCATAAGTATAAAATTTGTGAGTGTTTGATGCAAGACGTTTGAGCCTCTCAATATATAGTCATTTGGATTCTTGATCTAGTATCCTATCAGCCAGTGCATACATTGGCCCAAATGCAGAAGAAGGGAGCAGTAGTGAGGAGCACGTTACACCAATCAATCCATCTCTTCTGGTTTCAGTAAAATTGAATAATACTAGATATAATATATACATTAAAATTCTATGCCATCCGTCATATCGACAAACCTGGCTTCAAATTTTCCTGTGGCGTCTCTAAGTTGTTCGAGCTCCGTTGAGTAGTTCGTTATTTGTTGGCGTAATGCATTATTATGCATCGATAGTCCTTCGCATTCTTGCCTCGTTTCCGACAACTTTGCAAAAACAAAACTCAGAACTTCGCCGTGAACACCCTCGGGTGCGGCATGTTCGGCAGATGCTATATAATGACATAGACATATATGCACAAAGTTTAGACAAAATCAGTTTGCAACTGAATTTTACAATTAGATCTAATATACACTATGAGTATGTTGCAACTTGCAACCTTTCTCGATTTGTCATTTGCCATATTGCCATTTGCCGAATCTCGATTAAAATTACGATCTATTTCAGTTTGATCATTTTGAAACCTGAATAGTGGCTCCGAATAAAACAAATTTAAATCGTTTATTAAGTTTCTAATATCTTGTGATATATATTTATGTTGTTTCAGCGTACAAATTTCTTTTGTGAATCTTATCTTCATCTGAAGATTTTAGCACTGTCCACAGCTATTTATAGTTATATATATGTGTGTTACTGAGTTGAGTTGGTTTGTGAATATGATATTTACAAATGAGGACTGTGAAATCTCTAGCGTTAGCCGGTTCTCGACAGACCCACGAAGAGGTCATTTAAATTGCGGTTATTAGTGACGTAAACCCTGAACCCCTGGTTACTTGTTAAACATAGATATTTAGGTTATGATATACAAAGATATAAATTTAAGCCATCTCACGTGGAGGTGGGTCCCGATTGGTTATCTTTGTGTAAACGTTCGGATAATATCCTCCCATGATCTCCATGAATTTTTCATAATTTTCTTTTCCTTTGCGTAGAAGTTTGTCCACCATTGCGTCTGTAAAACATGTCAGCATTAAGTAACTATGCAAATTGATTGATAACGGACAGATTCTAGGTACTCATAAGTATAACAAGACAGAATCTTCGGAGTATAGACTATTATGCTAGAAAGAGGCTCATATATATATGAATAAGCAAGGTTGTGGTTTCTGAGTAAAATTTCAACTCGTTTTCTAGTCAAAAAAAAAATGGTTCAAAAATTGATCAGACTCCAGGTCTCAAAACCCAAATAGCAAAGTTTCGACTACTAATACTTGGTGTTGGTAACTCTCTTTTGATTTAAAACATTTTTGTTTCCGCTATCAAATTCTAACATTCAATATTCTTGATTATCAAACCGAAGTAATTCAAAAATCAACAAGCCTTGTCTTTGTTTTGCCACAATGTCATGAAGGGATTAATTCCGTCGTCACTTCACACTTTGTATAACTTCATTAACGTTTATTCATATTTTTATTGATTGGTAATTAGACTCGGCAATTTCATTTTTGTCACAATATGTATTTGACCATTGTGATATTGTATTACAAATGACTCATAAGCAATGCGCGTTCTAGTTCTATGAAGACTTGAAAGAATGCTGCTGACTAGCAGTAACAGTGAGGAAAATACGTCTTGCAAGAAGAGTAATATACCTTTGTGACAAAACAATACGATCGCTTTTTATTCTGAGAAGCACCGAAAATTTTTTAATTGTTTTGACAACGTCTTACATATCCCTGACGAAGTAAATCTGATCAATATCAGTATGATACAGAACAAGCAGTTGACCGAATACAAATTAAATAAGTCTTGAATTCTCACTTGCTTTTGACAGGGTTGTTGGATTCAAAACATGGTTGCTGATAAGTTCATTGTCATCTCGATCGAATATTAGTGCGCCCTGTAGGGCAGGTGCCAGTTTTATGTAATCCACATTCTTTACAATCAATAGTCTATTACTTTGTAATTCTTTTGTCCAGTCTATTTCTTCGGGGTCACTTTCATCCCCGCTTGACAGCGAACACATTTTAATTATCTTAGGTGTGATATACACCGAAGCATTCTATATAATTTACAATTCCAACGCGATTTTCTGCAAATATCTAATTCGAAATTCATTAAGCGGTAATCAAGCCTGCATCACACCCACCGATATAATATAATCATTGATAACATCTGCTCAAATATAAAATAAGGATGTCATCTTCAAATATTGTATGTTTGAACAATGTTTTATTACGCCCGCAGTTTTATTTGAAAATGAAATCACACACATGGCAAAATATCAAGCTGGGAAATTTTTTATTCGGATCCATGCTACGTTGCGCGCATCCTGTTTACTGACATATTTCGCTAACTAAACATCTGCAAATAAACTGAAACAATAGAAGAAATCTGAAAGCAAACCATCTTGGCTGTTTTACACAACTTTAACATGATGAAGTACAGTGATATTTCTGTAAATTTTTGAAAGAAACTGCGGATGTGAAACCCATAATCGAAATATCGATGTTTATTTATCTATATAAGGCACGACAAACAAGATAGACTTGTCGTAAGAAAGCATGACATATATATAACGACAATCAAGACATCGTGTTAGGAATCACTATAGACTAATATTATGGAATATAGCACGTCATGTTGTATAGCGAGGGACAAAATTAAACTTGAATGCTCGATGAATGCTAATATATGCATATATATTATTTGCCTTTCTTTGTTTTAGCTTTAAATATATTGCAAACATTTTGACAACAACTCATTCATTACAGGTTTATCAACATTTTCAAATACCTTTCTTTTAAAATCCCTTCATTTTGATAAATAAAATTTGATGAATTCAATCGGAACAAATATACCTCGCCTTTCTACATTAAACTGACTGATCAACTAACATGTAAAACACTTATACCGCGAAACAGGACAAAGAAACGTCAGGCGGATGTTATAGGCAGGCTCGCAGGTGGTTTATTATTTTGTCAGCATAATGATGCAACTTCCTTTAATTTTTGCAGAGGTGGTTGACGACATTACATTGTTGTAAGCTTGTGTAAATATCAGTCACCACGTTCAAGCCATCTCCTCCGAGTGTCATCTATTTTGCTAGATTGAATCTAAAACTATAATAAAAGTTAAGGTGTAAAATTCAATTAATACTTCTCGCTAATTATAATTTGTAATTAATTTCACATCCCACCAGAATCATACGCAGCTTACATGGTTGGAATATCAGTCGAATCGCAAATTATTTTTGTTAATGAAAATGCGCGCTTGTATATCTTCGATAACTTCGAATGCGAAGTAAGTTTGTAGAGAGATACTTTACTATAGATAGATATTGGCTTCTTTTATCTAGCTTTGTTCGGAGCAAAAGACACGAGTAAGGCACGTCGTATTACGTCATTATACAAAAACAAATTGCCCCCCCCCCCCCTCCAAAAAATTTTTTTTTTGGGCTGGCCACGCTCTTGCATGATTATATTTGTTTCTATTTTGGAAATTGGATAAATTGTTGTCTTAATTAGAACCGATGTCTTAATTAGAACCGCATGACCTTATAGGCTAAATAAAAGCGTATAGATGAATGTGACATGTGGCATCAGTAAATCAACAATGACACACAAATTGACTATCTCCATATAAATAACTTTATTTTTGCAGCAAATGAAATGCTGCCTTGAACGTTTAGGTTATTCACCCCCATGAAACCATTCACCATTTTAAATTATTTTAAATTTTAAAGCTTCTAATTTTATTCACAATAGAATTGCCTATAGCAGGGATGGCGAACCACTGACCCGCGGGTCACAAAGTGACCCACCGCGTTATATTCGTGACCCGCCAAGGCACGAATAAAATAAAAAATGCTAACATATCAGTCATAAAAATTGATAAAACCGGCCTTAAATTATTCTAACAATAACTAAACTATTATAATGTACCGTCAGTTGGGCAGTCAGGGCTGTGATCGCTTATATTCAAATTGTTAATTTCCTGTATGGTAATTTTCAAAAACCCTAATGTTGGACGGATGTCTGCACCGCTGTGTGTCCTTACTCAGCTGTTGATGTTAATCTCTCGCAACGACCCGTCTCTTTCAGAATGTGCATCTGCAGACTGTTTTCGGGGATATACGACAACTAGATGATACTTTGCATTTTATTAGTTACTCGCCGACAATTTGAGAATACAAAATATTTCAGACTTGAAATAAAAACCTAGAAATCTGGAATAAGAATGGGGCAGTGTAAAGGGGCAGGGACAGTGCTTTTAATACGGTTAAAGCTGATAGAAAAATATAACACTGTAAGAGTGGAATTCCTTCCGAACTCTTTGGAACCATAAAATACTTTGCCGCATCATTCTAAACGTAATTTATATGCGTGTTTTCGTATTCCAATTTCATAAAATCGAGTGCCATAAAAAGTCCCTGATACAAGTAAAACCCTAAATTACACCAACACTAACAGAACCGCTGTATCAGGATATGTTTCAGAAGTTTCTTATAGATACAAACATTAATTAAATATCTGTGACTCACTCACTTCTGTTCCGCGATTAAAATATAATTTTTGACCCATTCATTGAAAAAGGTTCGCCATCCCTGGTCTATAGAATCTAGATGTTCTAAGTCGAAAATAGTAATGTACAGGAACAGATCGCGTATACTTTTTGATTTTGAAGGCAAATGGCGTTACAAAAGTTAGTTTGATTATAAAAATGAAACTGGATTTGCAATAATACAGTTTTTGTGGGTCTATTTAACGTGTTTCATTACAAATACGAACTATACAAAAAACGTACTCCAGATTTCAACCATGGCATTTTAAATTGAGAAAATGTGTATTAGGAAAACCGCTCTGCATCAAAAGAACGAGTGACACGGACAGACGCCGAAAATTTTTCATGGGATTGTTACTACCTTCTGTCTAGAGCAGGGGTCGGCAACCTTTTGTCGCTCGCGGGCCAAAATTAAGGGTTGCAAGTCATTGGCGGGCCGCACATATCTTTGTAAAGTTTAAAACCGAACAATACATCTCTCGAATAGAATATAGACTTATTTCCTCATTGCAATGCATCTCAACCCATTTGCATATGTTTGGCGCCATTTAACCTTTTGCACTTAGCATCAACTTTTCTGCGTTGTGTTGACAGTTGTCTAATTATAATTTAATTATAGGCTCATAAAACGAGTAATTGTGAATTATACACTTGTTGGGTTATAATATAATTTAGTCTTCACGTGCCTTACAATAAATTCTGTTACGTAAAGAATATAATCGTCAAAATAGCTGTTTTGTTATTATAATTCAGGGATGCGTCCCGGGCCGGTTTATATTACTCGGCGGGCCGGATCCGGCCCGCGGGTTGTAGGTTGCCGACCCCTGGACTAGAGTCTAGAATAAAAATATAGCTAAGCAGCCACGTATACATAGGGATATTATGCGTTTGAAAAGTTCGGAATCTATCAGTTGTATTATAGCTATATCATCCATGATTTATTGCACATCAAGTACGGTTAGGGGAATGAGTCTTTTACATGACATTTTTGAACTCGAATGCCGACATGGTTACGTCAAAAGCGCTAATTACTGGTTACTAATTAATTGGTTTAATTAAATTAATTTATTATCTAATCGTTAGGATTCTGATTTCACACAATAGCTACTTTTTCAACGGGACAATTGTCCCACATTTCTGAGTTCTGCCTAGTCGTCCACGAGTAGAGCAAGATAAATGCGCTTATTTCCATGTAGAGTTGAGCAGTCGAATCTTTTTAGTAACTTTTGTTACTTAAATTTAAAAAACATACATACATTTTATTGGCGAAACTGCAAACAGATAAGGTGACCGTACATTTGAACCCACGTACATTTGAACCCATATATTTGCACCCGTATATCCGCGGGTTCAATCTGTATGAGGGTGCTAAAATCCATGGGTTATGGCTAGTATGGGTTCAAATATTCATAATAAAAAAAAATTCCATAGGTGTAATAGTATGCAGGTGCAATTATCGTGGATTCAAATTACGGGTTCAAATGTACGTGGGTTCAAATGTAATGGAACCACAGATAAGCACCTTCTTATTAGACTTCGGGGATATACCTATACTTGTGATAAAAATGTGTAGTTGTTTTATACCTATGGTCCTATAGATTGCCACAAAAGCTTCCCATGAGCAATGATTGTTTATACAAAAAACACGAGGAAATCTTTGATTTAGGTAGTAATACTTGCAAATCGATTATAGTCAGGGTCGGATTTAGACGATACGAGTTCCTAGTGAAGTACGAAATTTTTGTTAGAAGCAATATAGGTACGCTAATCGCCAAAGTAGATTGCATAGTAAGAACATAAAAATATGTTACGAAACTCGAGGCTGTAAAAAAAAGCCATGGCGTCAGAAAACCCGTAGTCATAATACCATTTCCGAGTCACGAGAGGTGGAGGGGGCATGGCCGGCCCAATTACTGATAAATAAAATATTACAAACATACCTTTTGAAATAAACGGGTCTGCAATTGAACAGAATTTATTCGGGATAGTAACAAATATAATAATTCTTAGATTCGGCAAAGATTTGAAACAATAATTATTAATCTGATTAGAAATATAATAAACAAGTAGCTGTTTTATAAAATTTAAAATGGTTTTTGGAACATGACTTCAAAATTCAAAAACGACTTAAAATGAATAAAGTTTAAAATTGAATGTTGAAGCCCCCAGGCTACAACCTATTTTGCCCAATGGTAATTCTGGTCCTGCATATAGTATTACAATTTGAATAATCACCCGACCAGCTCTTTCTATCACTCAATTCGCGGTCTTTTGAATGGTAGACAGACATTGATTTTTGAAGTAGAATTCATAAAATTGTCAGCGTACGTTCGATATTTATTGATTTCGCATGAAGAATTTGCAGTTTCGCACAGATTTGAGTTTTTATGTTAATGTCAATAATTATTAAACCTTAATCCCATAACACTTTATAGAAAACTCGTGGTATCGTCATAGATGTTGCCCGCCTGGGTATACTTCTGTATGATATCGTTTTCAGATGCTTTATGCATATGACTTAGAAATATCATAGGTCGTTATGACAAGCTTGCATAATACCGCAGAAGTTCGGCAGGTTCGTAAAGGTTTTGAACCACTGTTATAGAGTGAAAAAGGTAACCAAACCCTTTTCACTTCACGTGGTTTCGTCGTCTGGTTGAAGTCTGCTAGGCGGTGAAAGGCAGGTGCTGTTCAGTTGTATGACTCAGCTGACGCATCCGCTCAAGCGTACGAACGATGAGAATATTGCGATACAAAAATGCTCTTTGCGTCATGTCTGAAAGAATGCTTGATATGGTTTTATAGTCAGAGAAGTTCGCAGGCGGCAAGGGTTATTTTCAGTAAGTCATCAGATTCGAAGCTTTGGTCACGTGTTTACTCACTGTACGAGTGAGATCAGGTATCCTAAAATGGCGCGAAGAGATTTGTGAAAACCAGTTGAGGTCACGGCACTGTTGACACAACAAGAATAATAGCAAACCAATAGAGTTTTAAAGTGAAGTAGAGATTGTACGTACAGCATCGACGATTGAAATAGAAATTGAGCGCGATTTGATTTCTAACTCTGCTGTATTAAAATGCAAGGCTCGTCGACATGATTTCAGTAGTGGTTTGACACAAACACGTGGTCATTTCTATAAAATTCAGAATAGCGTACAAGTCGACATTTCGAACACTATACATTCGGATATCTCATAATGTATTTTTCCGGTAATACTGGTGAAAAACATGTGACACTGAGTAATTTCAGAATTTCTACTAGCAGGGCCGCAAACGGTATCATCGGTTTGCATTCCCAGATATTATTAACCTTAACCTGGCTTCAATTTTAGTGATCTTGGCAGGTAATGGAAATCGTTCCAGATGTAATTTGTTTTGCAGTTTATACTTATTATCAGGTTTTGTTTACTATTACTTACTCTAACGTATATCAATTACAAATGACTACGATATCGCTGTTGTCAAAACAGGATATTGTTGTGTCATGGTTAAGTCTGGAAGTACACGAATCGCATCATCATCATCATCATACTGTGTTTCCGTTTTGACCCACAGAAGACGCTGCTTGTGCAGGACTCAGACATATCGCGCATGCATGTCAATTTAGGCTGCACAAATTTTATTAACGGTGACAATTTATTTTCGTACGACTTAAACGGTTCAAGCGAATTACTAATTCACTTAATTTCACTCGCCCATCATAAGAGGTTGATCAATGTTGCGTTTCACTCTTCAAGTTCAATCTGTGCAAATTGAGATAAGATTAATTTTTTTGCCGCGCTATTTCTGGGACAGGTATTTGATTCGGTTCCATTACATTTGAACCCACGTACATTTGAACCCATGACAATTGCACCTTATGCTATTGCACCTATGGAATTTTTTTTTGTTTTTCGGATAGTTGAACCCATACTAACCCTAACCCATGGGTTTTAGCACCCGCATATAGATTGAACCCGTGGATATACACATTTTTTTTGTTTTTCGGATAGTTGAACCCATACTAACCCTAACCCATGGGTTTTAGCACCCGCATATAGATTGAACCCGTGGATATACACATGGGTTCAAATGTACGTGGGTTCAAATGTATATGCTTCTGAACCAACCGTTTTATCGAAAGCAACATTAGTTGGTTAGGTTACACGTGAGGTTGATCATAACTACTAGTGTTATTACGCCGAAAAATAGGTGCGAAATAACAATGAGTGATGAAAAGAAACACAAACGTTGTTCGGTAGACATTTCTCCATTGTATTTTATTATATACTAACCGGTCTTCGTCATTGATTTTTCGTCATAAACTTCTTCGCTGGTTCATATGTATGTATGTATATATATAAACAACAATACTGAAATAACCGCGATTACATGATAGTGCAAATTAAATTAGGGAGTACTAACTTTCAGTTATTGTGTAAGTCAGTACTCCTAGCCGCTTTGCTAATATTACGCAGTCGGAATTGGAATTAGAGTGTCATGGATTGATATACTGAAACGGAAGAAAAAATACCGTGATCCAATTCTAATTTGAAAAATCAAAAACAGCAGATTTCCTATATAGAATGTAACCACGGATCTGCAAACCCATGTGGCACATGCCAATCGTGCCAGGCTTGTTGGAACTTTCACACTCAAGTTAGTGCCAGGTGAATATCTTTTTTAGCAGGAGCTCCGAAAGAATCTGAATGCTAGTACAGTACATACAGTATGTTGAAATATGCATTGAATGAGACAGTTATCGATATTTAGGATCATTATATAATACACGTAACATACGCGTTTTCAATATATTGACAAGGAAGATAAAACATCTGTCTCCGGGAAAAAATGTTAATAATAATAAGTCGGTAATTGTAAAGCGAATATATCAAAGTTTGGATCATCGTCACGGGGTTAGTTTATTTTTTTGACATCGGCTGACTGTTGAAGATGTTCAGTGGCAGTAGATAATAAAAATGTCGTATATTCAAGAAATTTCAACTTTATGACACAATAATAACTTTGTATAGTCACTGGAATTTGATCGATTTGACTTCTCACGATGACACACAAGCGTGAATTAGCCAATTTAATATTTAGCCTTCTATCAAGGTCGTATATATTTGTGTACTGAGTTTTTAAAAGCTAATATCAGTAAGATATTTATACTGACGTACGAAATAGGTACTTCAATAGTTATTTGATCTAATACACTTCGTGTACTTTATTACAGATACTTGGACTAAATATTAACTGCACTATTCAAATAACGCGTTTGGGACAGGCCGTATAAAAGGGCTCCCAAACGCCGAAATCATCATGTCGAGCACAGATCCTTTACGTGAGATGCCGAATGCAGGTAAATCGATTACTAAATTGCTGTGTCTTGAAACAGCAGCTATTGTGGTTGGATCAAGCTTTCAATTCGGCTACAACACTGGTGTTATCAATGCTCCACAGGCTTACATAAAGGAGTTTCTTAATGAAACATATTATCAGAGGTATGAATAATTTTGAGCGGTTATGTTTATCATTCGTGATACATTTAAATCGCAATCGCAATTTCAATTTCAATTTTTGGAAGGCTAAAACTACTATCTATTCCCGTGAGAAAGCATAAGAAAAATAATTAAATCAATGTTGGATTTAAATAAATATTTTGATCACAAATGTAGCTGAGGATTTCTGTTAATATTTAACTTTATTGTACAATATGAAACCGGAAGGTCTTTACTACAAGATAAAGTTCAATATTATACCAATAGTAGTAAGAGTTAACATGTTCATTACCTCGCGACAATTTTGTTCGTCCCGCTTACTTACATGCCAATATTGTACCCGCACGCAAGTACTGTTTTCCCGCGCAATTTTATACAAATTCCCTTACGTTCACTATATTGACCCTGTTATTCATGCAACGAAACCTTCCTATAATGCGATAAAATGTGGACACATTACCACACGCTGTAATAGATGAAGCGCGTAGAAGTGAAAAATTCCCGAATGTTTTTTTTTCATCGTAGTCGTCAGGTTTAATATGGAAACTTACACTCAAGCATTTTGCGTCTCAATTGACAATATCTTTATTTCAATCTTTGCTAATACGTAGTGACAAGTAATTAAATGATGAGCTTAACAGCGAATGATGGCCATTTTAAAGTTACGGGAATTCGGAAGTTAGATGCATTGTCAACGGAATAAAATTACTTCCATTGTTAATGGCAACAATATTTAATCGTCAATTCATTCAAACCGAAATTATCCGAGGTCAGAATGTGTCACTAACGTGCCGAAACAGTGAATGCTGAAACTATTTTCTAAGTTTACCGCAATTGTTGCATTCACACAATGCCTGTTTTCATTTACACCCTCGTTATCATTGCCAATCACCCAAATTTATTGACAATATACCATCCCATAATTATACCTTCCGTTTTGTTTCGAATGAAAACACGAACCGATTATGACATATTCAAATAGATGTGTATTATGGCATAGTGAACGAAAAGAATTCACTATTTACGTTGCGAAACGGTATCCATGCAACCCGTTTATTTATTGTGGTATTGGGTCACGTTCATAACAAAAAAATGCTCTTCTGTATAAAATAAAAAATAACTATCTATGGCATCCGATCATAAAGAAATAATGGAACTGTATTTCGATTGTCAAAGGTTTCATTCATAGTGACTGTGCATATAATTGACCATTTGGAATAATATTCTTTACAATGAGAGGAAATTTGCGTTTGTTACGTTAGTCGTTTATTATGATGCTCTTAACAAACCAGATGGTTTATTTACCTAAATGTTGTTCGTTTGTTCGTTATACGAAGAAATATAGTAGAAATAACTAGTGACGAATACTGCAACTTGTTAATATCTGCGTGGTCTGCCCAATTCTTTACGCCCCGGCTTTTATGGCAGGCATGACTTGGCTAATACTGTAAAATACCATGAATCGAAAAATTCGCAAATTTCTTTATTATAAAATGCGTTTAAAACGGGTCATAAAGGTTAGCCTTTGTATTAGTGATATTTTACGAAATTCTCCTATTCTTAATCTTGTTTTCATATTAATATTTTTATCTAGGTATCAGACACAGATCACGAGCAGCACTTTGACATTGTTATGGAGTTTTGCTGTGGCAATTATCGCGATTGGGGGGATGCTGGGGTCGCTAATCGCGGCACCGATGTCTCAGAAGTTCGGTCGTAAGAAATCTCTGTTGCTGAACAACATACTTGCCTTCATAGGAGCTGGTCTGATGGGATTTTCCAAACTTGCTTCGTCATACGGCATGCTCATTGCTGGTAACATATGTTATCTTTAAAAAAATTTAATTTGTTACATTTACGTATTCATGCATTATTCATTGATAGTGTAACAGATTTTTTACATATGTCGTTGTCCGTTAGTTTTCACTCGTGATGATAACTTTATTTTATTACTACTTCTGATTAAAAAAAAACTTGTACCATTACTGGTTTATTGATCAATTTGTTTGAGTAATTTAATAATCTATCACAAAAATCACAACAAATACGCACCGCGTAATATTCAAAGAAATTGAATGTTACAAATGTATGCATAATAAATCATTTATTCCTTTACTGGAAACGCCACTGTCTAATATTGCATTCATAATCAGCTTAACGGTGTTAAATATTTGTGACAGCCGAAATTGAAAGTTTTGAGGTACATTTATAATACTTGAAACATATGGTGCTTTTCGCGAAGTATCACCACCCAAATAGGAGCGAAAATAAGTGACTGATCCATAATAGAGGATATCCGGCTTTACAAGAAATATAATACGATCCCGCGTACGCAATGCCATAATTCCTAACAATGATCGCCACAATGTCTATGTTATTTGGTGCTGTGTGGCATATATCCCAAACTTCAATAGTAATTTCATGTAATGATTTTTTATGACATGCGTGCATTATTGATTTCCTAACTTTCGGAAATAACACTCATTACATTTTGTTTTAAAATTGTATTGACATTTCAAGTCAAACATTGAAAAACTGTCAGTACTGAAGAGCGAAGCATTCTATAGTACTACGCCTTATCATGCTGGTACCATTCCAGACAAAGCTCGGAGAAAGCTGCTATAGTTTATTGTTCGAGATACGTGCACAATTGGTTGAGCCATACTCAAACGATTAGCGAACGGGTTAGGTGTGACCAACCTTCAGATGGTGAAGAATCCAGCGTAAATCCGAGGGCCTGTTCGTACATTGCGATTCAGAGCATGCAATAACAAGCAATAAGTCACGCCGAGACTGGAAAACCAGTCTCGCTGTTCGCGAGAACGATATATCCAGTATTATGCCGCGTGCAAGATCGGGGAATGGCTGATATCTCGTGGTTCACGAATATTCATTTAACCGCTAACGGCTAGGCAGTGACCCCATCATCAATATTTATAATTCTTATGTCTTTGACTATAATTAATATATTCACAGGTCGTTTCGTCATTGGACTGAATAATGGCATCAACATGGGTATAGCACCCATGTACTTGACCGAAATATCCCCTGTGAAATATCGAGGAATACTTGGGACTCTTAATCAGCTGGGAGTTGTTTCTGCCATTTTGCTTTCGCAGGTAAATTATTATAGCTGTTAATTAAATTCCTCTTATTAAAATTGTGAGGTTGTAATTGCGGCCACATAACACTGAGAAAGATACTGGGCTAAGTGATCAAAATGGATCAATTGCTTTAGGTTAAGCACACATCAACCATCTTGATTGTTATCGCAAAATTATAATTTAATACAGATTTACCGTTTAAGCGGCAAACGCATTTCACAACTGAGAAATACAAATTTCGAATGTTCTTAGTACTGTGTTTCCCAACCGTTTTTTCATATATTCCTCGCTTTGACTATTTGGGATCTCTTTATTCTCTCCTCACTACACATAAAAATTCTGTGTTTCGTTATTCATTCATTCTTTAGTTTGGGAACCTTAGCTAATGTTACGGGCAACTCGCATTCTGGTTTCTTTTATATAGTATAAAGTACTATGAAATTCGCAAACAATGTAGGACCGCTTTGAAATATTTTGTATGCGCAATGCAAACATTGTTATAGCTATTCTATTGCATATAATTTTGTTTTGAGCACCGCCATTGATATGCGAAACATTAGTTATGAATTATGATCTGGAAAAACGAAATGAAATGAACTATATTGCCTCATTGTAAAATACATTTACAAAGTTGCAAAAAATTGTTCGCATAAAACTCTTTCCTTAACAAAAGCATTCAAGATTTATTCAAAAAGGGCGAGGGCTGCTATTGTAAATTTACAATGTAGAAAAACAAATTGAGCAGAAATGCACCAAAAATCAGTGAATTTGTAAAGTAAATTTGACGACTCATATTATCAATGCTTTTAGTAAATATTAAAATTCCATTGTATATTGAATTAAAGTGTCTAATGTCATTGAAAGTGTCTAATGCGATCGTGGTCCGTGTTTGAAGACCTGGGTATAACTTTGGAATGGCATCCATCAAAATTTAAGAATAATCCCTGTTAGGTGTGTCCAGGTATTATCAGTTACTCTTCCGACGAGAGCCTTTCACTGATCCTTGTCAAATAAAGTAAAATGGGATATGTTTTCTCAAAAACACACCCACATCGAACTCGCTGCGTCCAGCGACAAACGAAAATCTTCATCGCACGCAATTTTTGATCGTAGCCAAATTCTTATTTTTGGTCATATGCCTAATATTGTTTGAAACACTGGCACCGATGACCGTGTTATTTATGCGGAATACAAAGTTTAAACGATAAATTTAAACATATTAAATCAAAATATTGTATTTTTTTCATCAAACATCGTAAATCGTATAATTTACAATATATATTTGCATACATTATTAACCATTTTGTATACATTAAAATATTTTTTTTGGAGGCAATTTTATAAATGCCCAAATTTTGTTATACTTATTATTAATTTTTAAATAAACGCGTGAATTACATAATTTCAATTATTGAAGTTAGAATGTTTTTTTTTTATAGAATTTTGAATTTAGAAATACACCTAGTGGTGCTTTTTCAATATTATCTATAATCTATGGTAATGTTTAATATTTACCAATTTCAATAAATGTACCTTTCAGGTTCTTGGTTTGAATTGGGTTTTGGGAACCGATGAGCTTTGGCCACTTCTTCTCGGTCTCACTGCCGTCTTTGCAGTTTTTCAAACCTGCACTCTCCCGTTCTGTCCAGAAAGTCCGAGGTAACGTCAATAAAACTACCTGTCAATATATTTTGAATATTTAGTAAAATTGTTACACTAGATTAGGTGTGACGATAAATGATAGCCATTTAAACGTAGCATTGGCTTGGATGTTATCACGTGTGTCTGAAATAGTTAAACCAATGAGCGATTACAACGACCCGGAGCTGAGAAACGTTTTATCGAAGGAGATTTCAGCATGTGGTATACACATTCAATTACGAAAATAAAATTTCCATTGCCTTATTATTATCATGTTTTCCCTATGCTTCACAGTACTTGGAATTGTATATTGCAATCTTTTTATAAGTACGTTTTCAGTTTTTACACAATGGCATGCATTTTTATCAAGTTGTCTTTTTTAGATACCTTCTGGTGTACAAAGACGACGAAGAAGAGTCTCGCAAAGCTTTGGTTAAGTTGAGAGGAAAGGATTACGATATCACGGAGGAGATCGACAGCATGAAAGAAGAGTACGAAGAAGAGCAGAAAGAAAGATCTGTCGGTGGGTAGATTGCACTCTGATAGGCATTAGTGAGATGAGGATATCTGAAAAATAGTGTGTGATTTTAGGACTTCGTGTATATACATTTTCTGATATTATATATTAAACTTTATGGGAGTGCGTGATTGAGATAGGAGCTTATCAATTTTTTCAAGGCTAATTTGTTTTTAAACACTTCAGCTTTGGTGGGTCCTTCCTGGTGCGTCATCGTCGGACCACGGGAATTTTATCAATACTATTGCTGCTCAAGTTTAAATAAAATAAAAATTCTCACACCGGGTAACATTCTTGTATGTAGAACCTAGAACAACAAACGATAATTTCTTCCGAAGGTGTGTTTATGCAAATAATAATTGTTCTAATCATCGTTATTAGAACATTGTCAGAGCGTTCACCGTTGTGGGTAAACACATCAATTGTGGGTGATTCATCGTTGTGATTGTCCTTTCAATATCACGCTATGGGTGGGTAGAATTGCACGCATAACGGTGACATTCAGTTTCACTTATATCACGCGATCGGAAGAGGCAAACACCAACATGGCGGATGTGATGAATATTAAATAAAGTTGCCGCCTATGCTGCATTGTTATTTTAGTTTATCGGAAACGCTGTTATTCTAAATCGGAGCAATGATTCTATATAATGTTTAGTTAGCATGATTTTACGAAATTGCCATTCTTTGAGTAAGCTTATATAAGAAGATCTTTTGTACAAATCCCCCGCCAAGGCTCAAAATATATAAATTAGTAATTATTCCATTAGGTTTGGGTTAGGAATACAGATTGCGCTGGAAATTCAAATTTGTAAATCATTTCTAACCCGAACCTCAACTGGATAATTCTTAAGTATTGCATTAGTGGCGGCGGCTTTGTACCAAAGATCCAATATAAAATGCTATATCTATTCACTCCTTTCTCTCATACCTCAGGAATCATCGAAATATTCACAACCTCCTACCTACGTAAACCAATGATAATAGCGATTGTAATGCAACTTTCTCAACAATTGTCTGGAATCAATGCAGTATTCTATTATTCCACTCCATTGTTCATAGCAGCTGGAATTCCCGAAGAGTACAGGTAACTTGTAATATCACTTTTTGTAATTTATGTGTTAATTACCTCGTCGAGAAATGGATCAGCGCTAAAAGATCATTTTTTTTTTGTTAATTTGTCTGACTAAATTTTCAAAAACTCAATCGACGTTGTTTTTCTACAGCATAATCGTGGTGATACTGAGATTGATATCCTTTGTACAAAGCCCCTACCAAAAAAAAAGAATAGGAAAATTGATAATTATCCGTTAGGCTTAGAAAGCATATTGCGCTGGAAATTCAAATTTCCTAACCCAAACTGGATAACTATTAGTTTTTATTTCAAAACGTGGCGGGGATGTTTTTCTCAAAACTCACATTCATGCACTAGTCGAGGGACTTTGTACAAAAGATCTTACGATTGTTCAGACGAGAAGTAGAAAGGAAATAAACCACACGAGTGGAAACGAAAACGCTTAGTGTATTCAAATGCAATATTTGTAGAAAACATGGGATTCTTTTTCGATTTTTTCGTTAGTACATCACTGAAATCGTCATTCGAAAGCGAGCAACTTCGACGTATTCACTTCGATCATTCCTAAATGGTGTGAAATTTCATCAAATAAAAACACAATTTATATTCACTCTTTCTTACTCGTGACTTGGATGCTTTCTTTTTATCAAATTTAAAGTTGAAATGATCGATTCGAATTACGTTAATTTAGAGTTAACGCGGGTAAATATAAATCTTGTACTGATATCTAATTTTTTTAAGTTCTAGACATCTTGATAACAATCATATCGATTCTATCACGACGATTTCAATGACCAGATAAACATACCACTACACAATGTTGACCTTCTGTTAATATTGCCGAAACAGAAACTTCTTATATTATGTAATTACGAACAGGGTTACATAACACAATTTTATTTATTTGATTGTCACCAGTACGCTACAGAAGTTCAACTAACGTCGGAAATGCGGTTCTATTTAACGTACCAAAGGAAGGAAACAGAATAGCAAACGTCTCGCGCATCTCAACTTTTGTTACGTAAGAAACGATTCAGTGTTATGTAATACGAGACAGGGATGCCACATTTCGGCAATGCACTAAAAAGCCTCCGGTATATAACAGTGGTTAATACGATATCGATAAGCCGTAGCTGTCACACATATTTCTTCTTCAAACTTTCAAACGCGATATCCCATTATGAAATTAAAAACTTACAAGGTCCGACTGCTACTGTATTATGAAACAACACAAGATAAACTTGAAACGACTTAACAGACATAAACGACAATGGAAAACAGATATATTCAACACAAAACGCAACTGGATTATATCGAAACACTACTGTTACATTCAATCAAAATAGGAAATAGAAAGAAAACAATTATACACGAAAAATTACATCACAGTAGCTGCTTAAGAAACGAACAAAATCCAGTCCATCAGTCAATATCATCTAATATCGTGGTTACTGATTACTGATATAATCGGCCACTGTAGTTTGGACAACTAATATACAAATGATGAATTGGTTATATAAATCAATTCGATCTTATATATTTCAAAACAAATCATTTTGAGTAAAATCGTATTGTATGTTTGAATCTTAGTCACAATTACAATACAGCTGATAAAGTTAAATATTTTCTCGATGTCATTATATTTAATTTTGATAGTTCGAATCCTATTACAGCTCCAAGGCATTAAAACTACGTGGCCTACAATTGTCTCTGTTTGCAAAAACTATTGGAGCCAATACCCCCATTGATAAATCACGATAAAAAATTTGCATCGGTACTGTATTTTAAATTAAATAATTGAGCAGGGGATGACTTGCGAGGATAATATATGTTAGAAATATTTTCCCATGACCAGAAATTTCCGTCAAAACATTTAGTCATGTACACAAAGGCACGTTTGCATTATCAGCATTCCAATGGGAAGTACAATGTCGACAATGAAACCGCTAGGCAAAATCAGCTGTACCTGATGCTTATCTTACTTTTAAAATTAGAACAAAGAATTTGAGCTCGTTTCATTCAAGAAAATTAAACCCCCTGCTATAGGTCAAACGCGTCAGAAACGTTTAGCGAACAGTTCCGATTCATTTGTTTATGTACATTCTTGGAACGCTTGCCAAAAAAAGTTTTTGATTTGTATCTGTCCCATATTATAATCTTATAACTTTACAGTATTAACAGTTAGCAGTATTTTATGAAGCATAAATTAACCTCTACTGCTAGGGAAAACACGTCAGCAACGTTTTGCGAACATGTTCGAGTCATTTGACGATGTTTATACACATTGTTTAAAGCTTGGAATGTTTCTCAATAAAGGTTTTTGAGTCTATGTATCTGTCCCATATTATAAACTTATAACTTTACAGTATTGGCAGTTAGCAGTATTTTATAAAGCGTGGTGGCAGTTTTTCTTTCCAATCGTAGTTCGTTCATAAACCGGGTCTGTGTGTTTGTCGTCATTCATCAATAAGCGGACCAATAAATAAGTATTAGTCCTACATAATGTTTGAGTATTTTATTGAGATTTTCTTCAAATTATGCTTTCCGTGGACACCGTGACACCGTTTTGCCTAGAGCATTGTAATTTCATAGTAAAGATATTAAGATAATCTAATTATAAGTTACCAGGTTAATATTTTTTACTATTTTGAGTGTTGCATTTTTTATTGTTCTTCATGATAAATTGGGAATATTATCAATCGAAAGCTCAAACTTAAAGCTCATTTAAGTTAGGTATCCCCGAAACCCATATCGAATATTAATAGTGTGCGTGGAAGATTTTGCTGTTACTCACTCGATACATTTAAGACGTTTTATTCTCTAACGACATGCGTCCAACTCAACTTGATCGCAATGCGCTTTAACAGTTCAAAAAATTATTTTCAGTGCTTTGCCAACGGTTGGAGTTGGTGTTGTGAATGTGGTCATGACTTTGGTTTCTCTATCATTGATTGAAAGAGCGGGACGTCGACTTTTACACTTAACTGGATTGGCTGGAATGTTTGTGTGTGCTGTTGTTCTCACGGTATGTCGAATCTTATTTATTGCCAGTGAGGCCTTTAAATTGTACGTGCTGATACAAAATTGTTAGCTGATCTTATTTGTGAGTAGTAGTCTATTATACTATTTTTTGAAAAGTCAGGTCGAATGTTTTTTCGAGAAATCCACTCAAATGCACATGTTTAGCTAAAGTATAGTTAGTGGGTATACAACTTAAACCAAGTTTTCAGTTCACACCTAGCATTTCATATTGTAAATAAAATTCTTATGATCACTATATGCTTATTTTGACGACAGGTTGTCGGAAGAATTTGTTTGTTGAACCACTACTATGATTGCATTGATAACGTATTCATATATGTCAACAGTCTAATAGTTTGTTTCGTGTCATGTGAAGTGTACTCATAAAAGAATGCAAACACTCTCAAGGCCTGTCTTATACGTTTACCTGGGGATTAGATTACTTCGCAATTATATCTGAATTTGGGTCTCACCAACACACAATGATTAATGCCGCGATTTCAATGAATATAAATGACTAGGAAATTTCAATGCATGTTATTCACTATATTTTTGCAGATAACTCTCACTCTTCAAGTGGACGCTGATTGGCTGTCATGGTTCTCGCTGGTTCCTGTCCTGCTGTTTGTTGCTTCGTTTCAAATCGGACCTGGTTCTATTCCTTGGTTCATCACTGCTGAACTATTCACTCAAGGACCACGCCCAACGGCCATTAGCATCGCTGGCCTGGTGAACTGGTTGGGAAACTTTACCATTGCTTTGGCGTAAGATTTGAGTTTTTACGTTATTTATTATTGAAGTTTGCTATTTACACAGGGGTTAAATGAATACTATTACTCTATAGTCCAGAAACATGATAGAATTGGATTTTTTTGTATTTGTTCCGGCAAGGGAAAGCCATAGTATATACAGTATAGCGACCACGATCTAATATCAAAAACACCGGAAAACTGATAGCGATGTACGAGGATTCATTTTCTTCTATTTTTACAGATATCCGCCACTGAACGAGCTCATCGGCGGATTCACCTTTGCAATATTTGCCGGCTTGCTGGCACTCTTCTGGATATTTACCTATTTGAGGGTTCCAGAAACAAAAGGTCGTACCATCAACGAAATTACGGCTCAGTTCCGTTCCGCCGTAGATGAATACGACGACAACAAAAAATTTTACAATTCGAGCACCAAATTATAATAGGATAGAAACAACACTGATTCGGCCGTGCCTGGATATAAACTTGATACCGGATCATGCTCGACTAAGCAGTTAAATCACTTTAAAGAAGCTCAAATTTGTTATCGTAGAAATCTTTTTTATTTTGCACCCTTATTAGTAGTATAGCAATGAGTAGTTTATATAATTTTATCACAACTATCCAATTTGAAGTTATCTTATATAAGTAGTATCAGTTTTTCATATCAACCATATGTATGTATTTGCCTTATTTCATACCAAAGTATAAAAAACGTAAAAACTTAAACATTAGTCGAAACATTCTTTGATGTTCAACAATATGCATGGTGTCCATGATGGTATTTTTAATATTCAAAGATACACTCATGGACATTCCGTATAGCCTATAATTGAGTATTACATTCTGCATTGGTCAGGCCTGATTCGGTATTGAGTTGTATTCCGGGTTTTAATTTATTCACCAGTATATTGCTACAATTTCGCACGTTTCTATTCCTAAATCACTGTTACGATAATTTTCACTATCGAATCCTAACGCACATGCAATATAGTTTAGGCAGAAAGTGTCTTTTATTATTCTCTACCGGAGTACAACGAAAAATAAAATGCTCTGAATTGTTGAATGATGTGTTAAATGCAGTGCCAACCCGAAAGGTTTTATTTAACTAAATTTGAGATAAATGAAACAAAGAAACTTATTCAGTAGAAGAAGTACCTATGAGAAACTTGGAAAATTCAGGATGCAAGCTCCCGCTAAAATATATATATATATATATATACTGTAAAGCTTCGAGACAAATCCTAGAATATTTAGCCTAGTTGCCAACTTTAATAAATTAATAAGTTGAACGTTTATGGATTTAGTCAAGTAGTTACGTGAGCATTCGTCTAGACAGGGCCGCAAAGTCAAAAGTATGCTTTCACTTGACTCGGAATCGGATTTCAAACACCCGTGTGTCAGACTCAAAATTCTTCAAAGTCGGCAGTCGCAAACCTTCAAGGGTGATAACTTTAGTCGAAACTTCCTATCAAAAATCACTAATTTTACTGTTAGGTGTTCGTAACAGTTTTCATGTACGCCAAAGTTTTTGTTATCAAAATTTGAAATTTTTGGAACAACTCGGAATCAGGGCCAAAGCTTTTTGTAGAGTCTCAACTCGTAGTCGGAGTCTACGGTAAATTTTCTCTGATGCCACATCCACAAAAGCAGTTCATCATTCATGTGCTTATCGGATGTTTGTAAATGTAATTAGATAAATGTATTTGGGGGCATCTAGTAACCAGGTGTATACGGAATAAATACAATATATGCATCTTATTAACAGTGAAGGGCATTATATTATTTTTAAGACCACCCAGGCAAAAGTTTATTGCTGCTATAAGACGTCCACGAAATTGAGTCTTTGTTGAGCTAAAGTCCAGCATTCATTTATGAATTCCATTGTTTTGATAATCTTACGCGATATATACTTTAAAAACATAAATAAAAGTAATAGCCTTCCAAAAATATAATCTTTAACCACTGGAAATTTCAAAGCAGTTGGTCCAGTAGTTAAAGAGAGAAAAGCGATTTTTTGAACAACATTAATAAGAATAAGAAAAAAAATTATTACAGCAACAAAATAACAAAACGATCCATATGTACATTTCGTGTTCAAAAAGCTTACAATTTTGTAGGTAACGTACATCACCTATATATATAATGCATTTTTGCAAATGAAATAGCCGTGAAACTAATGTGTTAAATGCAATAGAAAATGTTTTTAAAAATATTTTTAATCTTGGAACTATAAAATAAAGTTTTATACCATGTTGTCATACATCATTTTAAAACGCGATCGCTGCGTCGGCTGCTCATTGTTATTGAGGATACATTTGTATCAAAAATCATTGTAATGTCCACCGATCAAGCTATATTAAGTTGATACATAATCCGCTAGGTGGCAGAATAGATTTGAGATACAAATAACGCTTAGGTAGGGTGACTAATGTGATCTATCACCAAGTGATAAAAATCCCTGAGTGCAGACTAGATTCTATCGCATGGATGAAATAAAAAAAAGAATATTATATGGAAAATTTATATTCCAGAATATTGCAGTTGCATAATAAAATTCCAATTTCTTAATTCCATTATAAAGTTTTATTTTAGTTTGTTAGAAAGATACTTCGTTTTCGAAATAGGAAAATCATCAGGGTCACGATTCTGAATAAACTCAACAACCTAAAGTTAGTTGGGAAATTAAGTAATAGTGGACAATTGAAACTTTAGGTAGACCCGTAGTCAGGCACACACGACGTCGACGACCTGCGCCGCTTAAAATTTTTCAAAAACTTAGCTACTGCCCATTTTGAAATTTCCATTTGAATTTTAAAGGGAGTTAAGTGGACAAATCGAGCGCTTGCCATTCTAGTGGGCCTATACGGCTATTAAAGGGACGGTGGCCGTGAGAGTAGAGTAATACAGCTATGGTTTGAATGATCATAGACCAGGGGTGGGCAATTACTTTCCTGAGTGGGCCGGATGCGGATAATAGATTTGATAACTGGGCCGGATGATCAAAACTCAATATGATCAAAAGCGTTTAATTTGCAAATACCTAGACATAATGATTAATGGGACGTTATTACAGAGTATGGCAAATTACGACATCTGCACAGCGAAAGTTGATAGAAAAAAAGCTCAAGAGCTAGGCTAATGTTTATATTAAAGACAGCACCGTGTAACAATTAAGGTCATTATGTCGTTATTCGATAAATTCAAAGGTTGTACGGTACCAAGAGAGTAAATGATGCGCCATTCGCGTCTTTTACAAATGAAATTACTGTAAACTGGAATTTCGAAGTGGCGAGTGGTAGATTTGTCAAGTCATTGCGTCTCACAGAACGCAAGTCTGCCCGTTTCACTGATCGCGTTTCAGTATTGTAAAGCATTAGATATTTGCAGCAGGGGATATAGTAAATACAATTGAAAGATCAGCGTTGAAAGAAAATTGAAAATGACACGAGTACAGGCAGAATCATTTAATTCAAGTACTGTAATTCATGTACTAGAGCAGTGATTCTCAAACTTTTTTTGTACCATCGCCCCCATACTATACTTTTTACATTATCATCGCCCCCAAAACTACAACAAAACATTAAGTTACAAACAAATGTATTGCAAATCAATTGAGAAATATCATGATGCATGATGTTTTTAATAAGATGGATGAATTTCAACAAGGTTTTTTTAATATTTGAAGACTTTTTCGTCGAGTGCAATCTCAAATCATCATCCAACTTCGATTTGATTCGACCCTTTTTCCGCCAAAATAAGAGGTTTATAAATCAAAAAACAATCAACAGTTCTACTTTGTCAAAATGCCAGATGACTTGCGCAACTATATTTTCAGTACATTTACGTGGAAAAAGTCGTCGCGATTACGCCATTCGTTAAAATTGCCAATTTTTCGGCAATGATGATTTTTCTGTTGCGCAAAATATTCAGTCCATGGCCGATATGAGCGTTGAAATTGTTTCGCCATATTATTTCAAATATTTGAACGTAAATCGCCGTTGCGCCGAGTTACAATAAATGAAAGTATTATTATTCTAAAATACTACAATCTGCATACTTAAAAGTCCCCGGTATACTTCGTGATTTTAATAAGAAATGATTTGAATTTTTGCGAACTTGGTTTAAGGTATTTTTAAGATATCAACGTTTGCAAAATCCCAATGTCAGCCATGAATCCTATCGAAAACATGTGTTGGGGCATTCACGAACTCACGAATAAATTTGCAGACCCAAATGCTGATATATCAGGAGCTAGAGTTTTTGAATGACATAAATAAATCCGATACATGATTTTGTACATCATATTCAGGTGCTTATAATATGTGAGGAATTACGGTTTTTACTTTGGCCAACGATCAATTATCGATATTTTCAATGGAATTTCAATTTATATCATTGATATTTCAACGGGAATTTATATTTATAAAAACCATAGTCATAATTTCAGCAGGCACAAGTGGGCCGGGTGAAACACTCTGGTTGGCCGGATCCGGCCCGCGGGCCGTAATTTGCCCATCCCTGTCATAGACGATCACAGACAGACTGGATAAGAATTGTTGGGGAAAATCTCACTTGCTATATGCCACGAAACAGCAGTATATAATGAATATACGAGCAAAACAATACAAACAATAGGAGAGCAATGCTCAGATTCATGTACACAAATATATTACCCTATTTTCTACAATAATACACTCGACCATACATTGTTCACGCGACCCTAAATACACCTAGGTGAGACATTTTCGTTGGTACTTATCATTTTGTTTACTGATAAAATTTTAAGTATAACGGATCACCCTAACTTTTTTGCTCGCCGCCGGACAAGAAATAACAGCTCGAGATTGAGCGGGTCACACCAAAGAGTGTATATGAACAATACAAGCAAATAAGCGTGAGGCCTTGCAGCTGAGATTCAATATATCATCAAATGAATTGCAAAAAAGAATGTACTTCAACTTTTGAAATGAAGTTTAAGCCATTTTGAATTTTGAACTATGAGAAGCCAAAATCGGATGTGTATCGACAACTCACGCTTGAATTTCAATATGTATTGAAAAAGTGAGCAAATATTTATTTTCTTCTGCTAGCACAATTTCAAAAACCCAGCATTATAGAGTACTTATGATGCTCGAGAAATAAGTGTATTAGCCTGAAAGGGGGTTGGAATCTCAAATACAGGGCGACGAAAAAAAAACTGAACCCATAAATTTCCTGATTACTTCTACAAAGACGGAAAAAATTATCAAATTTTGTTTGTGATTAAACTTATGTTTGTGTATAATTATACCAAAGGTTTCAGGAATCCAGAACGCTTCGTACGAAAGTTATATGCTCTTTAAAGTCTAGATCAGGGTTGTCCAACCTCTTCGGCTGAAGGGCCAAATTTGGTTTACGAATGATTGCGAGGGCCACTTGACATGGTAGTTATGTTCTAGTTTGCACTACGCCGACTACAAATTAAAAAAAAAAAATTATAAGAATAAATGAAAATACAAAGATACAGTAAAATCGAAAGTTTTTACCACACATAATTATTTCAATATCAATTATGGCACTGCTTCCATCTACTAAGTTTGTCAATATTCGTTGCGACGGGCGATGTAGCAATGCATAGCGCATTTTTCATATGACTATCAGTAATTTCGCGGGGTATTTGACTCGGTTCATCAGTGAAAAAACTCGTACAAGCAAGAGCTGTGAAATATTGAGGTCATGAAAACTGCCTCCTATGGCTTCACAAAAAAGAGGCAGGAAAACAGATTGAAATATATGGCAGACGATAAAATAAATTTAAATATCTCTCTCCAGCAATGACACCCGCAAAGAGGCTTAAAAAGAAAGCTTCCGATACCTGGGTGGTGCTTCCCGCGCGTTCGAACGACGAGAAATAATTTTTATATTAGGGGTTTCAATATTGGCTGAGATTTGCGAAAAACATCGGGTTTCGAATAATACCGCGCGAGCCACTCGGAAACCTTCGGCGGGCCACGGGTTGGACGACCCTGGTCTAGTTCTTCCAATTTACCTCCTTGGCATTAAGGACAGACTTGCATCCAGTTA